GACATTAAAGCACCTGCAGTTTCAATAGTATGGTTACAATGCAATTAATGCGTTGGTACCTCAGCTGTGGACTAATAATATCCGAGGAAATTCAATGTTTTGTAATGACCATGATAATCATCAATTTGTTACTGATATTTATTTTATAAATATCAAAGATACTACGAATGCAACTCCCACAAGCGATTATAGGTGGTTTTTTTTGGGGGGGGGGGGGGGGGGGAGGGGGGATAATATTTTCATGTCCTTATTGACTGTTTATCATGCCGATATTCCTCTTTGGCTGTGTGAACCTTTGTTTCTGAGTGCCCCTGTTGAAAGGTAATCAAGATAGATGCACCTGAAGCAGCCAAAAACTGTACATTTTACCATGATTTATTGTTAACACTCAGTTCTCATTTCGTTACTTTTTCCAAAATTTTCTCGATCATCTGGATGTGCACTTTTTGCTCAAAATGTTAACGCTCATACAACCATATTTAGAAGTTGCTCACAACATGGAATATTTAAATACTTTGTGTATAACTTTCAATATTTAGATTATTTCAGAATCTTCATGTGCACAATAATTTTCCTACTATTGCATCGGTTGAGATTGTCCCAAGATCGGGACAGAATTGTTTCAAATGCTCATATAACCGTAATCTCAGACAAGACAAGTTGCTGAAAATGATTAATGTCGTAATATCGTCTCATGATGCTGGATAAGCAAACCAAATTAAAGCAGTTTTCGTATCACTTTTTCGTATCAAACTCCGTATAGTGTGAAACGATAAATATCTCTTCATGCAAGAAATAGATAACAGGTCACAATCATAAGAGAAAGTTGTATTCAAAACAAAATAACAATCAATGTGATTATGTGAAGTATTAAAATTGGAAAGTCTTTAAAATTATTCTTTTATTGAGCTAAAAATTTGTCCATTAAATCATTAAATATACAAAAAAAATGGTTTTCGAAAGTGACAAAACCATACCTAGATCGGAAAAATGTTACTATTCTTGGTAAATAAGCCCCGATCGGAGAAAAGGGGGTTTCGATTTGTTCCCGATCGGGACTGTGGCAGATATAATGTAAACCACTGACTGTATCACATTGCCTCAACTCTGACGTATGCTTTTCTTTTGACATCTTATTGATTTCTGTTCAAAAATAGTTCAACCATTCATTTACCATTTGATGCAAGAAACCCATGGGTCGTTAAACATCTGTCGTTAGTAGTATATATATATCGGTTTATCGCAGATTGAACTTAATGGATTTTTTCTGGAACAAGTTGACTTTTTTTAAAACACGCATTTTAATCACCTAGGTTTAACTGGTTAAGTATTTCTTTTTTTGGAGCTAGACCTCAAATTTAATAGAAAGATAGAACAGAGAATCAAACCCAATTGAATGTGCAGATAGTTTTGAACCTGTAAATATTATATAATATTATATTAAGCTCTGAATTTGGCCTCACGGGCTCATCATAGTGTAGTCCCGTATGTAAAGTATACCATATGAAGATTCGTCTAAGGCAAAAATAATTCCGGTCTGGGCATGATGGGGCAATGGTAGAACTTGATAATTTACTTCATTGCTCATATTGTACGACCTTTGAAAGCACAACTTCTAAACCACAACTGATGGATTTCAACAAAGTTTTACAAATTGGTTTCAAGATGCTATTTAAAAGCATGCCTAAAACAAAATAGTTTGAGCCCAGTGACTTTAATCGGGATATGATTGAACATTGGTCATAATTTTTATGAAATGTATATTGTCGCATGGTTATAATTTCGGTGTTAATAAATTAAGATATACATCGAATAAAGATTTAAAACTGTTCATTATTTCAATACGATTGCATATCGGCCTGTGACAAAAAATTATATATATCATATACATTTCCAATGTTAGATATTTAAAAGGGTTGAAAAAAATTGTAGTTTAACCCTGTCACATGCTCAGGTATACGTCTCGTGTCAGAATCCTCGTCAGTTGCTGACTAACTCCCACATCTCAATGTGTTTGTTCCTTGTTCCTAAGGGATTTTGTCAGAATCCTCGTCAATTGCTGACTAATCTCACATCTCAATGTGTTTGTTTCTAATGGATTTTGTCAGAATCCTCGTCAGTTGCTGACTAATCACACATCCCAATGTGTTTGTCCCTAAGAGATTTTGTCAGAATCAAGATCATTTGCTGACTAATCACACATCTCAATGTGTTTGTTCCTAATGGATTTTGTCAGAATCCTCGTCAGTTGCTTACTAATCACACATTTCAATGTGTTTGTTCCTAAGGGATTTTGTCAGAATCCTCGTCAGTTGCTGACTAATCACACATTTCAATGTGTTTGTTCCTAAGGGATTTTGTCAGAATCCTCGTCAGTTGCTCACTAATCACACATCTCAATGTGTTTGTTCCTAAGGGATTTTGTCAGAATCCTCGTCAGTTGCTGACTAATCACACATTTCAATGTGTTTGTTCCTAAGGGATTTTGTCAGAATCCTCGTCAGTTGCTGACTAATCACACATTTCAATGTGTTTGTTCCTAAGGGATTTTGTCAGAATCCTCGTCAGTTGCTCACTAATCACACATCTCAATGTGTTTGTTCCTAAGGGATTTTGTCAGAATCCTCGTCAGTTGCTGACTAATCACACACCTAAATGTGTTTGTTCCTTGTTCCTAACGGATTTTGTGTCAAAATCCTCGTCATTTGCTGACTAATCACACATCCCAATGTGTTTGTTCCTAAGGGATTTTGTCATAATCCTCGTCAATTGCTGACTAATCACACATCTCAATGTCTTTGTTCCTAAGGGATTTTGTCAGGATCCTCGTCAGTTGCTGACTAATCACACATCTCATTGTGTTTGTTCCTAAGGGATTTTGTCAGAATCCTCGTCAGTTGCTGACTAATCACACATCTCAATGTGTTTGTTCCTTGTTCCTAAGGTATTTTGTCAGAATCCTCGTCAGTTGCTGACTATTCACACATCCCAATGTGTTTGTCCCTAAGGGATTTTTTTCAGAATCCTCGTCAGTTGCTGACTAATCAAACATCTCATTGTGTTTGTTCCTAAGGGATTTTGTCAGAATCCTCGTCAATTGCTGACTAATCACACATCTCAATGTGTTTGTTCCTTGTTCCTAAGGGATTTTGTCAGAATCTTCGTCAGTTTCTGACTTATCACACATCTCAATGTGTTTGTCCCTAAGGGATTTTGCATTGAAGTCAGAACTAGACTCGAGCCGATTTACATCTTGACAGTCTGTATTAATCACATGTCTATTGTTGAACCGTATGTTGACCTTCAGGTGTCATTTTGAATGTTTGTGTTGTTAGGTTGCCACTCAATGACATACACCCCCTCATATCCATTTGTTCATAATGTTGAGTTTTTGTAATGCTATCAAAGTTAAAGTTTTTACTTTTTATTGCCAATAAAACTTTTTGTCAAAATGTGAATTAAATCAATGAAATTGAAAGTAGTTTAAACATATTGAAAGTTCTTCTCGTTCTGCTGTACTGTAAAACGGATTGTTACGTTTTACGTCAGTAGGACGGCAAGTTTTAATATGTGACATTATTGATAGCCAAATATCTTGTTACGGAACACCCACTACCCGTTTACGAGCTATGTATTAAACAGATCACATTTCACTTATTCGAAATCAAATTAAAAGAAATGAATTCTTTACAAATGGTGCCTCTTCGGATTAAGTAAAGTTTGAACAATTTTATTGGCTTTATATTGGTATGAATGCTTTTTTATCATGTCCTCTGAATTATCCAGACAGCCTATATATAAATAATCATACTAACATTGAAATTTGTATATTTTTTATAATTTTTCTGATCTGAATGCGAAATGGAAACGGCTATCCGAGAATAAAAGGTACTTGATCATTGTCATTTTGCTTAGTTTTCTTCTGTTACCTATCCTAACATAGGACACAGACTCATTGTGTTATTTTAATTTTGGTTCATCCGTATGTTTTGGAGTTTAGTGTGGCGTCCATTTCGCAGAACTAGCAAACATTATTGTTAAGGGGCCAGCTGAAGCCAACCTCCGGATCGGGATTTTCTGGCTGCGTTGGAGACACAATGGTCTCTTTGACACATTCCCCGTTTACATACTCTATTCTATTGTTTGTTGTTTGTGTTGCGAATATATATTTTGTCATCTTGCATTAAATACAAAGGTTTTCGTGTATGCACTGTTCATAAAGTTAGTTATCCGCAACCTCACGTGACATAACCTTAGCTGTATTTGGCAAAACTTTAGGAATTTTGGGTCATCAATGCTCTTCAACTTCGTACTTTATTTGGCCATTTTAACTTTTTTGATTCGAGCGTCACTGATGAGTCTTTTGTAGACAAAACGCACGTCTGGCGTACAAAATTTCAATCCTTGTAACTATGATGAGTTTATCTACTTGACAACTTAAACTGGAGCCATGAACTGACATAAAAATAAAGAGATGTGGTATGATTTACAATGAGACAAATTCTATCCAGAAAAAGACAAAATGACAAAGGGCAACTACTGATCATTCAAACGACCCTTGACCAGAAACAAACCCCATGCCGTAAATTAAGCTATAAAAGGCCTTGAAATGTATTGTAATTTGATATTGGAATATATATGTTCAGTATATTTTCACTCAAGTGTTTCGATTGCTTTTTAAAAATAGAAACCGCATAAAGTATTTAAATATTTATTTTGTCTATCATTTTCCTCTCCACTATATAACTTTTGTTCAAAGTAACAAATGTTAAAACTTCAGTGCTTATATTCATTTTTATAAGATAAAAAAATCATCGTTAATAAGGTATATCTCAAAAGTAATGATTGAGTCTTTTTCTAACTGTCAGAATCAACCTACACGTTTTATTTTAATAATGATAACCCGTTTCGGGATTTAAACACATTAATATGCAAAACAGTTTTCTATACAAATATACCCACAACAGGAAAAATGAAATTCATTTGAATAAAATCGGTGCTGGCTAACTCTTCGACTCGCACAATGACAATCAGTTTATAATAGGATCAAATATGATTTTCAAATTAGGAATTATTTTCGTATATCTTTATTCATGTTTATTATCATGTTTAGCTGAAGGTAAGAATTAAGGCAGTGTTTACTTATTATATTATACTAAATCGATGTCACTGCTGGTGGACTGTCCGTCACAGCGGATAACATACCACCACTTTGTCAATGCCATTGTTTTTGGATTGCAAGTCCTCGAAGATAAATTACCACCATTAGGTCGACGCTACTGCTGGTGAACAGCATGTCCCCAAGGTTAACATAACGCCACTAGGTCGATGCCACTGCTGGTGAACAGCAAGTCCACCGATATCAATAGCCCGTGATTTTTATTGACATGGTTAAATTTGATATAAATACTCTTGTGAATTTTTAGTTTACAAAATATTTTTTTTTTATATCCAAGGTTATCTTTCAAATTCTAATGTATTCCTTGGTTGGTTTTGGTATTGTTTAGTGTTAGATAGTCTTTTGAGTTAATTACTCTTCAGCTTTTGATTGTCTTTGATAAATGATACATGCATATTAGGTCGAGCATGTGGATATGATGCAGAAAATTCAATAATAATTTAAATGTGCACCTTAACTTGAATACAAAGTCCTTTACCATAAATATAAACTCCTGTTAAAGCTGTGTCAATACCCTGTTTGATTATTTTATATAATGATGACAATGCATTCGTCTCAATGCATGTTCTGGCCTTATAAGAAGGTCAATACTATGAGAACTATATGACAATCATCATGATGAAAAGCAATTTTTCTTCTGTATTAATATCACATAATACAACTATCACGTTGTAGATCTTTCGTTCTATAACAAATAATTGCTGTACTTTAAAATTTATCTTTATTTGTATCTGCATTCAGAATTAAAAAATTCTCTTCTAGTTTATCATTGGATTGTCAATGTTAAAAACAGTTTCATTGTACAGATCATTAACATTACTATTATAATCAACACCCTCCTTCCAAATCTTCCAAAGTGAGGAACATGTGGACCAATAAGTTGACGATGGAAATTCATTTAAAACCAAGCACGGGTCAAATCTAGAGCTCTGGGTAAAATACACCAGTTGAACATAGCTGGCAACATGCAATGAACACATTCCAGCTGTATTAACAATCTTATCAGGTTAAAGTCATTATATCGTACTTTTTTATTTGATTTAAGGGTATTTTGTTGGTTAAAATTAAGAATTTGTACCAAACTCGAAACAACTGAACTGTAAATATTTTTTGTAAGCAGTATTTACTGGAACATTTCATATGAGAATACAAACCGTCAAGTATTGATAATCTTCCATAAAATATCCAAAGAAATGTTATGGATTTGTTCAGAAGAGTGGACAAATATTGACAATGTAAACTTATTCATGACCTGTCCTCATTCAGAATACTAGTACCCATTGATTATTAACTTTGACCCAGACAGCTGGAACGCTCAATCAAATTTAAAAAGATTTTTTTTCAATTATGAAACCTAAAAATTTTACATTGTATAAGAATGTTTAAAGGATAACAAAATATTTTTGAAGGATAGTTTATCGATTTAAAAAAACAGACTACTTTAACCCAAAAACTATTTGTCAATTTTTTCATGTTTTCAAATATGGTTAACGACCTTTGAATAACTAAAATGAAGTGGTGTGTATAGATCTATTGTATATATTAACATACTAACATGCAGTACAAAAGAACCCTACTTGTAACATGAGGGAAAATAAAAACATAACAAACAAACAAACAAAAACATTTCGTTACTACTATTACATAACTTCAATACATGATCATGCGATTTTAGTTGTACTTAATGAACCAATCATTTAAAACCATTGCAGATTCAAATATGCAATTATAAAATAACATTGCTAAATGAATTTATCTTTCATTTTAGTGCAAGTCCAGTCTTTACACATTATATAACTTTGTAGTGTATTATGAGCCTGCTTTTTTCTGTTTCATAATTGTGATTTTTATCTAAAACAGTTAAATGTTTGAGTTTAAAGTATCCTTTAAAACTACAGACCATTTTGGGGCACCTGAGTTCGGTTTTCGTTAGGTACGTGTTGCTCAGTCTTCTGTTTTCGTTAGGTACGTGTTGCTCAGTCTTCTGTTTTCGTTAGGTACGTGTTGCTCAGTCTTCTGTTTTCGTTAGGTACGTGTTGCTCAGTCTTCTGTTTTCGTTAGGTACGTGTTGCTCATTCTTCTGTTTTCGTTAGGTACGTCTTGCTCAGTCTTCTGTTTTCGTTAGGTACGTGTTGCTCAGTCTTCTGTTTTCGTTAGGTACGTGTTGCTCAGTCTTCTGTTTTCGTTAGGTACGTGTTGCTCAGTCTTCTGTTTTCGTTGGGTACGTGTTGCTCAATCTTCTGTTTTCGTTAGGTACGTGTTGCTCAATCTTCTGTTTTCGTTAGGTACGTGTTGCTCAGTCTTCTGTTTTCGTTAGGTACGTGTTGCTCAATCTTCTGTTTTCGTTAGGTACGTGTTGCTCAATCTTTTGTTTTCGTTAGGTACGTGTTGCTCAATCTTCTGTTTTCGTTAGGTACGTGTTGCTCAGTCTTCTGTTTTCGTTAGGTACGTGTTGCTTAGTCTTCTGTTTTCGTTAGGTACGTGTTGTTCAGTCTTCTGTTTTCGTTAGGTGCGTGTTGCTTAGTCTTCTGTTTTCTGTGTATTGTTTTGTAGAATATTGTTTTTTCTGTTCGTCTTTTTTCTTTTGTTGTCTGTCTTTTTTAGAAAATTTTTCATCTAGAAACCAAACTATATTCACGTTTTTAAGGAATTCTACAACAAAATTACGTAACATCCCCTTTTGTTGTCTGTCTTTTTTAGAAAATTTTTCATCTAGATACCAAACTATATTCACGTTTTTAAGGAATTCTACAACAAAATTACGTAACATCCCCTTTTGTTGTCTGTCTTTTTTAGAAAACTTTTCATCTAGAAACCAAACTATATTCACGTTTTTAAGGAATTCTACAACAAAATTACGTAACATCCTTTTTTGTTGTCTGTCTTTTTTAGAAAAGTTTTCATCTAGATACCAAACTATATTCACGTTTTTAAGGAATTCTACGACAAAATTACGTAACATCCCCTTTTGTTGTCTGTCTTTTTTAGAAAAGTTTCCATCTAGATACCAAACTATATTCACGTTTTAAGGAATTCTACAACAAAATTACGTAACATCCCCTTTTGTTGTCTGTCTTTTTTAGAAAAGTGTCCATCTAGATACCAAACTATATTCACGTTTTTAAGGAATTCTACAACAAAATTACGTAACATCCTTTTTTGTTGTCTGTCTTTTTTAGAAAAGTTTTCATCTAGATACCAAACTATATTCACGTTTTTAAGGAATTCTACAACAAAATTACGTAACATCCCCTTTTGCTGTCTGTCTTTTTTAGAAAATTTTTCATCTAGATACCAAACTATATTCACGTTTTTAAGGAATTCTACAACAAAATTACGTAACATCCCCTTTTGTTGTCTGTCTTTTTTAGAAAACTTTTCATCTAGAAACCAAACTATATTTACGTTTTTAAGGAATTCTACAACAAAATTACGTAACATCCTTTTTTGTTGTCTGTCTTTTTTAGAAAAGTTTTCATCTAGATACCAAACTATATTCACGTTTTTAAGGAATTCTACAACAAAATTACGTAACATCCCCTTTTGTTGTCTGTCTTTTTTAGAAAAGTTTCCATCTAGATACCAAACTATATTCACGTTTTTAAGGAATTCTACAACAAAATTACGTAACATCCCCTTTTGTTGTCTGTCTTTTTTAGAAAAGTTTCCATCTAGATACCAAACTATATTCACGTTTTTAAGGAATTCTACAACAAAATTACGTAACGTCCCCTTTTGTTGTCTGTCTTTTTTAGAAAAGTTTTCATCTAGATACCAAACTATATTCACGTTTTTAAGGAATTCTACAACAAAATTACGTAACATCCCCTTTTGTTGTCTGTCTTTTTTAGAATACTTTTCATCTAGAAACCAAACTATATTCACGTTTTTAAGGAATTCTACAACAAAATTACGTAACATCCCCTTTTGTTGTCTGTCTATTTCAGAAAACTTTTCATCTAGATACCAAACTATATTCACGTTTTTAAGGAATTCTACAACAAAATTACGTAACGTCCCCTTTTGTTGTCTGTCTTTTTTAGAAAACTTTTCATCTAGATACCAAACTATATTCACGTTTTTAAGGAATTCTACAACAAAATTACGTAACATCCCCTTTTGTTGTCTGTCTTTTTTAGAAAAGTTTCCATCTAGATACCAAACTATATTCACGTTTTTAAGGAATTCTACAACAAAATTACGTAACATCCCCTTTTGTTGTCTGTCTTTTTTAGAAAAGTTTCCATCTAGATACCAAACTATATTCACGTTTTTAAGGAATTCTACAACAAAATTACTTAACATAGACCAGTCATGTGTGTTTCCAGACAGTTAAAACTTGTATGATAATGCATAATATGTAAACATTACAATGCAATCTTTCCACATTTATTATAAATCATGGTGTGTCGCTTTTGTAGTGGAACACATTTTAATTTTGTAAACGATTCGAATGATTTCATTTTAAATGTTAGAATTTAATAGTTTTGACAACAGATCTCAAATTAAAAAGAAGATGCACCCTATTAATATATTTTTGAACGTGTAAAATATTTTTAATTTCATTATATTTCTACATATTTTGGAAAACTTAATTTGGCAATACATTTGCTTTCCAAATTTGCATGTTAGTTTTTGTCAACTTCCAAAAAAGGACTACAATCTACTTGCAAATAAATTAAATGACGGTGACCAAATCCCATCAGAACAATAATTTGCCTATCACATTTTTTCCCCGTTTGACCATGGTGTTATCTGTCCTTCCCCTAATTAATTTAAAAGCATTCAGAAAACATATGCTACTTTGACTTTTGGTACATCAGTGAAATCGACTATGATCGACTATGAAATAATTTGAAGTATTTTTTTTAAATGTTAATCATAAGCATTTCTATATGAAGTGCGTGAAAATGACCGTAACCACTTCAAAATATAATTTAAATCTTTAAGAAATCAAATACTTGTTTCGAACAAATCATTTCTTTTTAAATACTCGATGTAATTTTTACACCGAGTTCTTAATGAGCATGCAAACTTTTATTCATGAAAAATTAAACAAATAAAATACTAGACGGGACTAATCTATGAACTACCCAAATAACCAGTAAATAACGTCAAAATGTTTTCTAAACATTAATGCAGCGGACTGATACATAATTTGTTGTAATGCCTATTGTTGAAGATTGTATGTAGCAGTCTTTTGGATGTCTTAAATTATTGTTGGAAGGTTGTCTCATTCAAGTATACCCTACTTCCCCTTTTAATTAATATATAGTTCAAAATGTATTTGTATTTGTTGTTGTTCTTTGCTTTTTTCTCTTTCTTTTGTGATATTGTCTTTTATTAAATTTATGGTTCGTAATTACCTGTTTCAATCTTGCAGCATATACAAACTAATTTTATGGCCATGTTAAATTTTCACATTCTCCACCATCCACAAATCAGTGGTATGGCCATGTTAAATTTTCAGTCTCGACCATCCAGAAACCAATTGTGCGACCATGTTAAATTTTCATTCTCGACCATCCACAAACCAAGTGTATGGCCATGTTAAATTTTCATTCTCGACCAGCCACAAACCAAGTGTATGGCAATGTTAAATTTTCATTCTCGACCACCCACAAACCAAGTGTATGGCCATGTTAAATTTCCATTCTCGACCAGCCACAAACCAAGTGTATGGCAATGTTAAATTTTCATTCTCGATCATCCACAAACCAAGTGTATGGCCATGTTAAATTTTCATTCTCGACCATCCACAAACCAAGTGTATGGCCATGTTAAATTTTCATTCTCAACCAGCCACAAACCAAGTGTATGGCAATGTTAAATTTTCATTCTCGACCACCCACAAACCAAGTGTATGGCCATGTTAAATTTCCATTCTCGACCAGCCACAAACCAAGTGTATGGCAATGTTAAATTTTCATTCTCGATCATCCACAAACCAAGTGTATGGCCATGTTAAATTTTCATTCTCGACCATCCACAAACCAAGTGTATGGCCATGTTAAATTTTCATTCTCAACCAGCCACAAACCAAGTGTATGGCCATGTTAAATTTTCATTCCCGACCATCCACAAACCAAGAGTATGGCCATGTTAAATTTCCATTCTCGACCAGCCACAAACCAAGTGTATGGCAATGTTAAATTTTCATTCTCGATCATCCACAAACCAAGTGTATGGCCATGTTAAATTTTCATTCTCGACCATCCACAAACCAAGTGTATGGCCATGTTAAATTTTCATTCTCGACCATCCACAAACCAAGTGTATGGCCATGTTAAATTTTCATTCTCGACAATCCACAAACCAAGTGTATGGTAATGTTAAATTTTCATTCTCGACCATCCACATACCAATTGTATGGCTATGTTAAGTTTTCAGTCTCGACCATCCACAAACCAATTGTATGGCCATGTTAAATTTTCATTCTCGACCATTCACAAACCAAATGTATGGCCATGTTAAATTTTCATTCTCGACCATACAGTACTTTTATCAATCGTATTCACAATTTCCAACCAGTGAAATTTTTATTGTATTATTTTTTCTTTCCTTCATTGTGTAATCGGTCCGTTTCTTTTTATCTGGGGAGGGGGAGGGAATGGATGAAATCAGATATAGCGGTCTCCCACTGTAAAATTAAGAAATAATATATTTTGATGTAATTCTAGATCCAGAATGTATTGGCAGCGTCAGTCCCCTCGGCATGCAGAGTGGAAATATCACAAATGAACAAATAACATACTCATCAATACGTGCAGATCTCAAGAAAGAATACAGCAGATATGATTGCTGCCAAGGTGAGAATTATAGTACCTTATATGTATATGAACGTGCGTAAAGACAAATTATAATATAGAACCATAAGCACTTCTGTCCGATTTTTGTTTTTATATATATACCTTAATATAATACAAGTGCCTGTGTATAGAACCCCTGAAAACAGATTTAAATAATTTACAGCAACAAAACTATATAGTGAAAAGATGCTTTATACAAAGAAAATTCAAAGATAAATAAAGCCTGCTAATGTTTAAGGGCAATCAATGTATGGATATATGATTCAACGAAAAAGATATAAAAATGTAGCTACGAAGTTTGACTCGAGTAGATGCGAAAGCGTTTTCTTTAATTTACAGATACAAAGTCAAAACATACTAGTCTAATAGAAATAGATAGATAGTTCAAGCTTTATCATTTTTCTCAGTTACTAGCTATTCTTGCATCTTAGTAATTAGAGAGGAGATACATCAATATATCCCAGTAAGTCGATAGCGATCGAAGTTGTCAATAAAACATAATTTACCCATAGAATTATCAAAACATATTTTAAGGCTGAATTGCTTCCATTAAAAAAGGTCAAGTTTGGTGATATTTAAAAAGTACACCTACATGGGCACGTTTGTACTGGAAAAAGATTAAGGGGCGTGTGCTTAATAGTAAGAGATAAACAAAATTATGAGATGTTTATCTTGTTTAAGTATATTACCACCCTTATATGATTATTTCTTCGCTATGTCTCCTTGTAAAAATATTGCACTTCTGATGGATATGCTAAATAAGTATTTATATGTCATTCAGATTAACAAAGAACTTTAAAAGCCACAAAATCCTATAATAATAAAATCTCGATTTTACGACTTTATTTTTAATTTATGGTTGTACGTATGTTTGTGCTTCGACGCAACACGATTTAAATTAAGTTGAAAAAAAAATACTAGACCGTGTCTTCTTGTACTGTTCATGATATTACTGTATGAAATGAATATGGATGGCTTCTTTTTTTGTATTACCTACTTTGAGCTTGCTTCCAGTAACTTCAAGCAATACTTCAAACATTAGTATTGTTTAGTTTTGTTATTGTTGTCTATAATATCCGATTCAATGAATGTTTTTTTTCTGAACACACCCGGATGTTTTGTATGTTATTCTCTCCATGTACCTTTGGTTATTCTGTTGATCGAGGTTACACGGGACTTGAAAAGTTCAGTCCATAAGGAAATAGTTTGACCACGCCAGTGTATATGTATTTGTTCAAAGTCATACCCTTGTCAGTGGTTGTCTTTGGTTATATCTTAACGCGATTTGTGTTTAATGTCAATTGATGCTGATAGCAGATCTCTGAAATCTCTGTTAAATATATTTACTGCTTGAGACCATATTGAGTAGACATTTATCTATTGTTGAAGACAGTATCTTGACCTGTAGATGTCCCTTTTTGGTGTCGATTGATTGCTGTCCCTTTGATGTAGCCAAACATTTCCTTTATATCATAGACAAGTGTCCTTTCATTGTATATGAATAAAGCCAAATTTAGATGAAGGGAATGTTAATAGTTAGTCAATGCTTATAAAACCTTTTCTATCAAATGTCTTTATCTGAGTATCATCATACTGTTTGTAGGTCTATAAATCTTAGGATGAAAGTAGTTATAATTTGTAGTTATAATTACTGACCATAAACATGTGTCCTGACATTTAACAAATAGAGCATTAGCCCGTTCAATCTGATTAGGTGTAAACGCCCAAGAGTATGAAAGAAAACGAAAAATTCAAATTCTGTTTTGTGAATTAAAAAACATTTGTTAATGCATCACTAATACTGCCATTTTCATAATGGGTTAGGATGTTTTAAATTTCAGTTTTGATAAACGAGTTCACATTAAATATTATGATATGTTTTGTATAAAAACGTGTTGTAAGTTGAGAAAAGAATGTTTAGTACATACAATGTTTAATGAGGTTCAGTCACCTTGCAGTGTCACCAACATCGTAGTGATCCAACAATGACGAAAGAATAAATCTAAATATTCTTATTACTTTTGTAAGCTGATCTGTGTCTGTATTTTTCTACAATTATTTTTAGAGGACCAATAAACTTACTTTTTTATATGAATAAAGGAGATGTTATACATACTTCATATAAGACAGTAACCCAACGACTTAACAACGCGAAATAAATCTAGGGGTAAACATATATGATTATGAGATGTACAATAAACGTCTTATAATAGCTGTTCAATGGGACAATGGGACCAAGTCATTTTACAAGACCCACTCATATACCATTGCGTTAGTGCCCCCTTTTGATCTGCAATTGACTATTAATGCACCGGAGACTCAGCTTGAAATGGATCCAGAAAATGTATTGTATCAATGTTACCAGTTATACAGGCTACACGAAAATGTACTATGTGTTGTTGGTAGTTGTTTTTCTTTGTTTTTATGTAGGTGTTGGTGGTAGCTGTTTGTCTCATTTTTAAAATTAAGGAGATGAGGTACGATTGACAATGAGACAACTATCCACCAAAGTTCAAATAAAGTGGATGTAAGCAATTATAGGCAACCGTACGGCCTTCATGACAGACATGAACCAATGACAACCACTGAACTACAGGCTCCTGACGTTGGACAGGCAAAGAATGTGGCGGGGTTTAACATGTTTGTGAGCGCTCCACCCCCCCCCCCCCCCCACCCCCCGGTAACCTGTGAAAGTGGTGTAACAGCACAACATAAGAACAAACTATAAAAATCAGTTGAAAAAGGCTTATCTAAACAGATCGATACAAAGCAGAAAAACATCAAACATAAACACAGACCGGACGTGGCAGGATATTTATCATCCCTCATCCCTAACAACAAAAAGGACACAAAGTACAGATCTCATAGTACTCGCAATTACTGACAGCTAGTTCAAAGCCAGTAACAACTAATAAAAAAAATCATGTATCTAAAACTAAAATGTTTTCATGTGCGTCTTTTTTCGGAGGAGTCGGGTGTTGGTCATTGGTGTGGTCTGTTGTAGTGTCCAATGGTTTTGGACATTCTCGTTATCTTTTACAATATTATATGATACCTCATCAGTCACTGTTCTGGATAGATCTATACTGTACAATACCAATGGTCTTTTTATCATTACTGACTTAAAATTATATGAAAGTGGTATTGATATTGGCTGGATGCTCATTAAGACAATCACCAACATGGACCCGTGTAAAACAGTTAATTAGTATACATCAAAGGTGCATGCTAATGTTGGTTTTTATTCATTCCATAGATGTTCTTCTTCATATCGAAAGGACCTGTCGATGAACTAAAAATCCAAGATTGTCAACAAATAACAACAAGATCGAAATGGTCCAATTTTATTAAATTGATAAACAGAATGATTGCGGCAACGGTTGTGTTTACTTGAAACAAACTCACTTGATCTAAAATTTACTGGTAAATAAAGAAAAAAAATATAAAGGAAAGGCAGGCGGAAAAGAAAACAAATTAAAGTAATAAAATATTGTATTCATTATATGACTCTTATATGTGAACAGCGCATTCATGCACCGTGTATATAGATATAGGAAGATGTGGTATGAGTGCCAATGAGACAATTCTCGTCTTCATTTTAACTAGCAGTCATTAATTTTACGAATGAAAATTATTGAGCATTACATTTGTATAAAACTTAGCTGTTGGCATTTAATTTAAGGGCATTTTGACATCTTATTTCTCATAACTTTAAGGTGCTAGCTTTGCTGCATGGTGTCCGGAGACGGCAACAATAGGAGAATGGATTGAGGTGTCTTTCGACGAACCAATACGACTGTCTTCTATTGAAATACAAAAACCTGTTGGTTCAAGTTCACAATGGCCAACAGAGTTAGATATACTAATAGAAGAAGCTCAAAGTTTCCCTGGTAATCTTACAAATTCAGGAGAGGTGGGTAGCTATTTGATTCGATTTTAAGTGAAGAAAAAAAATGCAATTAAGAAAAGGGAAAATCTTCTAGTGTGTTGCATGTTTTCGATGTGCCTACGAACACTTTGATCACAATCTCCAAACTATTATAAATCAGTATGGTAGTGCAAATGAAAGTCATGTTTTATTCGAACTGATTAACGAACTATTAAAAAAGCTTAATTTGTTTGCTTGCAAATGGCAAAATCAAAACCCCATGTTAATTTCTTATAAGATACTTGCACATACCCTCTTTTAAATCATTGCTCTCAGAATTCATTCCATATTTTTAGCATAATCCACGTTTAGGATTACATCTGATTTTTCATGGACTATATATATATATACAACATTTCTTTAATCTACAATGGTTCTTGAACAAAAATGTGTTGATTGACAAAGGTCGTTTGGACAACGTGATATCAAGAATCTATGCTATACTAGCACATTGAATTGAAAAGAGATTGTCTTTTAAATGGTGGGTTCTATAGATATAAATTAGACATAGTATTTATAAGCAGTTTTACAGGCTTCTTTATGCTAACAAAATTCTCCTCACAGTCAATCTATGCATTTCCTAGTCGCAGCATATACTCTTTTTTTTTTTACAGAAAATAGAACTTGTTCCCTCAAACGTAGTTCAAACATTCACATTGACGAATACCTTTGTAGTAAGGCGTGTTCGATTAGTAGTAGCAAACTTTACAGAGGAACCATGTTTTAGATTCGAAATTAATGGATGTCCAGTAAAAGGTATGTGGGTATTTCAATTTTATATGGTTTTGATTCTGAAAACTTGCTTATAGGTGTGAAAATTATTTGTTGAACGTATATTGTTGTTACTCGATTTGTATGAACGGCAATGCTTTTTAGGTGACGACTCTATTCTGAACTTTTCTATTAACCGTTACTTAGTTATCGGTCTGTTCTGTCCTCGATGTATACTCTAAGCATATTTATCATGTGGTAACTATTTTTTCCAAGCAGATAAAAAAAAAAGGTTAAATTCGGTCACGTATATTAATTGTATATATGATGACTCTGGTAGTGTAGCATTTAATTATGTCCCCCATGAAATAATGTCCACCGGACATTATTTCTTAGTAAATACTGTCCATGGACAATATTTACTTATTTTAAAAGTGCCCCGGACACAATTTCCTATGAAAATATGATATGTCCTCGGGTATGAAAAAGTGTCCATGAATGGCATTTAATACTATAATTCTGTCCAGGTGGACATTTTTTTCACAGGACATTATGTCCGACAGACAATTTTTTATATTATTAAAGTATTAAATGTTATCCATTGCCTTGTTATTACTCGACGTATTTTAACCTATAATTGCGACCTTTATTACAATATTACTTTGACAGAGAGATGTCTCATTGGCACTCATACCGTCCTTATCTTCTTATTTATATTTTGTAATATATATACATGTATAATGATTTAAATTCAAACAAGTAACAGATGTTGTTCAGTATTATTTTCCTTGGAGGACACAATTTATTAACAACTACTTCGAAAAATTGTTCTGTGTAGGTGGACCATATTTCAAAACTTTTGCAGTAAAAATCTGTCCACTTGAGGGACAATATTTCATGGCAATGGACATTATTTAATACCAAAATTCTATGAAAAACTGTCCAGGTGGACATTTTTTCACAGGACACTATTATGTCTTACAGTTGTACTGATCGAATTTAATATTACACTGATTGAGTGAAAGTCAAACCACGAGGACTTTTACGACTTTTTTTAAATATACAAAATATTACCCCTTCAAGCTTTTTGTTTGCAAAAAGGCATGGGAATTTTCTTGATATTAATTGTTTGTTTTAAATTTGAAATTTAAATTGACTATCGAAGCATCAGTTGTATCCTGGAACTTGATTGTACGGAATTTATAAACATCCTGTCCGATTTGACTCGTAAATTATTTTTTTCGCGGGGTTAATTTCAAGAACAAATCTGATTCAACACTGATCCCATAGTTGTCGATTGTTAGTACTTCGAATGTAGGAATTGGGTTTCTTTTTCAAGAACTTTCATTATTTGTACTTATATGCATCTCTTTCTCCATGGTTATTAATTTTCCAGATGATGCACAGGTTCATTATAACATTGACAAAAATGGCTTTGTTTACACCTCGAAAATTACTATGAGCACAGACAAACCTGTGCAGTTGGAAAAGTTTTCAGGTCTAGCATCCACTAGATATACAAACATGTTTAAATGCATTTTGTGATTCAGAAAGATAAAATGTTTTTTTTTTAATTGGATGTGCATTTTTTTCATCACTGCATATGTTGGTAAAAAAACAATAACTGAATTACATTTTATTCTGTCCGCTCAGATTAAATCACACTGTTGTGTAGATATCTATTGTCTATCATCAATGAATAAAATGCAATGCAATTGTTACCTGAGAGTGGTCATCTCAAAGATTTAACCTAACTTACACTGTTACATGTAGTTTATTTTTAGGACTTCTGCAGGAACGAAAAAAATGGCCATTTAAATTCAAAAAAGGTTTTATCTTTCTGGAACCTAAAATGCATCTAACTTTTATACATCTAGTGGAAGCTAGGCCTTAAAACTTTTCAAACTGTACAGGTTTGTCTGTACTTGGAGGAGTAAATTTCTATGTGTAATCGGTATTTTTGTCCATTTGTTATGACTGAGCCTTAAACTCAAATCAAATTACAACAGAGACATTATTATATGTCTCTGATAATAATGGTCCAATACTATATGTCCCTGTAAATAATGAAGGCACACACCAGGGTTTGACATTAACTATTTCATCAACTTGACCTTCGGGCAAGTGACCATAGTATAATTTACTTGTCCGAAAGAGAAAACCACTTGTCCCAAAATTGTACTTGTTTAAGAAATTTTAAACTGCCATTTATTGACATAAAACCTTGTAAATGAATTAAAAAAGGGGTGAAATGTACCTGATTCATGAAAGAGTTTCACCAAGCCACTTGAACCACACCAGTTCACCAGTGACCTAACAGAAAACTCAACGAAGAATGTATGGTTTTAGACTTTACAAAATATTTCTTGAGTGTTTTGTGTTCATTGTTTTTTGTCCAATTTACTATGAACTATTTGTTTGTCTTTTTCAGTATTTACAAATTATTCCAATTCACACTATTTTCTATTACCTCAAAGTCTTTTCCAAGATTCAATAAATCTTGTATTCCTCTTTTTTCATATTTTGATTTTGTTATATTATTTTCAGCTGGGATAGTTTTCCTAAAATAGTTAGGTCTAATAATCTGATAAGTTAATTAAAGAATGCATCAACAACTGAATTGTACTCTGGCCATTATTTTTGATTGTCTATAGTCATGATAGTTAGAAAGGGAAAATACTAAAAATATGTAAATTGTCGATACGGTCTGGGTTGGTTAATACAATGATTTATTGATAAAAAGAGAATGAATTAAGACGAATCGGAATTATTTAAAGATTTTAACTTGTAATTTTTACTTGTCCACCAGACAAGTACACTGCAGCTTTTACTTGCAATTGTAATATAAGGAAAAGTACAAAGAAAAAGTTTTTCTGGCTGAACATTAATGTTTATAAAATTTTGTAGATCCTGATCCACCAGAAATTCCTGATTTACCAGATTTAGAGTTTACATATAATAACCCAGATGACTTACGGCTTAAATGCTCATTCGGTACTACATTTAGTTACAGTGTTCAGTATGATGTTACGTGGGATGATAATGGAAAGATCCTATCACAGAAACTTTTACCCAATACACAAGTGTCCGATACGTTACACTTTACCTCGGCTGATCTAGACTTAGTATCAAAGGTATATATATATACTTGAAACAAATTAAACCATACTTTCCTGCAGGTACTGTTTTTAAACAAGAGTCATATTTTAGTTTTATGCTTTCATACATTTCTTGATTCTTATACCAAATATGCAGCCCACCCCACAATTTCAAAGAATACATGTTGTTAATTTAGAACCTGAATTCAAAAAAACTTTTAATCATCCAGACAGTGAAAGTTTTGAGAAAAGTTTTAGAATCATGGAGAAAAATTAGTGTAAAACTGATATTCTGTTAGTACACAATTTAATTATTTGAATAAAGAAAGTATGTTATAAAATTACATTAAAAATCTGGATTGAAACACAATTAAGATATGGGTTTAAATTACCAAAATTAAACTGATATAATGAATCCAAGGTTAATCATTTTCACTTATTATTGATCATTTGTATTTGTATTTTCAAATCATGAAAATATGTGTCTTATACCACCATTTACTTTCTCCAGATAAAATGTATGGTAAAGGCATGCAATACAAAAGATTGCCCTACACTTTTCGGTAAAAAGAAATCCAGCAATATCTTCAGACCAGAAATAAAGGTGAGTTTGGTTGTCTTAATTAAGAAAATATCAGTACAATCATAGAAGATTGCTTTTGTATTCTACAAAAGAGGTTCAGTCATCGGTACCTTACTTTAAGATCACATGATTACCATAAGATAAAAGAAATACAAGGATAAAGATAAATATTGAATTGGTTTATTAGGTCAATGTTAGAATTATTGTGGCTAAATACATGTAATAGTTGATTAAAGGGTAAAGTCAACCAATCAACACAATTTAGCATATTGTTAATATCTGACCTTCAGAATACTCCTTAGTATGACCAATACTACGGTACCAATAAAGTTTGAATACCTTCACTTTATGTTTTGACAAGGAACATGCTGCTTATCATACAGTGAAATCAATTTACATTTATCAAAGTAATATATGGACTATATATGTGATAAAGCATAAAAAAAATAAAAACAGATTTTCCCACTCACCTTTCATTTAAAATTATGTAATTCAACTAATTTGCATAACTGGACAGGAACTTGGATACACTTTATATACCAGGGGGTACCAGGGGGTATGTATTTCTCCTTGGTATCTTCTTCTGCTTTTTGATAACACTGGATGAAAAAAAAGAGAAATGTTGATAAAAAATCTGCTATTCGAATTTCATTAGATATGCAAAAATTGTACTTTGTTTATAAAATTATTTCACTCACAATTCTATGTTCATTTGTAATTTAATTTGACATTTTTGAGTTACTTGTTATTTTTTTTTCAGATTAAGAATGGAACATCATTGACTGTGAGAGAAGGTGGAGAAGAGAGTTTTGTTGTGATAACATCGAATGTTCCCCCGGTTGTTTACTGTAGGGCTCAAAGTCTTGATGATGACTGTACTGTGTTTGTACAACTTCGTTCTAGTGAACAAAATCCAGTTCAATGCAAAAATGGTATGTAACAAAGCATTTGTTTTTATTCTTAGACTTTATTATATTTCGGAAGAATAGTTGAAATATTTGGAACAGTAAGTTCCTGGTATATTTTATATGCACATATATATATACATTTTCTTTGTAATTGTCAATTTGAAAATTTGGCTTTGATTTAAAACTTTAAAGTATAAGTAAGGTAAAGATGCTAAAGTATTTAGATATTGGATTTCATATAATAGTTCATTTTAATTTTTTTACACATGCATAGATTGATTGAGACAGGTTGGAAATTCACTCACTGAATAATACTTGTACATATTTTTACAGTCTACGAGTTGTCAATTCATAAAAAAAAAAAAAAGAAACTCATATTTCATCTCGATGACTTTTGATAAGTAAACATTTGTCAATAAGTAAAGTTTTTACCTTTTATTTCTTGTGAAATTAAATGCTAATGAACATTTGTTAAAGGTTTGTGGTAAAAATAAAAAAAAGTTTATAGAAATGAGGTGTTACTGCTTTGTATAACATTTTAAAATTTCTCTACTTGCAGGTTTAATGTTGAATATTATGATCTTTAATTTTTCATTAGAAGCAATAAAAAATTAGAGAACTACTTTAAAAGGAACCTATTTACTTATTCTTTTTTTATTCTTGTATTTCCTAAAGCTGCAAACTAGCGTTTCATATGCCTACCAATACTGCAAGTTGGTGTGAATAATGCCCTGAAGAGAATATTGAGTGATTTTCAAATCTCTATGTTTATACTGGCAAATGATGTCAGCAACCTCTCAAAGATTATCAGCCTTTTTATAAACTGACGTTTACAGAACTATCTGAACTTTTTCAGGACATGACATAACTCAGGTTGTATTTCCTGAGGAAGGAGGGGAAACAAAGTCTTGTACAGTGACAGTGACGTCCGATAACTGGGACAAAGATATCAACATCCCCGTCAAAGCAGCAATGGACGGAATAATTGATGGCATGAAGACAGTCACTGTTACCATGACAACTAAAGTAGAAAATGTTGCCATGATTACAAATGTGAAATCTATTCAGGTATCTAGCCATTTATAGTATGGTCAAGGGACCTGCAAACTCTTCTGATTAATGTAGGATCCCCCCATGAGAGGTATTGACCTGACTTTTGAAATTCTTCACTATATAAACTATATATATACCTCAAAACAGACATTCAAAGGTGCTAGAATGTCATTTAAGCCCACATTTACTCACTCAAAATCATTGTGTATTAGATTAAAATATGTATTATATCACATGCTTGAGAGAGAAACAATGTACATAAGGTCTTCTTGTGTTTAGAAGTTGACAGGTATATATGAACCAGATATGTGGTTTTCTATGTGATTATATATATGAATTCTGAATATTATCTCAGTAAATTGTTGGGTCGCAGATAGATGGATAACATTAAACCTTATTATTATAGACGTCCATCATCGTTCAAATTAGTGCAACTTCTCAGCACTGAAAATGTCAAAGATTTGCGTAATTTGTGTAAATTCTTGTTTAATGCACTTTATCATAGGACCGAACTGTTAGTGGTCAATACTTGATATTTATTTGCTTCTCTGATGGATTATGTCATGTTGTGTTATAAAAAATGTATTTGTATTTATTGCACTGATAAGCATAATGTGCTTAAAGTAATATTGAATTGAAATTGAAATTGAACACATTGAAAGGTTGTAGTTTCACAGCTGTTGAAATTGTTGATTGTGCTGACGTAAATGATTGCAGTTATTTGTTTGAGATCTTAATTATTATACATTTATTTTGAATAAAACATATTTCAATTAAAAATGATTTAAGAAGTATAGAACTAAAAGCAACAGGTACTTTAATATGTTCAAATGAATTGCATCAAAGTACTCATAAGACTTTTTTCTATCTAAGATTTATTTAAATTTTATTCTATTTGAGATTTATATCAATTTCAGGACAAATAGTTTATACATATATAAAAATTAATTTGAAGGAATGTTTACATGTTTATTACCGTAACAAGGTATAAGTACATGTACTACTATTGTAGAATAACACATTTTGTTGAAACAGCCCTATTGAGTTACATTAAAGTATATGCTTTTCAGAGCACTAAATTTTGATTTTTTTGTGTATGTGATGTATTCTCAAAATTTTTCCATTTTTGAAAAAATGTTACTACATTATCCCAAGTAAATAATGTATAGGTAGCTTCTTATGAAGATTACAAAAAACACTGCAACTAGATGAACGATGGTAGTCTGTCAAATGTCAGCTGTCCTGTTCAATGGAAAGTAACAACTTTAGCACGTATTTCTCGGTACATTTTTATAAAGAGCAGCTAAATTAGGGGCTGGGTAGGATTTATAGAATAGAGAATGATGGGCCAAAAAAAAAAAAAATAAAGACTAGAGAATAATGGCCCCAAAATATAAAGAATAGATTATAATTGGGTTCTAAAATATACAGAATATAGAATAACAGGGAAAAAGTATAGGATAGCAAAAAAGGTTAAAGGTTACCAAAGTCAAGATCCCATGCAGACCCTCCTAAATGCCACTACAGAAGTTGCTCATGCACCTAACACAGAGTGTATAAGTTACTGTGACTCATTTTTTAATGTTTTTTTAAATAAATAAATTTAATCTAGATCAAAGAAGATGAAATATTATTAGAATCCTGCACACAAACATGTAAAATAAAGTGAATAAATTATGCAGTATGTTTTCTAGCAACTGTGGTTTATAATATTTGTATAAAAACTTTTACACTTGTTTGTTATGTAAATGGAAAGCATTTATTTTTTTATATCATGGTATTTGATACTGAAATAGCATGAACTGAATTTAAAGGACTTTAAATGTCATTTTGATAATAGCTATAAAGCCTAAAATCCTTTTCATGATTATTGAATTTCTCCTTTTTACCTAGTTAAGTTAATTTTAGCAGCTCATTTTACAATAATAAATCACAGTTGATAATACATTTTTGGTTTATCATAATAGAATTCAAATAAAATTCATTTAAATGAAATATTTGTTAGTTCAATTAAATGTCACATGAAGATCATTATCCACCGTGACAAAAAATTATTAAATGGATACATTGGTTTATCTATATTTTCCATAGTTATGATGTATTATATATTCTCTTGTGAAATACAAACTATTATTGAAAGGATGTTATTTTTTTTAAAGTTTCAGACACTTTCATCTTTTCTTTATTATGTTATTATACCTCTGCAAACTACAAATAATAGCTTCCTGAAATTAATTTTCACTCATTATTTTCAGTCGTCATGTGAGCATGCTTTACCCTGTCACATTGTTTCAGATTCATTGCTCATTGACTTCCTGTTTACCGAATATTTATAAATTCTAACCAAAATGGCCATGTATGAAATTTTCGTCGCATTTTTCTTTGGAACTAGCTATACTTCAAATAAGAGCTTCCTGTTTGCTATCAGGCTTCATGTGAACATGCTTTACCATGTTAGGTATTTTACGATTCATTTCTCTTCACCTCCCTGTTTACTGAATACTTGATAGCGGGGATATCATTTAATAGGGTAGCAATAGCTCACATCAACTTGTAACCTCCCTGTTTACTGAATACTTGATAGCGGGGATATCATTTAATAGGGTAGCAATAGCTCACATCAACTTGTATTATTGTTATGTACGTAGCTCCATTTGAAATTGATATTTATTTTACAGGTCAGTGTTGAAGATTCTGACATGGATAGTGTATGTACAGCACAGACTGGATTGCATGTAAAGACTTTTGATAACAGGTACAATCTTCATTGGTCTTAATAAGCATTTGTTTCTCCTTGACTCACAGGCCCTAATTTTTACTTTGACCTACATAAACAAATCCAGACTTGAAACCTTAGAACCAACTCATATTTCTTTTGAATTAATCTTTTGGCTGCCTACTGATTCCATTTTTAGAACATGGATAAATAGAATAACACATATATACTTTCAGTAAATGCATTTTAAATGTCAAGTGTAAACTAGTAGTGTCCTGAAGTGCAAGTGAATAGTCTTTCAAATTTTGTGAATATACTAGCTCTTTTAAAACTTCAAATTCAGATAGGTTTATATGATGTCATTTACATTTATCATAGAATGTACAACACATCATAATAACTAATGTACACTTAACGTACATGTACATTACAGTCAGCCTTACATCTGTACATTGTCACCAATTACTGTAAATGCTCTCATCACCTTCAAAGCAATGTTTATGACGAAAGGCAAGATTTTTAAGTGACTGAAGTAATTGTTAGTGTTTAATCTATACAATTTGAATTTATCTGACTATATGCCACACATTTATCTGACTATATGCCACACAACATTTTTAACTTTGTAATTTACTTTATTTACAGTTATTACACTGGTATGAGTGAAGGGGAGCATGTTTTCTACAAACACAAATCCTTGCCTGTTGAAGTAAGTGTTTATGACTAAATATCTAAAAGTACTGAACTAGGTCTATGGGTAAACAAAAACTGTTTTTGTCTGAAGTATTCATGTAAGTAAGGATTTTCACTGCTAATGTATCTTATTCTGTATAAACAGATTAAAAAACCAAAATCAAAGTTAGTTTTGATTTAAATTTGCTTTGATTTAAACTGAATAATGACAGTTTTTTTCATTTCTAAATGATCTATTAAAGATTGTTCTAATACAAATTACTTATGACTTTATTTTTTTTTTTAAACTAACAAATTCTTTTAAATATTAAGAATAAGTAAGTGAACATGGTTATGAACTTGATGGTAGAAATTTCATGTAAGGTGAGGCTAAATAACCTGTTATGTAGGTACCTGTTTGGTTTCTCTCTCTAGATGTCATCACATTTTCATTTTTAGTCTTGTCATTTCCAAAACTAGAAGACATTATTTTGAATTTTCATGTATTTTCACGTATTGATATTTCATATCAATCTCAACTAGAGATGAAACAGTTGTGCAATATTATGTTGAATGCATCTTAAGTATATCATTTTTAGAATAGGGACAGAATCTCATGAGAAAGTAGTTCTACAATGAAACAACATTTATAAATGTAAAATCTTCAAAATTGATAATGTATGTATATTTACAGATCCGAACCTTCCATCGTCATTGTGGTGGGCTAAGTTTGATATGTATCTGTGGAGTATCTATTAGGGTAGAGGATGATGTCTTCACACTTGACAAGTGTGGGGGAGACGATGAAGAAGCTATCATTCCAGAACAACCAATCAGAGCACAGTTATACACGATTGGACCTGTTAACCCAGACTTCAGAATGGTTTCAGTCTATGAAGGAACCCAGTATGATGTAAGCTTCATTCAGTTTTAACAATGCACACATTTGACAATATATACACATAGATATATAAATATAATGACATATAATTGCAGTTGCATGATCTCTTCTTGAGAAATAAATTTCAAAATATATTTAAAACAATTGCTTAAATAGAAGTTTCTTTACAGATACTTTGGAACTATTATGGAATTTATACTAACATAGAAAGGATTGTTTTTCCAGATATATTTACCATCAGGCAGTGAACTGATAGTTAAAACAAGTCCAAATGGCTACCTGAGTGTCTGGTTTTATCCTTCTTTAATGGACATGGACATGACAATGGGTAAATAAAACAATTTCTCAATGTATTTCTCTGAATTAAACATAGAAAAATAAATTTTTGAAACCTAAAACATTTTTTTAGTTTCTATGGTAACATCTTACATTAATTCTCTTGGAGGTTATTTATTTTGTGATTTTCAAATTGAGATAATAAAGTGATAATGTCTTAGAGGTCTCTGACAATAGAATTTTTTTTTCATAGTGTAAATTTGGAAGTTTAGGCGTGTATCTAATATTATTCTGATTGTTAAACAACTGACACAAATGTGAGATTCATAATTGCAGTTTCAGAAAATAGTGCACACAAATCATGCAATGGTGCACACAAATAATGCTAACATAATGTGAATTTTTATTTTTGCGAAACATATTTGTAATTTTCACAATAATAAAAACATTGCAAACATTTCTGAATTTACAGAAGAAGATATTCACCGAATGGAATTTTAAAACCAGATTTCTATTTATTTTGCAGGTTTATGTGGTACTTATGACAACAACGCTACCAATGATTTTATGATGATGAACGGTAACGTCGAACAAGCTAATGGTAGATACGTAGATGACTTTGTTACTTCTTGGAGGTAATGCTTTTAGTGACAATTTTATAAATTGAAGGCCTCTTTAGTTCCAAGCTTTAATTACAGATTTACAGATAGTTACAGAGTTGTTTTTTTTAACTTGCATTAAATTTTGTCCACTTCAATCTGCAGGGTACAAAGTTATTTTTTTTTTTCTATCTTTTAACCAACTTTATAAATATTTTATTTTGCACTAATAGTTAAAAGTAATCTTTATGTAAAGCATGAATTGAAAGTTTCTTCTTTATTTTTTATACTTCTCATCTTTGTATTGGGTACTTCAACTTTGTCTCATTATTTCAAAAAATTTAGACTTAAAAAACTAAAAACCATTATTGGCTTTTTACTCAATAGTTGATAAATAGCATGATATAAAATTCAGGGTCCAGACAGAAGATTCACTGTACCTTGGAAAATGTCCAGACATGCCCGCTGTGTCTACACCAACAGACAAAGATGTATGCGATTGTTCTACAACTACTGCAGACTGTGGTTACTATGGAGAAGTGAGGACTTGTGGGATAGCCAAAGATTTTAGTCGAGGTTAATACTGTATATGTTTGGTAAAATCTTGGAGGGTGTAATAAATCAAAATTTGTTTACAATTTTATAAAGCATTATTTGTGAAGGACTTTCATATTTTATTAGTTATAAAATAAGATGGCATATGTTTTTGAAAGATATAGTGTGGGATGAAAATTACTAAATAATTAAAAAATTCATTCTTTTTTGGTCAGAAATACTTTGAGCATTTCTAACATTTATGGTTTAAATATCATTCTGAGAAAGGTAAACTTAATAAGAGACTATTTCCTTCACAAAGATACCAAAGGGATATTCAAACTCATTAGTTACAATGGCAACACACAATAACGATCAAAAGACTAACAACAATATACTAAACACAATGAACATGAAAAGTCAGGTATTTTAGAAGCAAAGGTGCTGAAATTATTCCTCCTAATATATAACTCTAAACCAGTTATCAAAAGCTTCTCTGTGATTGCCATTACCTGTATTAAAATGATGATATATATAATGCTTGAACATATTTTGTACAGGTATGGATAAAACTGATTATTTGAAGACAATGAGTATGTTCCCACAGTACTGTGATCCAGACTCGACTATACCTACCCCTGGTATCTTCAAAGATTGTGACACAACTATTGACAAGGTATATATTTTGAGGGTGGTAAAGGGGGGACCTGAACACGGAAACACGTGAAATAAAAATCGAAAAAACGTTGCACGGAAAATAAAAATCGGGAAAAACGAAGCACGAGAAATAAAATCGTAAATATAATGGAAAAAAGTACTAAAAGTTATTACTCAGCCGTTCTTGGAGATCATACAGTCATTATTTATGGACATGAAGACCCTGCGGTCACCTTTTAGCGTCTGATAGTTGCATTTGATTTGAAAAAAATTATTAATTGTAATTTGATGGACTTTATTACATACCATACATATAATATAGAATTGTAAATATCCGAGGTGACTTTGAATTAGTCCCGGTTTACTTTTTAATCAAACGCGGGACAAGCACGAGAAATTTAAGAGTACCGACACGAAACACGGAAAATCAATAAGGGGAAACACGAAGCACGCACTTCAAACCAAACACGAGAAAACAAGGAAATAAAACGTCAAAACACGAAAACATGTGAAATAAAAAAGCCAAAAACGTTGCACAAAAATAACCCTTTACCACCCTCTATTTTCATTACTAAAATTAACAATCTATAATGACAATGAAAGCTTGTTCTGGATACTGTTATTGAACTTCATAGTAAATGTTCACACAAAAATGTGGAAAAATGAAATAATGGTAATGAAAATCCCTATAAGTTGTTTGTTGTATTTCAAAAAATCTGTGATTTTGTCCAAATGCTCCTATTACTTCTTATTTCATAGGAAACATTAAGTTCTATATTCAATCTCTAGTACATCATTTGATCAGAGTTAAATCTTGAATCAGCAGAAGTGAAGTGACTTTTTTCTGATCAGTTTAAGATTTTACTTCTCTTATTTTCTACTCTGTTATGTAATACTAACACCATAGAATGTAGCCTCTACAAATTTTATTTTAAACTGCAATTTGATTAATTAATTTGATTTAGAATGCAGCTTGGCAAGGTGCTTGGACAGAAGAGATAGCCATGGCATACTGTCAGAATCAGACGGACCGTGTAATAAAAGAATGTGGAAGTTTTGTGGACTACATGACAGAAGATATTAACAACTGTGTTCACAATATAAAGGTAAGCAGATTAAGCTTTGTGGCTTAGTGGTTTGGAATTGTCAACGAAAATCATCTTTCAATGGAAAAATAAAACATGTAAAATCTGATCCTACAAAAATGAGAGAGAAAACATGAATATCGTTTGTTTGAAATGTTTATTTTATATGTATAAAATTGAACACTAAAATTTTTTATTGACAAATTAAATAAAAATGCATGAAAATAGCATAAAATTTTGGGTGAAATAATAATTATAACCTATTGATTTTGAAAGTTTTTGCTCTGTTTCAGTTTTCTGGAAAGACGATGTATGCTTCCATAATTGATGAAGATTTAGAACAGAGGTGTAGATACCAGTTACAAAAGAACATGTCTGTAACAGTTACGGATGTATCACTATGTCCTTATGATTGTAGTGGCAATGGGCAGTGTAATGATGGTAAGTGATATCCCTTTGAAAATATTGATAAAGTTTCCTCAAATATCCAAATGTTCTGTTTTAAAAAGATTTGACACAATTGAGTTAACTGATTTTTCACTTGCATGCCCTGTAACTACTTTAGTTCCACCTGTTTCATCATTTGAATTAATGTGTTTCATCCTTCAATGGCTTATATCTCAAAAACAAGGACACACAACATTCATTTTTTTCTGCTCTTTTATTTATATACTATCAATATATAACAGCCTTTTAAAAGGCTTTTTATTTTGAATCAAAGCAGCGAATATCCTTAAAGCATATAACAGAATTTAATATTAAACAATGAAAAAAATGAATAATTTGTCCCCTATTTCATGAGTGTGATATTGATGAAAAATGTTAATTCTTATATTTACTTTTAGGTGTATGTAACTGTGCAGAGGGTTTTATTAATTTTGACTGCAGTGTGAATGCCAGTGTTCCTGCAATGATTACCTCTCTTGATGAAGACTTATATAATGAGCTGGAGAAGAATGATGATAAAATTGTCAATGTTTTTGGTTATAATTTTGTAGACAGTGACATGTTAAAAGGTTATATAAGAGAAATTGAGGTATGCATTTGCTTATAAATGTTTTGTTTGTTAAAGAAATTAATGCAAGAATATAAATTGATAATTTTGTTATTTTTATGAATTAAGAAAGATTTTGAGTCAAAGTTGATGAGAAACCATGTTGATGTACCAAAAATAGACATGTACAGAAATGTTTACTTTATTGTAATGTTTTTTAATGAAAGAACAACAATAATGACATATGAGAATATAAATAAAGCCATGCAGAATGTCATTGTTCAATGAAAAATTCCAATACTTCAAAATAATTCCTTATATTTCATGGGATTTTAGATTCCTATCTATCTATCCATCCTAAATCTTTATCTTTTTTTATATCTAAAAAGACTTTGTCTATTTAAAGTAATATGTTTCTAGGAGACATGTATAATATACTGAATTGTAGGTGGAAGAATCTGGATACAATGTATCATCCACTTGGTCTGAAGTACAAGTCATGTTTGTCAGTAGTAGTATGGTGACCTTAACATTACCCACCAGAGGGAGCTACGAAGTCACTGTCAGCAATGTCAACAGTACAGAAAATGTAGCTGATCCCAAGGTTACAATAAGTTACAACCCTGCATGTTTCAACTGCAGCACCAATCCTGTTGGCTGTAAACTAAAGGTAGGTAACCTGTACATTATCCAGTAGAGGGAGCTATCATCAATTACAAAAATTGTTCAGATGATATAGCTGATCAATAGTCCACTTTAAGTTGTAATCCTGCTTATTGTCTCATCTTGCAAAGCTGGATGTTGTCAATCTGTCCTGCGGTAGTCTGGGTTGTTTTTTCATATGTAGCCTTTGAAAAAAACTAGTTTAGGTAGCAATATTTGGTCAATATTGGCCTTTTTATTTTATATTTGATGTGTGATTATGGTATCTGTGTTGCTGAAGAAAATATTTGTGGCAGATCATAGTTTATTGGAAATTTTAAAATAGTAAGCCATAATTTCATGAAAATTTTATTGGAAGTGAAGCAATAACAGAGTAAGAGGTAAGATGTCTAAAATATCAGGTCAACTCCATGGTATATCAAAGATAACCACAGTCTGCCAAAGATGATTTGGATTCTTATAAAAAAGTGAACATCAAAAAATGAAAAAAATTATTTTGCATTGGGTGATATTTTATGATGTTTTTGTGCACAAAACATATGGTTATTTCATTATTTTTTGTCTATCATGGTTTCTTGAGTTTTTTAATATTGAACATACCACAAAGGAACAGGTGGACAACAGAATAGAAAAACATTCAAACTTGAACAGTTATAACCTTATAACTTCAGTTTTTATTTTTATGTTTAAAAGTTTTCTAACATATACATTTCTTATATTTTTCCAGGATAACGTATGCTATATTAATGGTAAATGCTACAATGTTGGTGATCGTAAGCCTGACAACCATCTAGAGGGCTGTCTATCTACTAATTCTTCCATATGGTCAGATGTTAGTGGTAAAGGTAAATACTTATATGTATCCATAGAGTTAGAGTGGCTGCTGAGAAGTCAGTCTTGTAAATTTGATATTTTAATATTATTGTGCCTCATGCAGTTGTGGAGGTTAAAATGTTGTTGAATCCAAACATCGAGCTGCCATCACTTTTGTTGTTGTCTGGAACACACTTAATTTGTGTTGAAATTTCAAATGAAGGTTTACTTTTATCAATAGCTTGAATGGTTAAACTTTCACAAAAATGTGAAATAAGGAACCATTTTCTAGGAGGTTTACTCATATGAGTACTTCATAAAAACTCAAGAATACTGGATAGCACCATTTGTGTTTATATGATTTTGTTAAAAACTTTAATGTGATCAACCTAAGTATTTTTGTTGGAAAAATAAGGAGTAGGCCCTGTAAGACCCCTTTTTGGCCCCAAAATATAGTGTTTTTACAGAGTTGTTAAATTGTAAACTTTCAGCTATTTATTGGAAAGTAAAATACTTTTGTTACAAAAATATGGACTGTTTTTGATAATACAATGAACATACATCAGGTACTAGCATCATTATTTCATGGCTTTGTCAGGCAACTGAAGATTGAAAAAGAAACTGAGTTTATGTAATCTTGCATGAATTGAATTTGAAGACAAGATATATAATTTGCTAGACATTTAGCCTTAAAGCAGACATAAAAAATATTTTGAAATATAACCACGAAAAATTTCCTTTTTTTGTTTTAGATCAGTGTTTTCCTTCATCGACAATCAACTGGAGTAAAACCTCATCAAGTGCTCTTCTGTTCCATGACTCCAAAGTACTGAATACTTCAAGTAATGATGAGTGCCTGAATATGTGTGAAACACAGGCTGATTTTGTGTGTAGATCTTATGATTATAATGGCGTTACAAAAGAATGTTTATTGTCAGAGTTTAGTACAGTTAATGCTGGATCTTATCATGCTAATCAGACCGTTAGCTCTAACTGGACCTTTGGTGAATGGACCTGTGATAATGGTAAGACTTTTTTTTATGAAGCTGTTGTGTAGATAGGCACTAAAAGTGATATAGGAAATTTTTTTTTAAATTACTTGCAAAGAAAATTATATGTATGTGCATTCAAAATTTGATATAAGTAATGCTTATTTCTAGGAAATTAAGGTTCTTGAATTTAGTTTATTTTGATTTTACTTTTTTTAATCAGTCTTTGGTAAAGAAAAATGTCCTTTGGTCAAATCACAGAATATTTGATTCATGAATGAATTAATAATTTCAATTAATTATAATGCTATGAGATAAATCATGATAATATATTACTTCAGAGGCCTGCCCAGGTCAAGATGTTAAATGGTCAAAGATGGACAGTTACCAAGGATATTTCTCAAATGACACACATTTAGATGTTTTGTATGATGTATGGACAATGAAACGATGTCAGCAACTATGTGAAAGAATGGATGGTTGTATGGCAGTAAAATTTGATGCCATGTCAGGAATCTGTATATTAGCTGATGGAAGTCAGAAGAAAGTTGCTGAAGGTTCTGGAACGTTTGGTTACTATGCTGACTGGGAATACAGTTATTACACCTGTGTGGAAGGTAATAAGGATTTTCTTCCCCAGGAATAGATAACCTTGGCCTTTGAACTTTTTTGATTCAAGGTCACTGATGAGTCTTTTGTAAACCAAACAGGTGTCTGGTATTTATAATTATAAGTGTAGTATTTTTGATTGAGATTTTTTATAGCAAATTTTAAGTCAATACCAGCAGAACTCAAGAAGGGTTTCGAGAAAAGCTATTAAAAAAAACCCATTTTACATAAAGTGAAATAGAAAGATTTGAAATAAGTATGGATTAAATAATAATGCATAAAAGGCAGAGTTTTACATATGTTTTAATTTTTTTACGATTACAGCATTAGGACAAAAATATTAAAAGTACCATGATACCAAAACATGATTTTTTCTTGCATAATGCCTATATTTATTGTGTATCAGGAAAAACCCCTGGAGAGATCAATTATTAACAATGCTATTATTAATGATGCTTGTGCTGCATTGCTAAAGGTTATTGACATCATTTTCCAGAAATGTTCATTTTACATACATACATGAATTCATTTTACAGGCAAAATCTATAATCTAGCTTCTAATGCAACAGGTAAATGAATCGCAATTGGGTTATTGATATAGAGCTGGTACAAATATATATTTCTTTGGGGTTGTTTAGTTATACTTGTCAATAGGAATGTACAGTTAAGTTTTATGAGCAACTAAATGATAATTTTCTGTTCCACAACTGAGAAAAAAACAATGATAATAAAATTATTTAGGAGACATTTATTAGATATTACAGACCATCTTTTTTATTAATCATCTTAAGTCCATAGCGTGAAATATGTGTTTATGTTTTCCCTTGATTTTCTCTAGCTGTTTAAGATTTTTTTTTAACTTTTCCATGAATAATTTTATGAAATAAATTATTGGTTATGATTTTGTTAACTAACACTACAGGTAAAGAATTCTGTTGAGACAAGTTGGAATTTAGAATGTCATTAAATTCTAATCCCCAGAGGTAAAAATAGCATTGTGCTTATAAAAATTCTGAAATCAACTGTGTATTGGGTGTCAAAACAGTTTACATTTATTTTCATTGCATTTTAGCTTCAATAGATATCAATATAAATAAGATGTGGTACGAGTGCCAATGAGACAACTCTCCATCCAAGTCACAATGTATAAAAAGTTAACAATTATAGGTCAAAGTACGGCCTTCAACACAGAGCCTTGGCTCACACCGAACAGCAAGCTATAAAGGACCCCAAAATGACCAGTGTAAAACAATTTAAACAGGAAAACCAACAGTCTAATCTATATAAAAAACGGGAAACAAGAAACACCTATGAACCACACCAACAAAAGACAACCACTGATCAAGCTTTTATAAAAATAAATTTTGATTGATGCAATTTGGGCAAGAGTTATTTCCCCTTTGTAGCCATGATGGAGGTAAAAGTGCACAAATTTCTTACTAATTCGGCCAAATTCAACTCATTATACTGACCACTAGACTTCAGACAAGGCTGTTTTCTTAACAAGATTAATTTCTTCCTTGTGTAATTTATCAATATGATCTTGTAAGGATCTCCTCTTCTCAGACACGCTTCTACCACATGTTTCAGTTTGGTTTGTCAAATAAGACAATAAACCATTTACACCTCCAACATGGCTGCCAAGGGAAATAACTCTAACTTAAATTACTTCATATTGAAAACTATCTAACGTATTTATATGATTAACAAGATTTCATTCTAAGTTCACCATTGTAAATAAAGGTTTCAAAGAAATTTTGTGAAATGAAAAAACACTATCACATAACTTTTCATGAATTTTGTTAATTCTTAATTCAATGTTTCACTTAGAAATAATTTTTAAGGAATCATTATTTTATAATTATTGTTTATATTTTTTGGTTATCTGATGTTTGGTTGCAGTCTCAGTGAATTTCCCCCAATTTTCTTTTATTCACAATTTTTACAGGTGAAAACAATAATCAAAGCATGAATGTTACAGGTAACATGACACCATTGTGGTCATTGAATGACACAGTTATATATCTGTTAGGACAAAATTTACTTTTTATTTAGATTTTTGCTTTACAGTTCCAAGCATTTATTGTATCACCTTAGCCATGGTTTACTTATTTCTCTTTTCTTAGTTACATATTTTTGACAATTTTGCCCTCTTTCCTTGAACCCTGGGTCTGCCCCTGAGTGTTATCTAATTTGATCTCAGAGGCAGATTTAGGGGGTTGGGTAGGGGGCTTGGCCCCCTTATGGAGCTTCATATATGATAAATGCATAGACTTGTTACATGTATCACTCCAAACATTGGCTTGCCAGGCCCCCTTTCAAAATCCTGGATCTTAGGACCAAAACACAACCTAAGTTATTATGACATAATATCTGGGTGTCATTATACAAGAGAAATCAAGTTGTTTTTTATCGCAAGATTCGATTTGAGTATATTTTTGTAAATTTCATTAAATACATGTACCCACAATTTATATTTATATTATTTATAATATTATCTAATATAACATTTCTGTTAACCACTTTATACATCATATTGCACTCTTTAATGAATTTAAAATATCTAAACTTTATTTGGTAACGTGTAAAAAAATCATTTTTTAATTAGTATTTTTGTGTTTGTGTGTAACATTGTTTTAACTAATTGTATTATATTATTTTTCTGACAACTTTAATTCAAACTAATATTTTCAGTATAATTTTACAATTTTTAAGTTTGACTTTTAATAAGACTAACCATCTAACAAGTGCTTTTTTAAAAATGTGAAGCTTAATTTCTATAAGTATAAAAATATATGTAAATGGTTATGTAATTTTAGGCCAGGAGACCGGACCAGAAATCCCTGTTGCCTCTGGTATAAGTGTGTTACCAATGTTTTATGGGCCTGGTAATGATAGTTTTAGATGTGGATTTGACGAGGTAGTGAATGACATGCCACTACTGTACAGTGTACTGTGGAAGGTTGATGGAGAATACCTGTCAGTCAAAGCACCAGCTGTCAACTACACAGACTTCTATTTAGATGAAGAACTAGCCAATCAAATGATGGATGGATCTACAGTAGGTTTATTTTTTAAATCAATAATTTTTAACAGAGATTACATTGTCAAACTTTAAAAACATAATCATTAAATTTCATAATATTTATATTTAACAAATTGTTAATTCACAGTCAGCACTTCAAATTAGCTTGGTTAATTGTAATGTTTAATATCTAAATTCAAAAACCTTCATTTAAAAGGCATCCTTTTTTTCAGCTTGAAATAAATAAATTTCAGTTTTTCGAAAGTTTTCCATATTGATTTATTGTTTTGTTAAAGTTTTGATCAGATTACTTATAGCCAATTAATCAAAGTCCAGAAATCAAGTACATAAAACTGATAGTCATTCACCCAGGTACTTTGCAAATAAATAAAACTGTCTTTTGCCAAAAGAAGGACATGCAGAAATTGTTAAAGTTCTTTGTGCAACACAAACTTTCATGTACTAGAAAATATTGAATGTTGTAAAATATTGTCTGTTTCTTTGAGGATGTTTCAGACATTAATGCATGCATTTATTAATGTTCATTCTAGAATAAAAACTTTATTCAAGTGACTCAGATAGATCCTATATTCAAATATTCATTATATGATAAATTTTAGTTTTGAATGAAACAACTACACTTAAAAATGACAGATGAATTTTAAATTTACAATATTTAATGTTGCTATAATTTTAGGTTGAATGTGGAGTGAGTATTTGCTTGGCGGATAATTGTGACAACCAAAGAGGAATATTCTCACTTTCGGATATATACACAGCTACTATCAAGGTAGGTGATTTAATGTTACTGCATTCAGATAAGAGGAAATGTTGGATATACATCAATAAGACAGCAACACAACATGTAAATACATTGATACAACATGTAAATACATTGATACAACATGTAAATACATTGATACAAGTCTAAATAATGAGCTAGTCATTGTCTTAAATGGAAACACCACAGCTGTATTCATTTCAAAAGTGAACTTACCAGTTGATATTAAACTCTGACTGATTGTATTAGAAGGACAATGGAATAAACAATTGTGCCAGTCTCTCTAAGAATATTACTACAAAACTATTATAACTAGTTAAAATGTACTTTTTCTTGCACCAATAAGTCATACAAATGCTTTAGGAATTGAAAAACCTTTGCTTTTCAACATTTTAATGATGTCAGTTGAAATTTATATAAAAATAATTATGAATATTTTAAATAAACTTAAATTTTGTTTATGGATATTTGAAATGGCAGGTCACTTAACATTTTATTATTATAGATAAACGCTCCAGATACCCTAGATTTACCAGAGGGAGAAGATGCTGAAGAATTGATGATTGAAGTAACAGCCCCTCCATATGTCTTGTGTAGGGACCAAGGACTCTCTATCCCCAACAATTGTTCATTCAAAATAAAAACCTTACAGCCATCAGTCAATAATGAACTGAAATGTCCAAGTGACAATATGATAGAGCAAGTAACATCACAGATAGTAAAAATGGAAGGAAAGGAACCAGTCTGTGATGTCACAGTAACTAATGAAAACTGGAAAGATGCCAAGTACATGCTGAAATTGAAAGCAACTATTGACAACAAATTTGATGATGACCATGAAAGAGATTTACAAGTTTTTGTAGATTATATGGTGAATGATGCAGTTGAAATGGGCAATGTCACCAAAAAATCTATGAAAGTAAGTTCAAAATAAAAAGGACTATTTATTGTCAAATAAAGTTTTAATAAAAATGTTGGTCTCACTACAAGAGTTTCCAGAACTGTTAGATTTCAAGTATGCATAAAAATCAATACTCCAACTTTAAACAGAATTTGTTGATAGACATTTTCTCAGTTCAAAGTTTTATGTTTTAAAATTTTTTAACTTTTTAAATTATTAATCATTCACCACAAAAAAACTTTATGTTGACATTTTGTGTTTTTACTTTTTATCTAAGCGTTATAATAAAACAAATTTTTTTTACGTTGTATTATCTTTTTCCCATTATAGTTTTCACCTTATTTTTTAGTTGAATGTTATAGACCAAGACAGAAGAGCTTTATGTATATCGGTCAATGATCCACATATTACGACCTTTGATGGAGTGTATGTATTTTGTGTATAAATGTTGGTTGATGAATTATTTGAATATGCTACATCTGAACATTGGCATAAACTTTCATAAAGTATATCTTTTTTCTATGTCTGTTGAATGGATACAATATGTTATTGAATAAATCTGAATAAAAGATGTGAGTAAAGGTCAATAAGATACATGTAGTAACACAATTACATATTAAGACAAGAAAAAACATTTAAAGGTCAACATACAACCCTCAACAATCAACAAGTATCTATACCGTCTATCAGGTTCTAAATTACACATATTGTAGTGAAATTGTGAATGAATTTACCACAGACTATGAAAAATTTGCCTTCAACACCGGAATCCTTCAAGGACATAAAACACAAAGAAATATCCAGATATCCCAATGCCAATGTTCCTTTATTCCATACACAGTTTAATTTTATACACATAATGAATCTATGGACTTAATGGAAATGGGAACTTGAGAATAATTTTTTGGAAGATTTTCAATGATTTATGAATCCTTTATACAAATGTGCACCTATTATTAAAATTTTCTTTTAAACATATATACGAAAATATGACAGTTAAATAATTTATTTGTTTTATTTTTTCAAATAATTTTCCAGCATTTTCAAGTTAAAACTTACAAAGATCTGTGATATTGTACCTTTATCATTTTCACTCCAGCCATCCATGTATTAGTTTGTATAGAATTTCTTATGTCTTTTTAGATTCTTCAACAATTACCGTACAGGAGAATTTGTTTTATACAAACACAAAAAGCTACCCTATTCAGTTCATGCATTATATCGTCAATGTACCGGTGGGGCTTCCTGTAATTGCGCTGTAGCGGTAAAAATCTTTGACGATGTTCTCCTTGTGGATAAATGTGGACCTCAGGATGTAACAACTACATCTACTTATCCAATCAGAGTAAAGCTTTTCAGAAATGGTGACCTTCATCCTGGATTTAAGATTTACAGATACTATGAAGGTCGAACAATCAAGGTAAAGAGTTTAAAACAGAAGTAACTGATTTTTTTAGCATTGATATTTATGATTTTTTTTAGAGTGTAGTATAGTAGAAAGAGTTGTAGAACTGGCTTATGCATGGCCTGTTGCATGCTAAAATTTAAACAAATTAGATTAAAGATAAAATTCTTTTACAGAAAACTCATTTCATCTTAAATGACAATATTATAAAAATATAATGTTTCCATTTTACAAAATATATAGTGTGTCATCAGATTGTGCTGGTTAAGTGTATAGTTATATGACATCTCTTTGTCTTATGAATTTTGTTATGTTTACATAATCACCTCCACACATGTATGAAGCGTATAAACATGTTTGAAGTGTGTACACATACATGAAGTGTATGAACGAAAAGAAAGTCTATTTTAAATGGTTTATGTTGTAGTCAATACTGTAAATTTAGATATTTTTGACTGCATTTATTATTGTGATTCTTGAATAATGGACAAAAATGTGAAACATTAATTTGCAATTTTAGGAAATGCTGCAAGCAAATAATGATTTCAAAATTTAAAATGCAAGTTATTTATTTTTGCAAAACCTATCCAGTCACAATACTTGCAATAATAAAAACATCTAAAAAAAATTTGAATTTATGGTACTAATTTTCTTTGTGTTCAATTTCATAAAAAAGACATTTACAAAAGATCATAACAATTGTCTTATTATTATAGGCCGTGTTTCCTACTGGTACTACTGTAACAATTATGAGAAGTGCTGTTCCAAGTTATAATTTACTGAATGTATGGATCAAGGCCTCAGCTGCTGATTATGGACAGACTGAAGGTATAGAATAGTAATATTAAGATTGAGTATGATGAATTGTATCATGCTGAGTTTTACCATGCAAGAAATTTTTTTTTATCTTACGGACAGTCACTTCTTGTTTAACTGTAATGAAGTTTATTCTACACTTAAAACATGGACTGTTTTCTTCAAGGTCTACTTAGCACTGTATCAGAAATAATCTTAAAATAATTTCTGATTTTACCCATATGTCATTATTTCAGGTTTGTGTGGAAGTTTTAATGAGAATTCAATGGATGATATTATGTCCCCTGATGGCACAATGAGCGAAATAATAGACACCAGAGCAGACAGTTTCTCTTTGAGCTGGAGGTAAAGATAAAAACAATATCAGAGTTTTATTATATTGCCTTTGTATAAAACAGTCCAATATGAAGACATTGTCGTGTACTATTATAGATTTTCGTTGACATTTTGGATTAATTTTGTTGTGATACAAGAAAAAGAAAACTTTAATTCTAGGTTTTTGATAGACTTATCAGTATATTTAAGTTCATTTTTTTCTTTAATTATGTCATTTGTTTTTTGCCATGACGTTGTCTGTTTCTCTCAACTTATGAGTTTTGAATGTCACTGTGGTATCATCTGCCTCTTTGATGAAATCTATGAAAATAAATAAATTGTATTTAATTTTACATTAATTATGAATTTTAGGGTAGATCCATCCAAATCCCTGTACACAGGAGAATGTCCATCTGGTACTGCTGAGGATTTGACACCAGAATCTTATTGCTTCTGTAAAGAATCTCAGACTTGTGGAGAGCAATTGGATAGAGTTATCTGCCCATTTGAAACAGATGGTAACAATTGAATTACACTTAAATTTTCTATTTTTGTTCGCTTGTTGATATCAAAATAGGGAATCAAATAAATATATCTTACATAAGCTTTGTTTCTGAGGGAAAGTTCAAATAGTGCTTTATTGTTATTTATAAAACTAATCAACAAATTGCCATGAAGATTCATAAACCAGTAGCATCTTTAAAATATGAGTAGTAAAGTTGACAAATGAAAAGTATATTCAGTATAGATGATGGAAAAGGATAGTTTGATTGTAATACATAAAATCTTTTCCTCTTATGTTGTAGGGGGTATTGATATTACTAGTCAGTTAGTTAGCAAGTCATTATTTCCTACGAAGTGTACTGAGGATGTAGGTCAGTTCCAGTTTCCTCCCTTTGAATATGATCCTAATTATGATGAACCGGTAAGTCATCTAGTTACTGTCTGAATTATAAAATCTCTTCTTTTTAGTCAAGCCTGCAACAGTTTGTTGCAGAATCAAGACAAGCAAACAATCCACTGTTGTCACCAGCATCAACATTTTAGATTTCGTCTGTGGTTAAAATGTTTTAAACATCAATAACTTTGTCACACATTCATGGAATTTTATCAAACTTGGACCAAAGCTTCTTTGTGATTAGAAGCACACTACCTAGATTGAAATTTTGAAAATATTGTATTTCTTTTTTGATTATTTTACAGATAAATGGACCTAATTTTTGGAAAAGATGGCTTTCAAGAAATCTTGTGAACTATAATATTTACCAGATGTTTATTGCTACCTTCCATTCTTCTGTATTCTACTGACAAAAGGAGTTTTTTTTCAGGAAGTCCTCAATGATTTATGGATATCCTGAATTTGAATTATGGAGGTCATGAAATATTTCAAGAGCTCCTCAAATACAATAATTTTGACTAAATCTGTGCCTCATACATAGTAAAACAAAACATTCAACAAACAAAATTTAGTTGTGATGATCATTTATTGAAAATGATTTGCATCATCTAGATATTTTAACAGTGCTATTGAAAATCAATTGAATTATTTTTAATTTTAGATTCCAAATTGGCCCTCAAATGGTGGTACCGATGAGGAACTAGCCAGATACCAGTGTGGAGGTATTAGGCTAAAAAAATCCTACAACATTCTAAAGAATGCTCCAGGTGTTATGTATGATAGAGCTTTTGAAAACTGTGTACAAGATGTTCAGGTAACAACATAATGATCTATACAGGCTCAAAATATTCTTTATAGTATTTATTGTAGAATATTAAAAGTTATCAGAAACAACATGTTGCACTTCTCAGAAGATAGAAATATAAAGACCAAATGAAGTAGAGGCAAACGGCTATAGGTCAGCATATGGCCTTCAACAATGAGCAAAACCTATGCCGTAAGGCGGTTATTAAAAGCCAGACATGACAAAATGTAAAATTATTGAAAAGAGAAAATGAACAACCTGACTATCACTACAATTAAAATTCACAAAAATTAACACCAAATTTTATAAGAAATATAGAATCAGGTAATACATTGTTTATATTTGATGAACTAGTAACAAAAGTATAACTTTTAAACGAATTTCTAAATATTATGCTGGATAAATTTTAGATCACAGATTCATCTTTATGGGTACAAACTGCACTAGAAAATATGAAACAGCAAGCTCAGATACTTCTCCCATTTAACATGAGTACATGGACTAATGGTTTTGGTCCTAATCCTGGTCCACCAGATGAAATCTTAGGCCAATTATGTCTGGCTGAATGTGGTAATGCTGGGACTTGTGTAGAAGGTATGTTAATGAATGATAAATATATTCCTTAGCTTTGGTCCACTCAGCTGTTCTGATAAACTGATTAATGTCAAAGTAGTAGGTTCGATAAGCACCTAAAATGGCCCCTTTTCTAGTTATTTATTGACCAATATCACAATGAATCATAGCTTATACAATGACTAAATAGGAAATATATTTTTATACCCCACCTACGATAGTAGAGGGGCATTATGTTTTTCGGTCTGTGCGTCCGTTCTTTAGTCTGTCCATTCGTCCGTCTGTCCAGCTTCAGGTTAAAGTTTTTGGTCAAGGTAGTTTTTGCTGAAGTTGAAGTCCAATCAACTTGAAACTTAATACACATGTTCCCTATGATATGACCTTTCTAATTTTAAAGCCAAATTAGAGTTTTTACCCCAATTTCACGGTCCACTGAACATAGAAAATAATAGTGCGAGTGGGGCATCCGTGTACTACAGACACATTCTTGTTTTTGTTTAGAATTTACTTACTTGCGTTATATTCATGATGTCACAAATAGCACTCATTTGATTTTACACGAAAATTAATAGAAAACGGGTAAATTTCAATTGATTTTTTGGGCAAGTTTGTTTTGAAATTTTACATATCTGAATTGAATATTCAGTTTGTCGACACCTGTGCTCTATGTTTCCTAGGCCTTAATGTGGTTGAAATCTGGACGATTTTGTCAAATTTCGCAAAAACCTCTATTTTTTACCTATTTGGGGTGTAAAAATCAATGCTTTTAAAATAAAACTTTGAAAAAAATATTTCTATTTAACTTTCTCATATATCTTTTCATCAACTTAAAACATTTATTATCTTGATACATTGAACTTAATAAACGGGGCCGAACTTACTCCTTTCTGGCATTTGATACAACACTTTTTTTTCTAGATATTTTATTCTATTTTGAAAAATACATTTTGATACAAGAGAAAGTGCTATAAAAATTTACAAAATAAAAATTGAATATTTTGAATTTTGATTGGTGTAATTTTGTTTATTTATTGGTTGAATAATATGTTTTAGGCAACTGTAATTGTAACACTGGACGTTTAGGATTGGATTGTAATGTTCAGGAAGGAGAGAAACCTGCTATCTTATTTATTGATGGGGATGGTTTGTGTGACCTTAGGACCAGTACTTGTGAAGATGTCATCCTGTTTACAGAACAAACTCTAGATGTGGAATCACTTAGTTGTTACTTTACTACACTTGAGGTAGGAACATGTAGATAAAGAAATAAAGGTAAACAATGTGAGGTTTGTTTCCATATTTTTTTAAATGATCAAATTTTGCCCTGGGTTATGTCTTTTACATACTTTTTTAATAAGTGAAGCTAAGTAGACCAACTACACTTGATTGATTGAATGTTGGTGTTTAATGCCACTTACAGCACCCTACTGAGATCTATGGGCAACCAAGGACCCTTTTCACATTTGTATGGTAATGATTGAACAATAAGAGCCTAAGATATTGTAATTTTTTAAATAAGTTTGTTTTGTAGAGACAACATTATATTATTTGTTATGACATAGCTGAATATCCACCATTTTGTTTGTTTTCTTTCAGCAATCAGGAGTAACATTTCAGTTTGTTGGCAGTGCTGTTAGGGTGAATGCTACGTTTATAACATAGCTGAATGTCCACCATTTTGTTTGTTTTGTTTCAGCAATCTGAAGCTACATTTCAGTCTGTTGGGAGTGCTGTTAGGGTGAATGCTACGTTTATAACATAGCTGAATGTCCACCATTTTGTTTGTTTTGTTTCAGCAATCTGAAGCTACATTTCAGTCTGTTGGGAGTGCTGTTAGGGTGAATGCTACGTTTATAACATAGCTGAATGTCCACCATTTTGTTTGTTTTGTTTCAGCAATCTGAAGCTACATTTCAGTCTGTTGGGAGTGCTGTTAGGGTGAATGCTACGTTTATAACATAGCTGAATGTCCACCATTTTGTTTGTTTTGTTTCAGCAATCTGAAGCTACATTTCAGTCTGTTGGCAGTGCTGTTAGGGTGAATGCTACATTTATAACATAGCTGAATGTCCACCATTTTGTTTGTTTTGTTTCAGCAATCTGAAGCTACATTTCAGTCTGTTGGCAGTGCTGTTAGGGTGAATGCTACATTTATAACATATAATGAACTGGAATGTACACCACCATCCAGGGGAAGTTATCAAGTCCAAATCAGTAACAATAATACCGGAGAAATCTTGAGTGACATTTCCAACTATCTTGTATATGATTCTCTATGCTATACATGTGATGTGTCAGCACTGACTTGCACAGAAAAGGTAGGATCATTTTGATGAAAACTATTTTGTTGACATATTTTCCTTACACTCTTATTGATGAACTGTATAGTATACTTTAAGTCTCTTCAATTTAAGCATGTAGACTATTGTTTCTTTTACGCAATTGAAATGTATATTTATTGTTACCATAGTAATTTTGAGACAGGATTGACAATAAAGATATGACGGGTAAAGGTCTATTATATATATATATATATATATATATACATATGTTTTATAAAATCTCTTAGAACCTTTATATTATGCCTGATTTTTATATGAGGATAATACTAAACCTTATTTTTTTAATGCTAATTTTGATAAGTTATAATTATATTGAATTATTTTGTTATTTGCATAATGGTTTTTGCTTTTTTAGAACTGTTACCATTCTGATATGGAAAATATCTTTGAGAAATATATGGTTAATTATTTTTTAGTTTCATTTTGTTAATAATTTGACCTCTTATTTTAAAGTTACCCAATTTTACCTTTCATAGGTATTTTTTTCAAAAGTGTACACTAAAGGAAGCTACCAATAGTACTAAGGATTCTGAAAAGGCAAATTTCACAAAGTCTAGTTGGTCAAATTTAGGGTAGCAAGTAGACTGACTGACTTTTATCAGGATTTAATAATTTGTAATAGTTTTAGTAAATAGACTTTGGATCCTGAATACAAGATAAATTTTTTTTTCTATACATATATATATATATATATATATAGACATTCATTATACACATATAAATTGTGAGAAGATTGACTTTGAAATGATTTAAGTTGTAATAAACACACCTTTCTTGATTGCAGTCTGATATCCAGGTAAATGTATGCACGCATATGTATAATCTGCATGGCAACAATTTATATGTTGTGCATAATGTTAAATGCAATAATTTGTACCACAAAATGAAAAAGCTTTTCAGTTTGTTTATATATTATTTTAAACCGAGTCAGCATGTTAAGATTAATTATTTATGGAATTTATGTATGTGATAAAATGACTGTTATTGAAGCATGCTCATGCAGTAAGGACCTCACAACAGAGGTTTAATATCACAGTAGTATATATGAAATAGCTTAAATCACATTAAAAGCATGCTTTATTATATATACAATTTGCAAATATGGTATAATCAATGCCAGTCAAAAGATGGAGATAAAATCACATTGTATTAATATATAACTATCAATTACTAACCACCAAATATAAAAATAAGAAGATGTGATATGATTGACTATGATACAACTCTCCACCAGAGACCTACGAGAATGCTATTGTATATTTATCTATTAAATATATGTTGAATACTTTAATATGGGATAGTTTGATCAGGAAAAGTAGAAAAAGGTCCAGAATAAGATAAAATGGAAAAAATTGCATTGCTGACCAGAAGCAGAAGAGTAAATAAAAACATTATCTTGAACATTTATAAGTACAGATCTCTGATAATCCTCAGTAATACATTGTTAATAAATGGCCTTCAATACATATTGTACTTTAAAAATTACTTGCCCAATTTTAAATGTGTGTTAAATTTTGCCACATTATTTTCTGTACATAAAACTCTGAATTTAAAAAGAAATGATATGAACAAAGATGATGCAGTACTGATAATGAATTGTTTGATGCAAGGGCATATTGATAAGAATATTTATTTTAGTTTGTTGAAATTTTTTTTTTTATCACTGTTTATATAATAAAATGGTTCTTCAGTGTGAAGAATGGAACTCTTTGATTGTTTGAATTATTATTTACATATATTTGTCTGTATTATAGACTACAGCTTGTCTGATTGACAATATATGCTATGAGCCAGGAGAGTTCAACCCTAATGACATTTATCAGTATTGTGACCCAACAGTTAACTACACACAGTGGCAGGTAGCTAAAGGTAGGTTGCTATATTCCCTTTCTTAAGATACCAATTGACAGTGTAATAGAATTTTTATTGAAATATTTATTGTACTGTTTTGAATCAGGAAATTGATGGTTCCACATTTACAGGGACTGTCTCAAAAAGGTAAAGTATCAGTTTATTAGTCTGAGTTTCTAATATTTTGATTCACCCAGTGAAATAACAGTTATTAAATTCCTGAGAAGGTTGTTATAGAAGTTGGTTGAACTTCCTTATTTTACAAGAGGATCCAAGTGTTACTGAAATTATAAAGATTAATTAGTTAAATAGCCTTGAAACCATAATGTCAATAGAAACTATATCATAGCTCACTAAACTGTGTCTGTCTGTCCAGGTGCCTCTTTTAAATCATCTAGAGAAATTGTAAGATTCTGTTTACTGTAAATGTTATGTTTTTCAGATTCTTGTGGAATATTGGACATTGCATGGTATACACAACAAAACAAAGCTGTGATGGGAGAACAAATATCTGAAATAATGAGTGACAATAATGTCACCAACTGTCAGGATGCTTGTATGGCCCAGAGAGAAGCCCCTGTATGTGATGGATTTGACCTTGACAAGGTTACACAGAACTGTTCTTTATTTAGTGGTGATGATTTCTCAGCCTCTGCAGAACTCACAGACAACACCAATTCTGACCACTCTGAATGGCTATGTGTAAATGGTAAGTGAGAATATATTGAATACAGACATTACAATTCTGACCACTCTGATAGGCTTTATGAAAATAATTAGTGAGAGTATTTTAATCAATGGCCAATTTCAAGACATTATTGAGGAACCTTAGTTCATCATAATTTTTTGTTTACTAAAGCTTTTTGGTACAAATACAAAATAGAGATTGTTAAGAAAGTTTATTAAAATTGTGTGCTCTTATGTATAAATTGAAACAATCTATCAAAAATGTTACATTACAAATGCTTTATTTTCAGATCCATGCGGCAAGAGAGGACTTACCTGGACAAGGTATTCAGGATTTTCTCTACTAGAACATAATGACAAGGAGATCTCCAGTGTGACATACAACACACAGTGTCGCAGGTTGTGTTTTCAGGAAACAGACTTTATCTGTAAATCCTACGAATTTATACCAGCCCTGGGTATTTGTTACCTGTCAAAATCTGTTGCAGCTGATTATAAGGACAAGTTTGTGTCATACCCTGGTTTTATCTATGAAGACTGGGCTTGTGATAAAGGTAATAGTCATTTTAGGTGCATAAGTCATAGTTTTTAAAAGAAGTTAAAAAGTATTAGTATAAAAGATATAGAAATAAACATATAGTTATTTTATATTTTATATATACAAGTCATATTTAAAGCCGTACACCGTAAGGACTGGAGAATTAGTTTGGTTTAGAGAGTTGGTTAATATATATAGGATATAAATATATTGTATTGGTGTAAAAGTCTGGTTTAAACAAGTTTCATAGTATATTAAATAAAATTTATTTTCGAATTCTACCAAATAGATGGAGACTACCCAGTCATACCCAAAAATCCTGAAGTTGAAGTAAGCAGTCTGCCTGTTGATGGAAACTTGACATTGTCCTGTGAGTTTTCTACAATCCAAAATACCAACGACAGTATAGAATATCATGTATACTGGGTCAAGGACTCTGTCGTCATAGCATCTGAAATACACAATGAAATGACAGAAGAAATCAAAGTATTCCTGGATAGGAAACATGTTGTTGATCTGGCATTCGGTACCAAGGTAAGTGCTTCATTTAATTCAGAATTACAAAGTATTGCTGTACTGTAGAAGTACACTCATTTTCAAATTAGATAGATATTTACAATAAACACATTTTAGATACCAGGATTAATATTATGTACGCCAGACGTGCATTTCGTCTACAAAAGACTAAAATCTCATCTAACACTTCCTGAATAAAACATAAGTAGATATTTTTTTATCTGTAAAATAACAGATACAAATGTCTGTACTAATTTATCTTTAGATTCCTTGTATTGCCTTCTGATGTTATTTTTTTGTTAAAAAAAGCTGTTTGTATATTTTTCTAGGAATGAGATACCAAATACATCCACAATCTTATAAATGTTAAACTAGCAAGTTGCATTTACAAGACAAACAACAATGTTTCAATGATTTTCTATTTCTTTAAGTTGATAAGAACAATTTTCCTATATTAAAAGGGTTAGGTGTGGCCAAGCCAGCATTGCTGTCTCAACCTGGTTTCAATTTATCAAACATTCCATCCTTCTTCATATCAATAGATAATTTCCTTTTAGAGCATCAATTTCAGTTGCAGCTTTTAGCAAACATGCATATTTTAAATCAAACTTTACCCTTCCTCCAAAAAAAAAAAACCCACTTCAAAATGCCTTGGAATTGATCTGTTAATATACTGTAATTACAAGATTAATGTTATATGTTTAATTTTTATTACAAAATATTATTTTAGTTACACTGTGGAGTTAAAGCATGCATACAAGATAGATGTAATGCAACAACAGGAGCCTTCAGACAAAGTAATGAGATTGTAGCTGATGTCAAGGTTCGTATTATAGAAGTTTCTTATAGCAAGTGGTAACAGAAGGTGTATAGAATTTATGCATCAGTTTTAACTTTGAGCAACAATTCAAAATAAAAATTTCCAATACAGAAAGCATTTTCATTAACTTATAAACATAAAAGGTACCAATTTTACAGCACCAGCTGTGCATTTCCATAATAAATGTCTCTTCAGTGATGCTCGAATCCAAAATATTTGAAAATCCAAACTTTATTTAAAACATGAAGAGCTAATGAAAAACTGATAAGGACAAAAAATATAGCCAAAGCTTGGCGAGGAACCAGAGTGTTAATTTTTACCAGTTTTAGATCTTTAATGTTTGCTGTGAAAGATATATGAGTATGCGATAATTAAAACACCAGGTTCCAGAAAGAGATCATTTAAATAGTAAGACCATTGAAATAACTGGAAAACCTAAAAATTCAGTGACTACAATTCTGAGCATACAAGTTTGTTTAAGCTTTATATTAAGCTTTTAAAAGGTTTATCAGTGCTATGTAATTAAGAATCTTTGTGATGTTGCTTACTTTATTGTCTAATATCATAAATATATGAACAAAAATTTATGTGAGAAAGCAACCCAACAACACAAAACAAAAGAATATCTTGAATGCCATTAAATGTGTTTACTTATTTGAAAAGATAACTTCTGACAAGATGATTACTGTAGAAGAAGGCAACAGCAGTGTAGAAGTAACATTTCGACCCATGGCGCCACCTAGCTTTTTCTGCAGTATCAATGACAACAAAGACAACTGTCACATTAAATTATCTGTTACTACGGTCACTGAGTATTATGATGATTTCTGTGTCAGTGGAAAATCTTCACAGTTAGTGATCAAACCAGAAAATGACAAAAAGTCATGTGACATTATGATAACCAATGAGAATTGGAAAGAAGAATTTGAAGTTCCTGTTAAAGCTAAGATTGATAATTTAATTGATGGAGACCAGATGAGAAAAGTGGAATTTTCTGGAAAAGTTGAATCTGATTTTGTTGATTCAGATGAACACTCATTCTTTACTGTAGAGGTATGTACAAGATTTTTGTTTTAAAAGCTTTATTATATAGTACATAATTGTTTCATGTAAAATGGAAATAAATATAGAAAAGCAAAAACTGTCATCCTTTTATCATCTTCCTAAGTGATAAGCAGTTTTTTTTTTCTAGTTTGAGATTAGTTTCAGTAATGTCATTTAAAAACTCACTTTTTTACTGAACATTTCAGGTAACTGTAAAAGATAAGGACATGGTTTCATTCTGTGAATCTGTTACAGTGGGACACATCACGACGTTTGATGGGACGTAAGTTTCATTTAGTATACTTAAACAGTATATTATGTGTCAAATTTGGAAGGAAAGGGATTAAAGCAATTTAATGTAATGATTAAAAGCAATGTAATGTTATTATAATAGGAAAAATGATACTTTACACCTTGTAGTGGTAATATTGACCAGTAAGAAATTTAATGATTAAAACAGTGTCAAATTTAAAATGTGCATTTTATTTGATTCATGCAGTCAACAAAAACTACCCTGTATAATGTTGAATAATAATGTGTTATGTTCTAGAGTGTACCATTAACTTGTATTAAGAAATCTATTGTAACAGTTTTTGTTCTGATCACATTTTATGATGTACTGGTAATGTAAAAATTGTTTAATGTATTGTAGACAATTCAACCACTTTTTGGAAGGAGAGTTTACCCTGTACAAGCATACTTCAAAACCTTATGAGGTAAAGTAATCGAATTTGGATTTAGATAGAAGAATTATAGTGAGAGTTGTTATTCCAGTTAAAAGTAGTTAATTTTATGCTATACCATTATTTATCATCTTTTTTGAAAAATATAGAACCCTACAAAAATATTATATTGCTGAAACTCTTATCATAATACCATGAATTAAATATAAAAATATTTATGTCACTTAATTGGAGTATTTTTTTGGGGGAAAAATGAAAATTGAATTTTCTTTTTTGAAAAACGAAATTTTTTCTGTAAAGATCATGAAACATGAAAATACATTCATTTTGAATAAGGCCAATAGAAAATAGATATTTCATGCAAAGCTATCATCCGTGTCTCCCTGGAAAAGCATTTCAGTTGATATTGGCACATACATGTCTGTATTTATTTTTCATGACCTTAAATACTATTTAATAATCTTCAGATACAAGCTTTCTACAGAAGTTTTGATGGTAAAGCGTCTAGAGTTTGTGCGGTAGCTATCAGATCTGGTGCTGGTGTTGCTGTCATTGATGTATGTGGCCCAAAAAAAGAGCCAGAACATAAGTGGCCATTACTTGTTAAGATTTACGAAAAACAAATGGAGAAAGGAACAGATATTTATCGTGCAGTTGATGGAAAGATGTTCAAGGTAAGTAAAATATTTCAGACAAACTTTCCCCATAAAAGGGGGATAGGGAAGGTTTTGTTCATTTCAGTAAAATTAGTTTTCTTTTTCATTCTGAATAAAGGGGTCCCTGGTAAGGTATTTGCCTGTCTTTGTTTTGATACTTTACAGTGCTGCTGATAATATTCCCCAAAAGAAGTTGCAAGGATGATTGTCTGTTTTACCTATCTGCAAATCTGTCATTAGATTTATAATAGAATTGCTGTATAAAATACCATATAAATGTCTGTTTAGAAGTCAGTTATATTATCACAGTACAAATTATGGAGGGGCAGGAGAACCTTTTTGACGACGTATGGATTGGTCCTTTATTTTTCCTGGAATTTAGGATTTACACTTATCAGGACTAGGGAATTAATGATTAATTTTTCAGGATCCAGGAAAAAATGCTTTATTTCTTTCGAAATTCAGATTAAGCATTTGTTTTTTGGAAATTCTGGATGACAACACCTTCTACCCCCCACATTATGGCAGTGAAATCAATGTTTGAGTGTTGTTAACCTGTCTCCGAGTCTCATCTTACTGTCCTTGGACTCATGGTACTGTGATGAAACACAACTTTTATGTTTTTGCATTTTATTTTTTCAGATTATGTTACCAACAGGAACCATTATCACAGTTCTTGTAGAAACAGAAACCAGATCACCATATTTGAATATTTGGGTTCAGGGGTCAGTAGTTGACCTTGACAATACTAAAGGTTTGTGTGGAATGTTTGATGGTATGAAGAGCAATGATCTACAGAAATCAGATGGAGAATTGTACAATGTTCCAGGATTAGTAAAAGAAGCACTCTCACTTTCTTGGAGGTATATATATTTTTTTATAAACATAAGTATTAAATGATAAAAAGAAGAAAGAAAATACAATAATAAATACTTATTTAAAAAAATTCAGGTATTTGTACCAATCAAATATCATGCTAATATAGAGAATGTTTGTTAGGATGGGAATTACTTTGAAATTACAAGTCAAGCATTTTACTGAAATTTACAAATTACATGATGTTTCTTAAGGTTGTTGGTGAAATTTTGAGTATGCTGAAGATGATGCTATAAGTTTATATTTTCTAACATTCTGGTTTTATGCCCCGCCTATGGAGGAAGGAGTCAATACTTTTTTGTGTTTGTGTGTGTGTACATCTTTTTGTTTGTCCATCCATCCATCTGCTCTTCTGTCACATATCAGGTTAAAATTTGGTAGATTACAAGAAGTTTCAGTCACACCAAATTAAAAGTTAGTTCACAATTGTGATATGAACTTTTTAAAAATAAATGCCAAAGTATGAGGTTATTTTTTGGCAAAATATGGTCATGAATTTCAACTTAATCATAAAATATCAAAAAGGCTACAATTTGTTTCTTAAATGGATATGTTTCTAAAGCCTTAATGCTCAAAATTACAATCTATTCATAAGAATACAGGCTCAGAAGTCAATGCATTTTGTGATATTGTCAATATACTATGATTTTATGCATTTTCCAGATAAAAACTTTAGGAAAACCTTGGCCACAACCTTTCATCCAAAATGTTCTGTAACCAAAAGGTGCCAAATTTTATGTTGAATCCCTAGTTATTACCATGTTAATTTGGATTATATTTTATTACTTGAATTAATTTTATAGAGTGAAGAGAAATGAGAGCCTTTTGACAGGATATTGTTCCTCCATGAAATCCCCAGAACTAATGACTTACTGCAGCTGTCCACAGGAAATGGAGGGGGATTGTGATGTGGACCAAATCAAAGGAATGTGTTCTGTTATTGGTGATCAATATGGTAGGATATAATATATACTTAGCTGGTGAAATTGACTGATTTTGATCTATTGGTATGATACATCATGTGATACAGTTGTCCTGAACATGCATTAAATATTTGCCACTGGACGTTAAGCAACCATCAATCAATCAATCATATGATACACATTTTTGACATTATTATTCTTCTATTTATCAAATGAATCTGACTTTTGAATAACTAGAAGTGAATATCAGCTGATATACCTTGTCATAATGTAAATCATACAATATTATGGAAAATTAAAAATACTGCTTCAGTATTATGCTTGCCTCGAGTGTGAGAAATCATCGGTTGAACCCCCCTACTGGATGAAACCAAAGACTTTGTATTTGCTACTTCTCCCCTAATCACAAAGTATTAAGGACTGAGCAAAAACTGATCAGCGCCCTGATTATGTGTCCAGGTACATTGACATGTCTCCCTATGGACTGGTCAGCCTGGAGTCAGAATAATGTGTCCAAGTAGGTAGACATGTCTCCCTATGGACTGGTAACTTGTAAATTATGTTCCTCAGAATGTCAGAGTACAAAATAGGGTTCAAATTCACATTGTATTAACATTTTCTGGTCCTGAAGATGCATTTTATTTGGCAATGGACCTGAAACAATCATCATCTTCAAATGTAAAAATAACATTACTAGGCGTGTTGTAAAATTTTCATTTATTTATGCATCCTCAGTTGAATACCTTAAAATAAATGTCAGCTGCTAGTATATAAGAAACAGTTATTAGCTATATATATATATGTGTAATAACATGTGAATGATATTTGATAGGTGATGTGACTGATACTCTGGGTGAAAGGTCATCCAAACCAAAGTTTTGTGATGATGAGAATGGACCGTATGAATTTGATTCTGAATACAGATCTCAGGTTTGTAAATATTCTTTTTTTTTTTTTTTAAATAATTGAGTTGACTATTTTTATACTTTTTTGTCTTTCAAATATTTTTGGATTTGAATGGATATTTTACTTTTTAACCTTTTTTGTAATTAAACTTAATATGTTCAAACACTTATTTATTGACCCAACAGAATATTCAGTTTATGTTTCGTTTGGCCAAATTGTCTGTTACAGGGATTTGATTGGCTCACACAATTCAATATTTTTACTGTTACAGGGTTTTGATTGGCCAACACCGTCTAACATTACTTATGATGATGCAGAAACAGCCTGTATAGCAACTGTCATCAATGGTACAGAGGGACAGCTATGTAAAGATATACCTAATACACAGCTCACACAGATCAAACAGACTTGTATTGAGGATATTCAGGTTAGAGGTTAAATAGTGATTTGTATCCTTTATTACATGCTGTTACTCTGTGATTGTATTTACTAAGTCATCTTCACATGAAGAATTCTGTAAAAATAGATTTAACAAAAAAACAGTAGCAGTGAACTGATATTATTTTTAGTTAAATCATATTATAAGCATGCAAAGTATTTTAATCATAATAAGATCACAGACCCAACAAAACTATTTTAGCATCATATTGTGCAGCAACAATTAGTATTTATACAGAGCTTTTATTTAATGTGTAATTTATACAGAGCTTTTATTTAATGTGTATATTTTTGTTATATTTAGATGATGGACAATTTAAGAGCAGCTATGTTGTCCTTGGCAACCATACGACAGCACTGTGGAGAAGAAATACAAAGAAGTGTGACAATGTGGTCAAGTTATGATGTAGTACACAAGTTATGTTTTAACCAATGTGGAGAACATGGAACATGCAGACATGGTTAATAACTTTTTTCATTATCAGAATCTGTACAAACTTACTATAAGGCTTTTAAGGAGACCTTAGCAAAGCCACAGAATCTAATATCCAGAAAATACAGTTTTCCTCGATCCACAATAATTGGTATCCACAAAAAATGAATAAATCAACAGGAACCAGTTATTTTTTTCTTAGGTTAAGTTCTGCTTTGTGTGAGGAGTAATGTTTCAAGAAGAACTAGATTCTGATTAAATCTTGAAAGAGATTGAAATCAACTGACCTGTTTCAAGAAAATATACATTAAACTGAGACCTATATTACATACAATGGAAAATTATACGTAATTTAAAAAGAAAAGATACCATTTTGATCATTGAAATAATTGTGGTTGTTATTTTTTCAGAGATGATGATAGCGACACCTGGTGGTGGTGATGTTTACACAAACCTGTCCATGTACAAGCTACAAGTCCCAGACAACAAGTTCCTTACATTCAAAACTAAAACCTGTGATAACATGACTGTCATCTTATTAGGAGAAAACAACACCATGGTAACAATAGGTGGGGCCAATGATACAACATACACGATATCTAAGAATGATGAAGAAAAGGTCAGTTTTATGATGGAAAACACCACGGATTGTAATGATTACAAACAGTACTGGATACGATGGGATGATCACATAGTAGAAGTTGGAGAAGGTTCACTAGGGCGCGAGGCTGGAATTGCTATGTGGAAAGATCCTGAACCAAGTATGGTAACTGGTCTAGCTATTTTTAGTGGAGATACATCTGGATCATGGATGTTCCCCATACCAGGTATGCAAGTCACAAGTCCGTTTTTGATATTGTATTTAGGAGGGATATCAGATTTTTTATTAGTGTTTTCATATTGTTGTTTATGCCTGAATAATTTAATTTCTTGACAGATTAGAATAAAATACATATGCTAGAATCAGTTCACTAAAAGTCTGGTTATGATTTTTTGTTCACAAATTGGTCTTGTAAAATATCTTTTGTTGGAGTTGAATAGACCTTATAAATAACTATTGGGTGAAGCATGTCTTATTTTTTTTTTATCATTTCAGGTCATTGTGAATGTGATGCAGATTTTGGAGGAGCTGATTGTTCAGTTAATATAACCATGCCACCAGAATTCTGGAGGTTACACATGAATGGTTTCTGTGATATATCAGAGGAATCTTGTAAAGAAATTGTTGTTTATGGAGATGATTTTTACAAATCTGAAGACCTAGTTTGTGAACTCCAGAGAATTGAAGTTAGTAGAAAGCATATTAAAAGCATTGAAAGTGTGGAAAGAAAGAGTAATAAGTTTTTATAGGAAATTTGGACTCTATGAAAGGAAAATGTGAAAACAAAGGGTATAAATGCATTGTTAAGATTGAAAGTAGATATAACTGGTTAGGTCAAACAAACCAACATCATGCTATAGTCAAAATTTATATTTCAAAGAGTCTACAATGCCATTGGTAAATAAAAAAACATTTGAAACTTCATCTTTTCATCACAATGCACATACTATATGTTCTTGGGATAAAAACATTGAAAGTATTTATACAAAGGTGATCTACTACATTTTACAACGTAATAAAAATTAAAAACTTTATTATTCAAAAATTTCAAAGTTGCGTCAACTTTGAAATATATATATATATATTCAAAATTCAAGAGTCAATCCTAAATTGAGGTAAATTATATGGCCTTCCAAATACTGTTTCGATTCCTAACATCACTGAAGAGACATTAATTGTCGAAATCCGGATATGGTGTACCATTTTTTGCACCTTATGTTTGCGGTATACCATCTTTTCTGCAAGTTTATTGTTTTCTGTTTAGTATTAAATTAATAATTAAGATACATTTTGTTACATCTGGTGATCCCTTTATTTGGCAATCACCATGGCAGTCAGCAGGGTTTAAGAACATCTGTTGTTCAACCTGCTAGTCAAATGCGTTTTGTTAAAATATACTTTTTCACTTTTTTGGTCTTTTTGAAAATGTTGTTTTTGCTGTATTTAGACCCCTCTACCAAGAAATTTGTTTTGCATGCACACGTATAAAAATTGCGGTTTTTATCCAATGCAATCATAGGTTTGAACATTGTTTTCAATTTAGACTTGTATATATATATATATATATAGATAGATAGATATAATTTAGGTTTTAATCTTGGATAAAAGAAATAGAAAATGTTCATATCATTATATTCTGTGATATTTATTTTCTTCAAAGAATTACATTTTTCTATTCTTTATTCTTTTAGCTGTCTAATGAGGAATACACTGTTATCAATGAAAACAAGACAATGGTAAAAGCTGTCTTTATCAGCTTCAATGAAGTGATTTGTCCAATGCCAGAAACAGGAAGTTACATTGTCCGTGTATCTAACGATGGTATGACCTACACACCAGAGAGTATCTTCACCGTGTTTGATGATGAATGTCATACTTGTAATGAACCAGGAAAATGTGAATTTAAGGTAATTTAAATGTTTGATATCAATTTCATTGTTTGTGGCACATGTTTCTCAGTTAATAGTAGCTACAATTGAATATTCATGCTGCAAAAACAATATTTGCTTAATTGCATACTATAAGTTGAGAAATATATATTGAAAATTTATATAATGTTTGTGAATGCTCTCATATTGTTTAATTGAAAACAGGAATGTTTTTTTGAGTTTTGTTTTGAGAAATCTTTTATGTATGATATGTAAGGAAAAAACAAACCTAATGTATTTATAGATTGATTTTTCTCTCTGACCTTAATTGAAATATTTTAATTATTAAATGCTCTATTTATAAAAGTCATTAAAGAACTAATTTGTAAGAATGCAATGAACAAAGCAATTATGACAAGAAAATATATCTCAATTTGTTTTTCTTTTTGCAGGAAAAGACCTGTTTCATTGACTGGAAATGTTACGATGCTTCCGAGAGAAGTCCCGAGAACAGAACTCTGATCTGTAGTCCAGTAGAGTCCTATGATATGTGGAGTACTACAAAAGGTAATACATACTATTGATCTTGTATTCAACAGCATGTAAAACTTGTTGTTATCATTGATCAAGAAAAAATACATTGAAATCCATGAATTATGTTACCGCTGTATCCATTTAATGGAAAAAAATTTAAAAATGAATTACAGCTCAATGTAAATACACATTCTGGTAGGGTTAAATGGAAAAGGAGTACTTCTTTTTTGGTTAAATTAAAAAAGCTGAATAAAAAGATATGTATTATGAATGAAATTTCAGATTGATTATAAACTAAACTCTATTGATCTGCATGCTAAAATAAATATAATTGTGGTTCATTTTTCAGTTTATCCATTACTCGAAAAGTTACCAGAGGCAGAGATGATGTATAATGAAACAACAAAGAAAGTTCAATTCTCCTGTGAGTTTGAAGGTCCTTCAGATAATACAACAAAATACTCTGTTGTTTGGAGAATCAAGAAATTTGGAGGTGAATGGATGGAAAATGAGGATTTATTCAAAATGAAAAAAATTGATTCAGGAATGCTGAAAAATTTCACCTATGGTTCCATGGTAAGGATACTGCTCATTTAGTTTTCTGTTTTACTGGGGTTTTCAAGTACGGAAGTTGTAAATCCTCAATGGGTTTAGATTCATGTATTTATAGTTCAAATGAATGATTAGAATACCCTCTAATAATTCAATGATCAAGTAAGAAGGAATCATTTCTATGGTTTTTGTGGCTTTACGAGTTGTCTTAATAAGTGAAAAAAATCAAATTATAAGACTGTATTTGCAAAATAGTTATAAAAAGAGATTGAGTGATTGATTGTTGATGTTTAACGCCACTTTCCTCACTATTGGCTAGTTTTTATTGGAGGAGGAAGCCAGAGAGCTTGCAGAGAACCACCAGCTTTGATAGGAAAACTGGCAATCCTAGTCAATTAAGATGAGAGTCGAACACACCTGCCATGTGATTGGATTGAACTCACAACCTCAGTGTTGAAAGGCTAGTGAACAATTATATTATGTGACTGTTTTTTCTATTTTTAGATACAATGTGGCCTATATCTATGCTACAGTGATGATTGTGGGAATACTACATCTCCATTGAACCCTAGTAACAGTATCCAGGCAGTTATAAAGGTAAGTTAGGATGAAAATGTATATACTATCCTATCAAATAATATACCGTAATGACCACTTAAAAAAAAATTTCGAGTCTTTTTGAGATTAATCAGTTTTATTAATTTTTAAAAATATATTTAGGTTAAAGAAAGCAGTCTTGAATTGGTAGAAGGAGGAGAAAAGGAAGAACTACATGTATCATTAAGTTTTCCCCCAAATATGTTCTGTATGTCTGACGACTGTCACATCAGGGTCGATATCACAGTCAGAAATTCACAAAATCTTACATGTGGTGGAGAAATGGTACCTCAGATAGTTATCAAACAAGACCGTGCAATGTCCAGTTGTGGTGTTAGTTTTACCATGGATAATTGGATGGAGGAAATGGAATTACCTGTGTATGCTGTGATGGACTCATTAAAGGATGGTAAACAGATGGCCATGATTGATGTAGAATCAGAGGCTATGGCAGGAGGCATGAGTTATAGCGAGGCCATCATGAATGAGGAGGATGTTGAGGTATGTTCTGTTACGTTATTTGCTTTACTGTGAGGAATGCTCATGAATGAAAAATACTTATTAAATTTGAAAATAGAATTTCTAATACATTTGTAGCTGTTTTGTCTAAATGTCTGCATACTAGAAAAAAAACCCAACATAAATTGGATAACAAATCAAGTTAGCAGCTAAAATAAGGTTTTGTCCCATAATTGCTCAGGCAAATATCATTAGTCTACCTTTAAAAAGCCAAATACCATAACTAGTGTACAAAAAGTTGTATACTTTTAATTTTAGATTCAAGTTTTTCATGCATTTTTTTGTCGAGCCTGCGACTTTTGTCGCAGAAAGCTCGACATAGGGATAGCGATCGGGCGGCGGCGGCGGCGGCGGCTACGGCGGCGGCGGCGGCGGCGGCGTTAGCTAACTTCTTAAAAGCTTTATATTTTAGAAGGTGGAAGGTCTGGAGGCTTCATACTTTGTATATGGATGCCTCATGTTACGAAGTTTCCGTCAATCACATGTCCAATGTCCTTGACCTCATTTTCATGGTTCAGTGACTACTTGAAAAAAAAGTTAAAATTTTTTGTAATGTTAGATTCTCTCTTATTATAAGTAATAAGATAACTATATTTGGTATGTGCGTACCTTGCAAGGTCCTCATGCCCGTCAGACAGTTTTCACTTGACCTCGACCTCATTTCATGGATCAGTGAACAAGGTTAAGTTTTGGTGGTCAAGTCCATATCTCAGATACTATAAGCAATAGGTCTAGTATATTCGGTGTATGGAAGGACTGTAAGGTGTACATGTCCAACTGGCAGGTGTCATCTGACCTTGACCTCATTTTCATGGTTCAGTGGTTATAGTTAAGTTTTTGTGTTTTGGTCTGTTTTTCTTATACTGTATGCCATAGGTCTACTATATTTGGTGTATGGAATAATTGTAAGGTGTACATGTCTAGCGGGCAGGTGTCATTTGACCTTGACCTCATTTTCATGGTTCAGTGGTCAAAGTTAAGTTTTTGAGTTTTGGTCTTTTTTTCTAATACTATGTGCAATAGTTCAACTATATTTGGTATGTGCGTACCTTGCAAGGTCCTCATGCCCGTCAGACAGTTTTCACTTGACCTTGACCTCATTTCATGGATCAGTGAACAAGGTTAAGTTTTGGTGGTCAAGTCCATATCTCAGATACTATAAGCAATAGGTCTAGTATATTCGGTGTATGGAAGGACTGTAAGGTGTACATGTCCAACTGGCAGGTGTCATCTGACCTTGACCTCATTTTCATGGTTCAGTGGTTATAGTTAAGTTTTTGTGTTTTGGTCTGTTTTTCTTATACTGTATGCCATAGGTCTACTTTATTTGGTGTATGGAATGATTGTAAGGTGTACATGTCTAGCGGGCAGGTGTCATCTGACCTTGACCTTATTTTCATGGTTCAGTGGTCAAAGTTAAGTTTTTGAGTTTTGGTCTTTTTTTCTTATACTATATGCAATAGTTCAACTATATTTGGTGTATAGAAATATTTTATGATCTATTTGGCAGTCACGCAGGTTTTATTTGACCTTGACCTCATTTTCAAGGTTCATTGCTCAGTGTTAAGTTTTTGTGTTTTGGTCTGTTTTTCTTAAACTAAAAGCAATAGGTCAACTCTATTTGTTGTATGGAAGAATTGTTAGCTGTACATGCCTGCCTAGCATGGTTCATCTGACCTTGACCTCATTTTCATGGTTCATTTGTCAATGTTTAGTTTACTTGGTTAATGTTAAGTTTATGTGACAGTTGTAATAAAGCTTTATATTTAGGACTATCAACATAATATAAATGATTAGTAAAGAAGGCGAGACATTTCAGCGTGTGCACTCTTGTTTATCTATTCTATCAATTGATAATAATTTGATCTATTATATTGATATAGGTAACAATAATGGATAGATATGCGAAATGTGTGGCACTAAATTACCATACACGTACATTTGATGGAAGGTGAGTTATAATTTAAGACATTTCAACTTTTCAAATTTGCTTATCCCAGATTTGTTGAATTCTGGGTACTTTTCTTCATAGTGCTGAAGTTTTTCTCTAGCCTGAGATGTTTATGTTGTGAATGTTAGACATAGCAAATCATGAATCCGTCCTCGTCAGCATTTAGGTTCAGTCTGTGGTTACAAGTTTTTTAAACATCAATATCTCTGTTAAACCTTCATGGAATTTAATGAAATTTGGAAATGAGCTTCATTATGACCAAAAGACAGTATTCAGAAAAAATATTTTAAAAATATATATATTTTCTGAAAAATGCACCTGTCCTAAGTCAGGAACCTGTTGTTCAGTGGTTGTCGTTTGTTGATGTGATTCATAAGTGTTTCTCTTTTCTCGTTTTTTATATAGATTAGACCGTTGGTTTTCCTGTTTGAATTGTTTTACACTAATCTTTTTGGGGTCCTTTATAGCTTGCTGTTCGTTGTGAGCTAAGGCTCCGTGTTGAAGGCCGTACTTTGACCTATAATTGTTTACTTTTTACACATTGTGACTTGGATGGAGATGTCTCATTGGCACTCATACCACATCTTCTTATTTCTATTAGATTTTTTTGCATTTCATTAAGATAAAGCCTAAGGTTAAAGTTTTTCATGACATTATCTGTTTAAAATTTCAGGAGCTTTAACAATCTCAACGAGGGAGAATTTGTTCTATACAAACATGATGAGCTACCCTATGAGGTAAGTTTATATGCTTTTTGTGTTTTTTACTGTGCATGTACTGATTTTGTGTCATGGATGGATACCCCATATCCTTTCTTTTTCTATTGGTCCTATCAGGAAGGTTAATACTGGTTTATTAAGAACTAAATTTTGAGTATTACATTTAAAATATTCCATTGTTTTTCAATTTTTTACATGGTTTAATGGGTCATCCTTAGTCTTTAATTGATATTACTTGCACAACTTTTCAAAGCCTTAGGCCCTTAGAAATAAGACTTTCAGTTAGTCCCTTATGTTTTAGCCTGTTGCGTGTTACCATTTAGAGTGAAGGGTTCTGTATTTTTCTGTTAAATAAAGTAGCTACTTCCTCTTATTAAATTTTGGAAACATTGCAAGAGTATTACCTAGAACATGACATTATAAAGTGCCGTTATAATATTTTTTCTTAGCTAAACTGGCGGATCCAGAACTTTTTATAAGGGGGGCCCACTGACTGCCATAAGAGGGGGCCTGCTACAGTCATGCTTCAGTGATTCCCTATAAAATCAACCAAATTTTTCCCACAAAAAGGGGGGGGGGGGGCAGGGCCCCCAGGGCCCCCTGGATCCACCTATGCTAAATTCTACAAGCAGACTTGAACATTAAGAAAAACATGGGTTTCATTTTTAAAATTTTGCATTTTTTGCTGTTGGAAACATAACTTTGCCATTTTTCATTTGTAATTATATAACAGGTACACATATTCAATAGAAGATGTAGCAATGATACCAATGCCATTTGTACATGTGTAGTAGCCATTAGGTCAGGTGATGATGTTATACTGATACATAGATGTGGACCTGATGAGGAGGATATCCCATACTTACATCCAAAGATGTATCTTAATGATGAACTAACTCCAGGAACAAAGATCTTACGGTTTAATAATGGACATGAATACAGAGTAAGTCATTCACGATCATTTTAAAGAGTCAACTCAGGAATCTGGTGAGATTTTGTTTGCCCAGTGATGATGTGGGGGAGTGGGGTATATGAGTGTGCTCACAAAGGTTCTTAAATTCTATCATGTCTTGCTCTATGCACATTTCAACATGGATACGCATTATATTTGTCAATTACAGATTGTTTCATTCATCAAGCATGTGTAACCCATATTTTGTAGAAATTAAAACATTTGATAATAAAGTGAAAGAAAAAAATCCCATTAGAATACAAAGTTTTTATTTTTTTGTAAAATTTTACTGGCAAAATTAGAGGTAACAGTAGTTTACAAAGATTTGAAACTCATTGTTGAATTTGAAGTATACAAACCAAGAGAAAAAATCCTGAGGGAAATACAAAATAAAGGTGAACACAACATGTAAACAGAAAAAAATTAAAGCTTGTAATATTCCATGCTTAGTACATTTATTTTCAACAAGAATGTGATAAGTCAAAAGCAGATTTTATCGCATAGACCCAATGGTTAGTTTAGAATTAAATTTTTTTTTTTAAATTTAACAAAATCAAAATGAAGAATTATCAAACAAAAAGAAGAAAAAGATTATTTCTAGATAATATTTAAAGCAATGGGTTTTGTATTTAAAAGAAAATATTTGATGTAATTCCAGGTTTATCTACCAACTGGATCCTATGTTTTGGTAAGAAATGGAGTACACAGCACATACAAATACCTCTCTGTTGCCATGTATTCTTCACCTATGGATCATAATCACACACAGGGTATGTGCTACTTTCTAGAAACTCATAGCCTTGGAATTATAATATAAAATATTCCATACATCTGGGTTAATTCTTAAAACTAAAGCAACATACTTGCTTATATACTAAACATGGTAAAGATAAAAGAGAAATAGAAAAAAAAGAATGTTTGATTTGAATTACTGTGGATTCAGTTATTTTTCGTGGATACCGATTTTCATGGATGTTTAATTGTGTGGATTTTGTCAAGGTTTATATACAAATCTTTAGATGTACTTCGTTGAACATTCAAATTCGTGGTTTACATGTACCCAGGTATCCCCCGAATAATGCTGAATCCACAGTATATAGTTTCTATTTATAAGGATAGACAATTGTAAGAAAAATTCTTTACAGTGTTAGTGTAGAACAGTTTCCTTTCGTAGAGTTTAAATTTTATAATTGTAATGGTCAAACCTGTTCACAAGGTTCTATTGTCATGTTTTTCTTGTCCCTGATGCTGAACATCCTCAGAGTTCAAATTTATTACCTTGATTTTTATCCAGCTCAAGAAATTAGCAAAAATAAAACTTCTACAAATTGTCCACATTATACTGATGAAATAAACTAAATATTTGTAGGATTATGTGGAAACTATGACAACAACAAAGACAATGATTTGATGCTGGAGGATGGTAGTATTCTGGAAACTAAATCAATGTATCCTCACTCATTCTCTACAAGTTGGAGGTATTTGGCAATATTTTTATAATTATGATCTGGCTGTTTAAGTGTAGAATTATATTGTTTAGTATAAGAATTATAAAAAGAACTCTTAATTGAGAAGGATAGTTTTTTGAAATACTGATTTATAGAAATCAGACTTATTGGTATTTTATCAAATTTAACAATACAAGTGAGTTGCCTTGACAACAGAGATACAATTCGGCACCCATAACTTGAGATTTGATAATTTTACTCTTTATATTTAAAAAAGATCATACATTTAGTTCAAAATGTACATTTTCAGAAGGAGGAATCTGTAAAATATTGATATTAATATGTCCAACCTCAAGGTTCACTTGTAAGTAACAGGGTAAATAGTTTTTGACTTTTTCTTCCTTTCGGTTTTTATAAAGCTGTTTTGAAATACATTTTTATAAAACTGTAAATGATTTTTGTTTCTAGAGTGGATGAAGATGACACATTATACAATGGCTACTGTGATACATCTGTAGCCAATAACGTTGACAGTATGATGTTGTGTGATTGTTTCCAGAACTCTACATGTACAGAGAATAACATCATGTTTAGCTGTACTGAAGAAGGAGGTAACGGCAATTTATTGAAAAAATATATGTTGGTGGGGGATGGGTTATGATTTCAGTGTAATTTAAAGAAAACTATTTGTGAAATGCAGGTCACGTCTTTTATTTTTGTTATACTTTATCATCTTGAAGGTCGCTTGAAGGACTAAGAGAAAGACAGATTCTGTACAATAAATGTACAATTTTTTGATTTTCATTGACCACTATTTCATATTGACCATGCATTTTGAGTCAAACATGGTTTGAAGTCTAATATGCTTAAAGACAAACATGACTCAAAACCTTGAAGAGTTCATGAAAACAAAATTATGTACACAATGCTGCAAAAACAATGTAGCTTGACTTTTTACATTAATATACAAAATCCTTAAACAAAAGATATGTTTATTTTAAGGCTTTGATCAAACAGATAGTATAATACCATATGCACAGAACCCTCCTGAAAAATGTTTGACCAAACAACCACAGACTTTGTTTAAATATGATGTCAACTTTACAGCTGAGGTTTGTTGTTATGTTAGAAAAATGATGTTAAACAAGCAACAATCAATCAATCAATATTAGGGAAATTTTTAATATGTAGTTAGGAAAGACAAATTCAATAAATAAAACCATTTGTTTGTATAAACTTTCTCAAAGAACTCTTGGTTTTAAAAAATAAATTGTGTGTGAAATTCAGTGGAAAAGTTCCTAGAAAAAGGTAGCTTCTCTTTTGCATTGATTTCACAACTGCACTTTTTGACAAAGGGAATTCCTGGTAGAATATCTAACATATACACAAAACATTAGAGTTACTAGGTGAATTACCAATTTACAAGTCATAAATTCATTTTTTGATGGGACAATGAACTTTTATTATACTTCTTGCATATTCCAGGAAATGAATTTGATGATTGCAAAGCATGATTTATTTATTCATATGTATATTGTCTATTCACACCATTTTTTAAAGAAAAAAGAGAAAAACCATTGTTGAACAATCTCGAATGTATAGCAGAAAATTTAAGCATGCATAATAGTAGAGCAAGTTTCCCTACAAAACTAACAATTATATTGAACAATGTCATATGACATCCCCCTGAAATGATACCAATTGGTTCAAACAGAAAATTTCTTAATTCATAAGTGAAGTATATAGGGCTTCAGATATTAAGTGAAGTTATACTTTTATCATTTACTGCAGGTTGTGAGTTGGCCTACTGCTTCTGGTATGAATGAGACATATGTCAGAGAATTATGTCAGAACTATATATTATCAACAATGGAGGGAAACATGTGCCGTGATCTGGTGCCTTCTGTATTTTACATATCTGTCGAGTCCTGTGTTACTGATATAGGAGTAAGTATTTTACACATCTGTCGAGTCCTGTGTCACTGATATACGAGTAAGTATTTTACACATCTGTCGAGTCCTATGTCAATGATATAGGAATAAGTGTATTGTACTGTATTTTACACATCTGTCGAGTCCTGTGTCACTGATATAGGAGTAAGTATTTTACACATCTGTCAAGTCCTGTGTCACTGATATACGAGTAAGTATTTTACACATCTGTCGAGTCCTGTGTCACTGATATAGGAGTAAGTGTTTTGTACTGTATTTTACACATCTGTCGGGTCCTGTGTCACTGATATAGGAGTAAGTGTTTTGTACTTGCGTCGAGTCATGTGTCACTGATATAGGAGTAAGTGTTTTGTACTTCTGTCGAGTCATGTGTCACTGATATAGGAGTAAGTATTTGGTACTTCTGTCGAGTCCTGTGTCACTGATATAGGAGTAAGTATTTTACACATCTGTCAAGTCCTGTGTCACTGATATACGAGTAAGTATTTTACACATCTGTCGGGTCCTGTGTCACTGATATAGGAGTAAGTGTTTTGTACTTGCGTCGAGTCATGTGTCACTGATATAGGAGTAAGTGTTTTGTACTTCTGTCGAGTCATGTGTCACTGATATAGGAGTAAGTGTTTTGTACTTCTGTCGAGTCATGTGTCACTGATATAGGAGTAAGTATTTTGTACTTCTGTCGAGTCATGTGACACTGATATAGGAGTAAGTATTTTGTACTTCTGTCGAGTCATGTGTCACTGATATAGGAGTAAGTATTTTGTACTTCTGTCGAGTCATGTGTCACTGATATAGGAGTAAGTATTTTGTACAGTCTGACACTTTTAAAAAAAGAGGCAGAAGATACCAAGGGAGTAAAATCATTAATTGATGAAAAACAACCTGGCCTAAAAGAAAAACAAAATCTACACAACACTTAACAGTGAACTAAATTCCAACACAACCAGGTGCTCAGGAGGGGTAAGCTTGTTGCTCATAGCAAATAGATTTGGTGAATATGGTGATTAGTCGGTTAGTTACATTTCAGACTTTGCTAATACCATCAGTGAAGTTATCAGATTGATTACCACTTTCTCTTTAAATATGATTGTTTATCTCTGGAATCATTCAATGTTTGAAAATTAATTTCTAATGTAGAATATCAAGAAAGGATCATTGGTATTCATTCAAGCATTAATGTGAGTCAACAGGAAATAGTGATAACAGAATTCGTTTTTTTAAATTCAATAAAAGTTGATTCAGCAACCTTAAACATGAAGTTTTTCATGAGGAACTTTCAAGGCCTTTGTATGTACTTGGACAATCTATACTGTTCTACAAGTTACTTCTTTTACTTTCATTTTAGAAACCTAAAGTAGGCAGTAATTCAACAGGTAGACTTTACGAAACCAAGAACTAATATTTTGACAGTTCCTATTGTACTTTTATTTTGTTTTAGTTAACTGATGATGAAAGCTGGAAAATGACTGCCTTATTTAGTGTCAAGACACACTGTTACATAAGAGCCATCACATACACCAAATACTGGGAGATTTCTGGTAGTTATATGATGCCAAATACGACATTTACTAACATGCTATGTCCAAGTGGCTGTAATGGTAAAGGAATCTGCAAGAGTTATGGTAAGAATAAAATACAAAAAATAATTATTGTGCCTCTATTTTTATTTCATTTCCACATAAAATGATAAGATTTAAGTGTTTTTAGTGTAAAAAACAGCAATTTCAAAGAAATTTTTATAATCATTTTTTGACTGAAATTTTATCATTATTTAAATCCTGTGTGTGAAAAACTTTACAAGGTGATGCTTGAATGGCAAAGATGTTCATTTAGAGAAAAATTCAGAGAAGATATGCTGGTTTCAGTTCTTTCAAATTTAAAATAATAAACTCCAAATGTGCATTTAATTTACAGTTTTATGTCTATTTTCACCTGGTTGTCTCTTCTGATACAAAAGTCATGGAAGGTAGACTTCAGCATCATGTTAACAGCATCAACAGTGTCAACAGTTAATTTTGATAAGATAGAAAGGCGAGACATATCTCTGACTGAGCTAACAGTATATTTTAGTAAAAGGAAGCACCATGTTTTTTTCCATCTTGACATAAAAAACAAAGAATAGACTTAAATTCTGAGACACTGTGATTCATGTTGCTTGTTTTTTGTCCAGTGGCAAATATTTCATGTGTATTCAGGACCAAACTATACATATATAAAAGAGTTGGACTTTTAACAATACAAACCATATGATTTTGTTTCAGGTGAATGTGAATGTGAGAGTGGTTTTGGTGGTATGGATTGTTCTGTCGACACTACTAAACCACCGGTGTTAGGTGACGTGACCTATGGATCTCTGTGTGATACAGTAGATAGAGATTGCACTGTAGTTTTCCTGTATGGTATGAACATCCTCATCAATAAAGATCTAACTTGTCACATAACAGAAGTACAGGTAACGTATCTCTTATAAGACTATAGTTTGCAGTTGATATAAAAATAAGGAGATGTGGTATGATTGCCAATGAGACAACTATCCACCAAAGTTCAAATGAGTTTCTTTACTAAATATGTGGTTCCACTTGAACTGAAATATGCCTGAAGTTTCTTTTAACCAAATAACTTGACTGTTATTACTGAAACAGTAGCATCAAATTCCTTCTGGATCCTAACAATTTTGAATGATACTGTTTAATTTTTAACTTTTAAGGAATAGATTATTCCCCTTCAGAACTTCCTCTTATCTTTTCAGAGCATTAAGAAGCCTTAATCACAAAATAAACTTCTGAGCACTATATTAAAAAAATACCATATCTACCTTATGTGTTAGAGTAATTTTCTTGATAAAAGAATAAGATATCAAAGAATGCAGACAAGTACTGAAATTAAGCTCAAAGTAAACCTGCTGATATGAAATCATGCCATCCTACACTATAATATCAACTGCTGTACTTCCGGTAGATTTCATACAGCTATTTAAACTGTATAGGAATATCTGATTTTGTGAAATGCTCAGAGCAAATGATTACATGATATCATTGCAGCAAGTCTGATTTATGTTTGTTTGTTTGTTATGAAAATATGTTTTCTTCTTTCAGTCTGATAACAAATACACTGTTCCTGGAAGGTTCCTCTCATTTGAATTAATTGAATGCAAACTTAACTTAACAGTCAGTGTCACTGTATCACTGAGTAATAATGGTGTAATGAAGAGTAATGAACTGAAACAGTTTGTATATGACTCCAGATGTGAGCACTGTGAACTAACTGATGATGGAACATTGAGCTGCCAGTCAAGGGTAATTAAACTCTATGAGAGGATATAGAGAATCAATCAAATGATTTTTTAACCATTATAAAAATGTCAATTGAGTTAAAATCATTCTCTTGCCTTGCTTTTTGTATCTTTACATGAAATCTCTTATTGCTTAGAAATTTGATCAACATATGATAAGCGTTCTATATGAAACTACAAACAAATATTGCATACGGTAAAATTGTGTTGACAAAATTGAAACAATTTTATTTCTGAAATTTGGCTTTATAGTTAAAAGTTTGGTTTTTTTTTATGATAAGTGAAAGCTTTTCACCTTTCCCTGAGTTGCAAATACTGTAAAACTTGTTTTCCATGCATTTTCTGGTTAACTTTGCCAGATGTAATACTGACATATAAATATAATAAGCACTAAACCTATAAAAAATCCTTTAAAAATGTTTGAATTTTTCTTGTTATTTGAAATTCATATAATACAAATTTAATTGATGATTTAGTAAAGATATTTTTTCTTGCAGAATGACAGCTGTTTAATTGATGGAGAATGCTATGAAAATGGACAAGTTTTTCCGCAAGATTCTACCAGAGTCTGTGATGCTGTTCAGAACACCACTGTCTGGACAAAAATACAAAGTATGTAATAATTTCAAAATTTCAATGTCCAGATTATTAATACCTTAAAAAGCTATTTTTCGCAGAGGAGTTTTCTGCAGTTAAATCTTGATTATATGTTTTGGATCACATTGTAAACTTTTTCTCATATGATCATGTCACCAATACAAAAACGGTTATAGAACTTTTGTAGAAATAACAGTGAATAAATCTTCAATTATTAGCTATACGTTACATACCAAAAGCCTGTGATGTACACTGAGAACTCCAGTTCATTTACATATATAAAACAGGAATTTATATATGTTAAGGTGAGATAAAACCCCTAGAAACAAAAATGTATGATGGCCTCTTCATGTTATTTCTGTTCATTTTGGGGCTGTTGTGTTGCTCTCATTAATGTTAACCCTGCATCTCCTTTTATTCACCAACAGTACTAATGACTGCCATTTTATAGGGTATTCAATTAATATATGAGGGGCCTTGGAGGCCGAATGGTCTAAGTAGTCGAACTACTGTATCACTAGCCTGTCAACACTGAGGTTATCAGTTCGAATCCTACCAAAGGTTGGTGGTTCTCTCTGGGCACTCCGGCTTCCTCCACCAATAAAAACTGACCACCATGAAATAGCACAATAATGCTGAAAGTGGCATTAAACACCAATCAATCAATCAATCCATTTATATGTCACCGTCGTATTTATGTGTATAATTAAATGTTGATTTGTCATTCATCAGTTCATTTATTTCATTCATTCCATTTTCTGTTTCATCATACTCATTATGACGTTTGACTGAGACTGACGACATTTCTAATACACGTCACTGCACAATTTCATATACACGTCACTACACACCTGAACGATTTAAATAGAATAAAATATAGTTGCACGCACGCGGGAAAATAAATGTACGCCTTATATATATAGATATTTAGTATTTCATTAACTGAATAACTGCCTTTCTGTGTGGATGCTTAAATGCTATAGAAATATTTGCAGGTTAGTTAATTTTGTTATTTGAAAAGTTTTATTTACAGTTTCTCGATAGAATTTCATTCATTAAAAGTTATATGGAAATATTATGATAGTTTTATCATAAAAATCTACAATAAGATACTATACGGCTTTTCCGTACTTTTTACATATTTTTATAGTAAGTTCAAAATTACTGAATTGCAGCTATAAATTGTCTTATTTGCAGTATTAATTCATGGCGTAATTTTGAAGTGTTTTGTTGAATTCATTTGTCCGTCAGTTCTTGTCTCTATTTAGTTTGTGGTTTTATATTTAGGTTATGAATGAATGTAATTGTTTTCCGAATTTGTTGAAAGATTTGTATATGTTGAAATAAATATATATTTGCAGTTAGTAAACGTGGAATCAAAGTCACTGTCTGATATTAGCCATCACGATAATTTGGTGTATGTCCGGTTCACTGTGACATATATATGAAACATTTCACTTTAATTATCTTGTTATTGTTATAGAATTTTAATTCTCATTTGATAATGTAACATACATTATGAGACAACTCAATGACAGTTTGAAAGTTTGAAAATGCATCTTTTTTTTTCAGGTACCAGTATTTCTTGGAAACAAACAAACTTCATAGAAATAGTCCAAACAATGTTGGTGACCACTAATGTAAATTTAAGTCTGACTGGTTCACCAATAACAGTTGATGGTTGGAAAGGAGGATTAGCTGTGGAACTAAATGGCATGGACCAGCTTATCGATTCACCAGATGACAATAATTGTCTGAGTGAACCTGACAATTGTTTATTAGGAATGACCTTCAAAATATCTCTGCGACTGTCTATACTGAAAGAAAACATGTATATTTTAACATCTGGTGGGGACCAACAAGGGGCTAGAGGAGTTTCTCTGTATTATTGGAAAAAGAGATTATATTTGACTATCTCAACTGTTGATAAAGAATGGACAGTAAAAACAAAATTTACCAAAGTCAATGCATTCTTTGACCTTGAATTTTCATGGAGTATTGATGGTCTGGAACTCTTCATAGATGGAATAAGTGTTGGAAAGAGATTGAAGTATATAAAGAGGAAGATTAAAGGCTATAAGAAATATAAATATAGATTTGGTGGACCTCTGCTTGGGTTTGGTGGATTCTATGCTAAGTGTACTGTTGGAACATGGCAGACTTGGACGGCCACAATTAACATTAAAAATGCTGTTGGAGTCCTCTCAGGTAAGACACAGTTCAAATTTTAAAAGCTATTTTTGTGCAGAATGTCATACTGTATATTTTCTTGAAACTGAACACACAGAATACAGATTTATTGATTTTTTTTATATGATATATTTATAAAAGATGCCAACTTCAGAAGAAAAAAAAATTGCATGCTTGGAAGAGTTTTACCTGGTTGATTTTGATAGCTTAACATATGTTAAGTCTTAGTTTAGTGATCTAGAATATAGATTTTATAAACAGATGTTTGTGATGTTTTTATGGAAGACTGTTAATGAAGGCTAAAGTAAAATACTTAGTACATAGTTATATGATTTAGTACCGTTAAAGATTCAGATTTTGGTTTATTTTTCTAAATGCTCAAAGACTATTGAGCACTTAAATTGATAATCAGACTATTATTTATATAATGCTTAGTCCTTCTGGTGGTCAAACTTTTATCAACAACTCTTAAAAATAGAAAAATTAGATCAGAATGCCAACTTTTTGTTAGAGCTAAAAAGAAGAAAGATATTTATAGGCAGAAAGTAAGTCAAAGATTTAAAGAAAAAAAAAAAAAACCTTTTCAACCGTCAAGGTGGAGAAAAGCTGTAAACCATGGTTATTGTTCATGTACACAAGCACCATATCTTTTTTTTCCAACAAAAGTATTGTTCTTTCATATTTTGGTTATTTCCGTATATATTATGAGAGTGTCATCTTATGTGCATTCATTCCATATCCTATATTCTCCAGTAAGCATGATATATATTAATTTCTTTCAGAGGTATCCTATATTCCCCAGTAAGCATGATACATATTAATTTCTTTCAGAGGTATCCTATATTCCCCAGTAAGCATGATATATATTAATTTCATTCAGAGGTATCATATATTCCCCAGTAAGCATGATATATATTAATTTCCTTCAGAGGTACCAGAACTCACTTCACAACCAAGACTTGAAGTGGAATTCGATAAAACTAATGGAACGACTACATTTAACTGTGAATATGACAAATTACCCCGTGGGGATGTGAAATACATCATAGATTGGACGGTGGATGATCTTAGTGTTAAATCAGAAACAACAACTGAAGATGGAAGTCAACTTGAAGAAGATTTGTATGGAGTTGGTGGATATGGGGTCAAGGTCAGTATACAAATTATATAGTTTAGAGATTCTTTTCTAGTCTATTTAATAGATATGGTCAAGTATTAGACCCTTTCATGAAAATATGCAGGCCAGCTTAAAAATGCATTAAATGGCAAAGTGATATTTGTTTTATTCTCCTCCACTTATAACCATGCTTGCATATTATTATTGAAAAGAAAATACTTGTGAAATTCTAAACTACCTTATACTCTTGCAGTCATTAAATTTAAACGATCACTCATAAGAACATGCAGTATAACTGCAGCATTGTTTAAGTACTTTTTCTATGTGACTTTCCTGTTTAAAGCATCAGTTATTATGTCAATTAATCAAGACACCTAATATTTTATCAGAAATTTGGAGACAAGGTATTAGTTATGTTTTTGAAAAAATAAATCGATGATCCAGATATTTGTTACTTTATAAAGAATATATATGTGTTTATGTTGGTATTACTGTAATGTTTAATATTTCAGACAAAATGTACAGTGACTCCATGTTTTGCTTATGACTGTGGCAACACAAGAGGACCGTCCAGGAAAAGTAATATATTAACAGCAGAAGTGAAGGTTAGTTCGTAGATTTTTGCATTAATAATATAAAGTAAACCCTTTGTGCCTCTGAAATTTTTAAAGTGACCTTTTTCAGTGCACATGCTGCCATCACAACTCCTTTTACATGTTGCATGTACATGAATGTCAATGTTAGTACCTGGTTTGTTCTTACTTTACACAGTCACTCTCATTTGCTGAAGTCCTGGTTGTATATTTTGTCAAAAAATTATTATTGATTACCAGATACTGATTAAAAAATGTTGAGTACATTTAGATTGATAGTTTTATGTGTTTTAATGCCTTTATGTCCATATTATCCTCAGACATAAACCTCATGGTATATTACAAATGATTGTATCCTTTACATTAACCATTATATTTTTTCTATCAAGGTTATGACAGATACAATAGACATCAGAGAAGGTGGACAGGCAGGCAATGTTAAAATCAAGTCCATGGTTCCTCCATCACTATTCTGTGCTCCTGAAGATAGGGGAGTTAACAGTACATGTTATGTCAAGGTCACTACTCGATTCCAGGAAGTGGAGGAATTATGTACCAATGGCAATACACACTGGCAGGCTGCAGTCATGTACAGGTAAGATTACAACCTGTCTACATTGTTTTATCAGAATATATTCCATCAAAATAGATACCTGCCAAAAACACCAAAAAAAGAACCGCTGACATGACACGTTTTATAGAAATTTAAATGGAATATATATTTATTTGCCTCCATAAATTCAGTAATGCAAATAATGTTAACAGGTTTATCATATAATTTATACAGAGAGATTATTCTATAATACATATGTATCGTATGTATCGTAAATGTGCAAACTAGAACTGAAATGAATCTAACACTGAAATAAAAAAGCTACTGGTGTCACTACAACATTTTGAGTTGTTATTTATAGTTTTTTATGTTACTGACAACCTCCATTGTAGTAATGTAAATGTGGGAGATACTCCTTTCTGTGGTGGAATGATCACTGATGATATGTGGGAGGATGAACTTTCTGTTCCTGTGATGGCTACAACAGATTTAGTTTATGATGGAGACGTTACTCGACATTTAGATGTTGGAATTTCAACTTTCTGTGGAACTACAGCCACCTATAATTCCACACACAGTAGTGTCAAGGTAGATAACTACATTCATACTTTTTATACGCAAAGTTTGTTTAAGTCTTGCACAATACACTTACAATTCACACTCAACACCATTCCATGTTGAGTCTGTAAATCTATCTACTGAAGTCACTTCTATCAATGAATTACATATTTGAATATTTATAAAATACCTTTAGCAAGAACTCTGTGCTGCATGCAAATGTGATTCTTCACTTTCTTTCATTTTGAAGAAATTTTCAAAAAACAGCATTCAATTCTATAATGAATTGTAATTGTAAAAATAAAGAAATACTTCATCATATTATCTCAGTCATTGCAAACTACATCATCTTTGTACTCAGAAGGGCTCTTTATCGTAGTTGGCTATACCCCAGTGCCCCCTTCCCAAACCATGCTATACTCAGTCCTCCCTCCCTCCAAAACAAACCAAACAACCCACTCATCCCCAGTTCCATTTTCATCACACATATATTTTATAATCTGTTTAATATATATATATATGTTTTTTCTTGAAATGTAATGCAAGCAAAAAATCTCTATATATTATATGTGAGGGCACAGGTCCAGAATTGGTTTTTACTTTTTTAGAAGAATGAATGAAAATTTTAAAGCGTTCTATTTTGTACATTTGAAGGTGAACATTGAAGATGGAGATAAGAATGCTATCTGTAGATCTGTCAACGATCCTCATATGAAATCATTTGATAAATGGTGAGTATCGGTAAATCTGTCACATTTCCTCATATGAAATCATTTGATAAATGGTGAGTATTGGTAAAATATGTCAACTATTCTCATATGAAATCATTTGATAAATGGTGAGTATTGGTAAATCTGTAAACTATACTCATATGAAATCATTTGATAAATGGTGAGTATTGGTAATCTGTCACATTTCCTCATATGAAATAATTTGATAAATGGTGGGTATTGGTAATCTGTCAACTATTCTCATATGAAATCATTTGATAAATGGTGTGTATTGGTAATCTGTCACATTTCCTCATATGAAATCATTTGATAAATGGTGAGTATTGGTAATCTGTCAACTATTCTCATATGAAATCATTTGATAAATGGTAAGTATTGGTAAATCTGTCAACGATTCCTCATATGAAATCATTTGATAAATGGTGAGTATTGGTAATCTGTCACATTCACGGTCGCGAAACACGTGACTTCGTCGTGATCAGTTCCACGGAAAAATGGCGCCCGTCAAATTATTATAGTTTGCTTGGATGTAAACTTTAAACGTAAGTATTTACATATCATCGTGTTCACACATAGGACCCCCCTCATCATATGCGTATTTTTCGTGCGAATATTTTGATGCATTTAAAGTTATATTTCACTGTTGGTTTCATAGAGAACATTCACAAACTATTTCAGACCTGCTGAAGATTATTTGGGATGGTGTACATGATATGACCGTTAAATCACTGTAAATCCATTTGTGTGTCTTATTTTCACCAATCGTGTACAAAAGCTTACCCAAATTTACTAATTCATTCATATAAACTAGCGTCGATGTATATTTTTGACATTATTGCGAACTGAACGCAATAATATTTTTTTTGTCAATAAATGATCAGTATACACGATATGTTTAAGTGATCAGTTTCACGGTTTAATTCTGAATCAGTATGATAAGATCATATTAAGGTTTATCTGGGAAAATGGCGGAAATCCAGTTGAAATTAAACAAGATATTAAACTCTTTGCCAGAGCAGAGAAGGTAGAAAAAGCTAAATTGGTATATTTAAATTGTTTACATCTATTTTTTAGGCTTTTAAAGATATAATAAAGGAACATATAACTTTAACTTAACGGAGCTTCGAGATATTTGTAAACTTTTAAATTATAGACAAATTTTCATTAAACAATCTAGTGTAGCCGGTTCAATTCAAAGTGGATCTTTTTTTGTGCATAAGTATAAATTCCGCCGAAAAAAAAATCCAAAGAAAGATAATAGATTTATCTTTCTTAAATATTAATTTGCATCTCTGCTCCCAAAGATAGTTTTTTTGGGGGGGATCCTAAAAATGGGCAATAATTGCATCGAAAAGAAAAAGCCAAGTGCACCTTTTAATGTTCGGGCGTGTTTGAGTTGAGAATTCTGTCTTGAAACGTTTAAAACAAAAATATTTGCTACATCATCTCGCTTCAGATTCTATTATTGTTATATGATTACACTGCAGGTTGATTTAATAACATTAAAACTTCAAAGTACTTAAAAAAGAAATATTCTGGTCAATAACCGTACTGATGATTCATAACAGCAGAGTCGGTGTGTTCGAATAACATTTTTTTACTTGAAGTACTTGACGACAGACTTTACAAGTGGATCTTAAAAATGCATAACTTCAGAAAAACTTCATTTGTTGTGTGTGTTATCTAGGATTATTGTCTGTCCGTCTGTCCGGATTAGGATACATTGTTTGTCTAGCTATCTCCTCCTACGGTTTTGAAGATACGGTCAGCTTTAATATTTTGTAAGATGTTCAAACACAGAAAGTAGGTGTGCATGGCCACAGGATTTAATTTTTTTTACAAATTTTCTGGAAAAGATAAGCAGTTGGACTATATAATTGGTTGTTTGTTGTACTACATGTAGCTGCATAAACAGATAATGGTTTGTCCTCCTTCAGTTACATCATCATACAAAGTGTTAAATTTATAATTTCTTATGGTCAGGCGGGGTCATCATTTGTGTCTTACAGACAGCGTAACAATTTGAAGTTGTATGCCAACATCGCTGTCTAATCTAAAATATGTGGAACTATACTCGTGCATATGGCAGAGCAGAAAGTGGGATGGGGGTATTGCCAATATCTAGTTTTCTCTGATTATAGGTCCCATTATGCGGAAAAAACAAAGCTTTCACAGCAACTACAAAAGCATCGAGAAAAAACTGTCAGACAGCCAAAGAGTTAACCAAATAGACAATCTCAATGTTGCAACATTACAGACAGGAATTTAATGAGGATATTATAAAAATCGCCATACACTGTCACAATACGAGAGTGCGAAAGATATCAGAGGGACATTATCCTTCTCCAAAACGTGAGAAAGTACAAGGGCACACAAAGCGCTCTGTATTCATTTCAACCAAATGTTCGTTAACAGTAATATATTCTCCTTCGCCTAAAAAGGGAATACAAAACAAAAGACAAAACGTGCACTCTGCAGTTCATCAATATTACAACCACAAACATTAAATGTGATCTTATCATACTGATTCAGAATTAAACCATGGAACTGATCACTTAAACATATCGTGTACACTGATCATTTATTGACAAAAAAAATATTATTGCGTTCAGTTCGCAATAATGTCAAAAATATACATCGACGCTAGTTTATATGAATGAATTAGTAAATTTGGGTAAGTTTCTGTACACGATTGGTGAAAATAAGACACACAAATGGATTTACAGTGATTTTACGGTCATATAGTTAACACCAACCCAAACAATCTTCAGCAGGTCTGAAATAGTTTGTGAATGTTCTCTATGAAACCAACAGTGAAATATAACTTTAAATGCATCAAAATATTCGCACGAAAAATAAGCATATGATGAGGGGGGTCCTATGTGTGAACACGATGATATGTAAATACTTACGTTTAAAGTTTACATCCAAGCGAACTATAATAATTTGACGGGCGCCATTTTTCCGTGGAACTGATCACGACGAAGTCACGTGTTTCGCGACCGTGACATTTCCTCATAAGAAATCATTTGATAAATGGTAAGTATTGGTAATCTGTCAACTATTCTCATAAGAAATCGTTTATCGGTGAGTGTTTGTAATTCTGTCAACTATTTTCATATGAAATCTTTTGATAAACGGTGAATATCTGTAAATCTATTAATGATCCTCATATGAAATCATTTGATTAATTATGAGTATTGGTTAATTTGTCAACTATCCTCATATGAAATGGTCTCTGTGGAATATTTAGGACCATATTATAGACTTATATAATAATGTTCATCATCCTTTATACCATTAATATGTTCTTCCAAATGTTAAAATATATAATTTTCATGGTTTAGACATGGACACTTTTCAAAGAAATTTTGAATGTTAAATGTTTTTCATCTTTTTTCAGGAAGTATAATAACTTTTTGGAAGGAGAATTTATATTTTACAAACACAAAGTACTGCCCTATGAGGTAAGATCAATTTTTATATTATGAAAGGGTTATTGCACTTATAACGAGGAATCTTTTCACTTATAGATTATCATATTGCACTTGCAATTTTGTGCAATACAATATTCTGCATTGCAAAATATTCCTCAATATAAGTGCAATAATACTATAGTATTGCACAGTTGTAGAGTAGCATGTAATACACTGGATGTTGATACCATCTGTATTGCTAGCGGCCATTGTTATTTTATTTGCACAAATATATAAATGACTGATATACAATGTACATTTAAACTGAAGTAAATAATCACTGTAAGGGTAATGTTAGTAAAAACTTTTCACTTATCATTATTTATTTAGATGAAAGTGCTGTTAGAACAACAATAAAATAACATAGTTTCATGATACTATTAATCAAGTAAAAAAAAATATTACACAAGTGCTAGATGCCATATATTAGTCCCAGAGGCAGATTTTTGGGGTGGGGGTTTGGGCAGGGGGCCTGCCCCCCTTTATGGAGCTACTTATATGATAAATGCATAGACTTTTTACAAGTATCAAAATCCTGTATCCTTACCTGAGTCAAGTAATTATAAATTATAACAAGATTGAATGACAAACGTTTGTATTTAGGTTTTTGGTGTTTATGATATTTTTCAATTACAAAATATCCTCTCTATTATTTTGTATAGGTGAGAACATTTTACAGAAACTGCAATGGTAAAGCATCATGTAATTGTGCTGCAGCTATTCGTGTTGGAGATGATGTCATTGTATTTGATAAATGTGGAGCATCAGCTACCTCACAAAAAGATACACCAATAGATATCAGACTTATCCTTAACGGAGAACTTACACCAGGAACTAAAATATTTAGACATGGTGGAGGGAAAAAATACAAGGTAGGACTTCAGGATTGACATTTTCTTATTTTTGTTTGGAATGATTGTAGGTTTTTCTAAAGCAAACCTTCAATTTTACAATTTCTATAAACAGAGGATAAATATCAGAGACCAGATTGGAATTGGATTGGAGTGAAACTGGACAAAATTACTAAATTGTTATACTATAGAACTAAGTTGGCTTCTACAATTATATACTGATGATCAGGTTATCTGAGACAAAATAGTGGCATGTCTTTTTAATTTATTTTTTTGATTGATCTTATCAAAGTAAAAATTCATTAATGCTTTTAGACATTATTTCCTCAATTTAAAAATTTATCATTGTATAGGTGCACCTTCCTCACGGTGCTGTTGTTATAATCACACAAGGGAAAGGAAAAACACCAGAATTCATCCATATGGTGAAAATCAAAGCTTCACCAGCTGATGCCAATAATGTAGAAGGTAAAGTTTGAGTTATGGTTCTTGCTTAAGGATGTTCCCTGATCTTGTTTTTGACTTTTTGTCAGATATTCGGAATCTTCTGGTTTTATCCATGTAGTGCCATGAAAAAATTTAGACCACTAACCCCTAATTTCCTTTTAATAATTTTATTACATATATTTTAAAAAGCCATTTTAGATAATCTTATGAAATCCTTGTTATTTTTTCGTACGTTTTGAAAGAAAAAGTGCCAATGTTAAATGTATAAAAAAACTAGAGAGAATCATTTCCTGACAAATTTTCAATGGCTTATATCTAAAAAACAAGGACACATACCTTTCATTTTTTAGGGCTATTTAAGTTCCTTCATTTATATAATATAAATTTATAACAGTCTTTTAAAAGGCTTGTAATTTTGAAACAGAGCAGCGAACATCCTTAACATACATCAAACATTAATAAAATTTGGCTGGCAAAACCAATATGTAAACCTTAAAAAGATATATATATAATATTGCAGATATTTTTCACGAATTTGGTCATTTGAAATAGAATGTTTACTAAATTGATATGTATGAATTGTTCTTTTCTTACTTTCCATATCACATGTTGTCGATTTTTTTGTGCCTATTCACTAGCAGTCTGTTTTGACATGTGATCTATATAAGTTTTGCCAACATACCTGCCAGTGTCTGATAGAATAAAATCAGGATGTCACCTTTATTGAACTATAAAAACAAATAGGAGTCAAAACATTTCAGGACTTTTTTACTAACAAAAAGAAAAGTTTTACATGCTACGTGTATCATTTCATTGAAGTATGTCATGAAGGTGAGTAAGTTATGCAACTAAAGAATGAAAAATACCAAAACTTGACATATATAGTGACAAACTCTTTGTAGTCGGTCACTTTAAACATATTGTCCTCATTTCAGCCATAGTATCTGACTGGAAAGTTTAATGGGTAAATAGTTGTAAGATGTTTTAACAATGCAAACATATATTTAGGTCTTTGTGGTAATTTTGATGGTGACAAAGACAATGACAAGATGATGTCTGATGGAACAATTTATACAGGAAAAACTAAGCAGCCTATTGAATTCTCTAGAAGTTGGAGGTAAATTACTTACTTAGTTTATATTTTTTAATATGATTGACTTATTATACTGTAATCAAGTTCAGCTCTCCAAACTTTGTTAAGAAAAGGCAATATTATATACCCTTATCTTAAAAAGGTACAACTATGATATCTTCAATAATGGACAGATGTCTATGCAATATGTTCAGCACAAAATAGCTCCAGTTTAAACAAGATGTAAATGAAATCAGTAGAGACTATCAAAGATCTGTTATCAACAGTTTTTTCTCAATGAATGAAGACTCTTTGTTAATCTTTGTCTCAATGAATGAAGACTCTTTTTGTCTCAATGAATGAAGACTCTTTGTTAATCTTTGTCTCAATGAATGAAGACTCTTTGTTAATCTGTTAATCTTTGTCTCAATGAATGAAGACTCTTTGTTAATCTGTTAATCTTTGTCTCAATGAATGAAGACTCTTTGTTAATCTTTGTCTCAATGAATGAAGACTCTTTGTTAATCTTTGTCTCAATGAATGAAGACTCTTTGTTAATCTTTGTCTCAATGAATGAAGACTCTTTGTTAATCTGTTAATCTTTGTCTCAATGAATGAAGACTCTTTGTTAATCTTTGTCTCAATGAATGAAGACTCTTTGTTAATCTGTTAATCTTTGTCTCAATGAATGAAGACTCTTTGTTAATCTTTGTCTCAATGAATGAAGACTCTTTATTAATCTTTGTCTCAATGAATGAAGACTCTTTGTTAATCTGTTAATCTTTGTCTCAATGAATGAAGACTCTTTGTTAATCTGTTAATCTTTGTCTCAATGAATGAAGACTCTTTGTTAATCTTTGTCTCGATGAATGAAGACTCTTTGTTAATCTTTGTCTCAATGAATGAAGACTCTTTGTTAATCTTTGTCTCAATGAATGAAGACTCTTTGTTAATCTGTTAATCTTTGTCTCAATGAATGAAGACTCTTTGTTAATCTTTGTCTCAATGAATGAAGACTCTTTATTAATCTTTGTCTCAATGAATGAAGACTCTTTGTTAATCTTCGGCCAGAATAAACAATAATAAATGCAAATATGTTTTTTTGATAATGCTGGAATAATGTCTGTGACACTAAAGGTATCTAATTGATACATTTAAAGCTCTTTGATATTTGTATACAAAAGGACTGTTAATAATTCCTTATTCTTTTGCCAAATATCTTATTTAAGCTTAACTTCAGGACATATTTCTTATATTGAAGGGGGGCTTGGTGGCTGAGTAGTCTTAGTAATTCATCTTCTGTATCACTAGCTGGTCAACATTGAGGTGGCATGTGGGAGGTGCGGTCAACTCCAAATTTAATTGACTATAGAATTGCCAGTTTTCCTGCCAAATGCTGTGGTTTTTTCTAGGTACATTTGGCTTCCTCTACCAATAAAAGCTGACTGCCAAAGTTTTAGTGCTGAATGTGGAATTAAACACCAATAATCAAGTAATCAATATTATATTCAAACTGTTTATCGTTTATCGAAATGTTTGTATCAGTGTATTATGAGGAATGTTCTATTTATTTTAGAGTACATGAAATGGGAATGGATTCAATGTTTGATGGTTATTGTCCAGATGACGTGGAGGAAGAATCCACAACAACATACTGTCAATGTCACACAGGCATGGGAGATAACTGTGATTCATACAATTATTACACTGACTGTTCTCCACCATTGAAAAACAAGAAAGGGAAGAGGCGAGGTATGCATTATCATTTATTAAATGTTACTTTTCACAAACATTTGTAATAGTATGAAGAAAGTGTTTTTTTTTTTCCACAATTCAGATATGAACTTGATTAGCATGTTACAGATCTCCATGTCAACACAATGTAATCATAGTCAATAACTTTACCATTTTTCTCAGCAACTACAAGTCATAGCTTCTTGATATATATCTAGTTATGCCATACCCTGTGAAGTGTTTCTGTTCCTTCAATGTCCTACGTCCTGTTTGCTGAAAACTTGTATCTTGAAAAGGGGTATAATTAAAGAGTAATAAAAAGCTCACAGTACATTTTGATTTAATTAAAAACAATGTTATATAAATTTCAGGGAAGGACATAACATCAGAGTTGCTCATCAACAATGTATACAAAGCCACCAAGTGTTATCTACAGGAAATTAGAATTCAGTTTGAATTTAACATTCAATGGGTGCAGGCTGTAAGTGTAAACATATATTTTGTACAAACTGCAACTGTCCATATGGTATTGGAATTATTTGTTAGATCTTAGTGAATTTCTTAGGTGGGGGTAATGAATGTGTAACTATTAATGTTAAGGATAATTTTTATACACCTGTTTAAAATATAACATATGATAATAGTTGTATATCAGATTTATATTTCAGAAGAAAATAACAATATTATCAATTTACTAATTAGCTGATGAAATTAGTTTGTATAATAGTAATGTCTACGTCTGAAAATAATGAAGAAATCTTTCATGCCTGTTACTTTTTAGGAAGTTGTATGGCCTACACCTAATGGTATAACTGCTGAGTCAGCTAGATTGCTGTGTGTAGAGATGATAACAGGGAGTAGGTTTGACAGCTGTGCTGCCTTGCCTGGTATAGACATTGATGAAGATGTGGAGGGATGCATGGAAGATATACAGGTATGCATTAGAACATTATGTACTGTGAATTCATTTATTTTTGTGGGTCCTATTTTTTGTGGATTGAGGAAAATTTGTATTTTCATGGACATTTGATTTATTGGTTTTGCCAAAGTCTGCATACAAGAAATATAATTTGTACTTCTTTGAACCTTTAAATTCACGATTCACCTTTACCCATGCAATCCATAAAAATTGGTATCCTACGAATAATAATGAATCCACAGTATCAAGCAAGTTGTTTTGGACAGATGAGAACAAGGAACCGTTAACCTTCAAAGCATCACACTTTTCATTACAATACATCCATTAGAAGAATTTGTTTTGATTTATATAAATGGTCTTCAATCTTCATATGGCATAAAATAGAAAAAGGTTTTGTCATTTTATAGAAAAATAATTTGAATTAGATTTCTATCCAATAATCCATATCATTATATTGAAATTGTTAGTTTATGCTTGTATGGTTTCACAGTTTACTTAATAGGTGCAAAGAAAATAAAACACTCAGATGCAATTAGATTTGCTTAGATCAGTCTATTTTGAACTGCTAAGATATCCATTGAATTTAATTTCAGTTGACTGATAATATGGATTGGAAGCAGGAATTAGTCCAGACAGTAGACGAACAATGTTCTATACAGCTGTCGTATAATATCAGTTTATATATACTAGTCAATGGAGTGTTTGAACTACCAGATTTATTTGAACAACTTTGTCCTGGTGATTGTTCAGGAAATGGAGTTTGTGATCAAGGTATGACCTATTATAGATATGACACTACTTACTGTAAATTCAGAAATTTATTGCGAGCATTTATTATTGCGATTTTTGAAGAATGAGCAAAAATGCAAGATTAATTATTGCGATTTCGGAAAAATCAGCATACAGATATATGTATAAGATATCATATTACGAGTTCTTATTATTGCGATACTCAGTCAGTCGCATTATTCGCATTAAAAAAAACATCCCAATAATTTCTGAATTTACTGTATCACAATGAACCAAAAATAATGACTTCACCCCACGCCAGTCATATTGGATTAAAAAAGAGCTATTGTCAATTCTGAGAAACGCTTACAGTATATTTGCTATTTTTACCTTGACCGTCAATGACTCTATACATGCAAGATTGATATTTATACCCCCGCTTTAAAAAAGTGGGTGTATACTGTTTTACCTCTGTCTGTCCGTCTGTCTGTCTGTCCCATGAATATTTTACGTCGCATCTTTCTCACGAACTACATTACAAGGATTTCTGAAATTTGATTTCAGGGTTTATATGAGTCAGCTATACCGTGTGATGCGTTTTCAGATTCATCACTCAACAACTTCCTGTTTACCTTATACTTTTAGCGGTGCTGGGGTATCATAAGTGAGCAGTAGCTCACAGATTCACTTGTTTTTTTTTTTTGTATGGATCAAACCCCACTAGAAAAACTAAAGTATTGAAGTTGTGTAAAATACAACCTACAAAATTATCCACTTTTACAGTAGACTGTCACTATTTAATACAGTGACCAGCAGTTTTGACGATAGTCCAAGGTTAACTTTTATAATGAACTGTTCTTGTTAATAGTCACATTCCTGGGTCAGAAAATAACAGCAGTGGGACACAGTCATAATTCCTCAGTATGAATTGTTGAGAAATGAAAGTACTGCCATAAATGTAATAAATAGATTTGTAAACTTTATTGTTTAAAGGCATCAAAGGACACTTGATTCCTAAAATAACTACAATGCAGATACAAATATGAATTTATTAGCTCCTCTGGTGTTTCAGGAAATTGGCATTGGACAACATGATGCAGCAGAGAAAAGGGGCAGCATGAAGACTAGTATAACATATATGTTGAATCATTTTGAAGTGTCTGGTTTTTTTTATCAGTCAATTCATATTGTTTGGTGCATTGATGGCATTCCTAGATTTTTCTTTTTGACTTTCAGGTGTATGTATATGTAACAATGGTTTCCAGGGTGATGAATGTGATATATCTACAACAGACAAACCTAATTTATACTTCTTATCTACCACACTGTGTGACATCCAGGCAGAATCTTGTGATAATGTAATTGTGAAGGGTATTAACTTTGTGGATCTGGCAACACTAACCTGTCACTTCACTAAAGATGATGTAAGTCAATATATCCCTTCTATGGATAGTAAGCCATCCTAATTAGATTTATTATAGAGAAGAGTCAATTACTTGATGAAGTTGGGAATGTTGTCTGTATTGATAACATTTGTATGATATGTGGAAGCTACTTATATCATTATACCCCAGCCTCAAATACAGTGGAATGTAAACAGATCATCTGGACCATCTTTCCTTCAAACTTTTGGTTTTCTGTTGAAAACTAAAGAAAATCCCAGCTATATCTTGATAATTTTTAAACATTTTAAAGGATCATAAAAATACAGATTAAGAAAATTGTTTTGTCCAAGTTGACATATATTATCTTTTTCCCTCCAATTATAGATGATTATAAAAGAGCCACATGAACAAACAAGTATTTTTTTTTAGGGAGAATGAGTTAAAGTTTTGTTCATTTGATATTTGTGAGAAACAAAACGTGTTGTTCTTTTTATTGTCCATGGATTATAATTATAGAATTGCTTTATGAAAATTAGAAATAAATCTTAGTCTTACAATAGGAGCAAAGAAAAGTATTGTTATTTTTAATAAGCTCTCTTTGAAATGAATATGATTTGATATCAGATGATCTAAAACACTCAAAACTTGAGAAGATCTTGACAATAAAAATAAATCTGTAACAGTAGTAAAACTGAATGAAGTTGTATTTATTTGACCTATGTCCATTTTGTTATTATGCCCATGTTATTTTCTGTCATCTATTTCAGGGAACAAAAACAACATCTTTAGCACTGTTTGTAAATAAGAATTCCATTGTCTGTACACTTCCAGGCCTGGGTATATACCAGCTATCAGTCAGTAATGATGGTACCAATGTAGACAATTCACTACTTTTCATCAAATATGATTCACTATGTAATGTCTGTGGTGAAAATGGCTGTACAGTCAGGGTAAGTCCTTTGTAAATGTACTAAGCATGAAGCAGGAATTAAAATGTATGAAAGAAATAACTATATGAAAAAAAAGAAGATAAAAGGAACTACTTTTATTGCCGTTCTTCATCATGTGGTTGTTATTATCTCTTTAAAAAGTAAAACTGACATGAAATGAACAAATGTTTAGAAAGTGTTGTCAAACTCCAATAGATAAATAAAAGAAATTCCCACTGAATATTTGCCTTCCTCTTCAACTTCAAATAATGTCTACTCTTAAATAAGTCCTCTGATATTGATAAAATGTTTTATATTTAAAATATTCCAATGCAGATTTATTATTCATCATATAGAATATTGATTTCCATCTTTTACCCCAGTGATTTTGCATGGCACCAACATTTTTTTAAGGTGGTATAAATGTCTATACCTAACAAAATTTTCTTTTGATAGTAACCATGTTTATTTATTGCGAACCCAATGAAAGTTTTCCACAGTGCCATCTCTATCTTGACCAGGTATTTAAACTTTTGCAAGTTCACCTGTCCTATTGAATGAATACAATAGCTATTTTTCTCTGTGTAGTTTATTCACTGGGACCTTTAAATTTCTTCTAAGAGAAATCTATCACTCATTGATTAATTTACCTGAGTAAAAAAAATTTCTTATATATAGACAAAAATACTGTTTTTATACTCCTTAACTGCGTGTGATGATGTATTTATTCAATATTAATAATATATTTTCATTCAGTTTAATATAAACATTGATTCAATCATAAAAAGTTGATTTCAAACAAAAGTTAATTAGTCAACTTTTGTTTGAAATCAACTTTTTATGAATTAGTCAACTTTTGTTTGAAATCAACTTTTTATGATTGAATCAATGTTTATATTAAACTGAATGAAAATATATTATTAATATTGAATAAATACATCATCACACGCAGTTAATGAGTATAAAAACAGTATTTTTGTCTATATATAAGAAAATTTTTTTACTCAGGTAAATTAATCAATGAATGATAGATTTCTCTTAGAAGAAATTTAAAGGTCCCAGAGAATAAACTACACAGAGAACAATAGCTATTGTATTCATTCAATAGGACAGGTTAACTTGCAAAAGTTTAAATACCTGGTCAAGATAGAGATGGCACTGTGGAAAACTTTCATTGGGTTCGCAATAACAGTGTTTTTAAGCTTGGCCAACTGAGAATTGATTGATTGGTCCAGTGGCAAATGTTTCATGCATAATCAGCATGAGAAGAAATAGTCAATAGATTAGTAAGGTGGATAGGGTTCTATTATTATACTGATTGTCACTTGTATACAATGTGTTAGGGTGGGATAAGAAATTATACCTATCCTTAATTTACAGAGAGTGTGACACAACACAAACATGTGGCACAAAGATCTTAAATGTCTAAACATAGAATAGCACGGTACTATTGATTTTTTGTTTTTCAGACTGATGTGTGTGTTGTGAATGGTGTTTGTTATGCAGCAGGATTTGTAGACCCCAACAATGTCAGCTCTGTTTGTATTCCAGAAACTTCTATGATATCATGGTCTATCATCTCAAGTGAGTTATCACAAAATGATCAAAGTGTAAAGTTGAGAATTTTAAAAAGATGTAAAACATCTAAACTGAATGGGGTCAGAACATAAAATGACATGGCAAGATAAACAAATTATATTTATTAACAATTATTTTCAAACAATTTGAAAATTGAACACAAAACACAAAAATGAACATCTGAACAAAATCTGTTTATATAAATGTAAAGCTAAGGTTGAACTCTCATGGTCTCACAAGGAAGGTTACATTATTCAGTGGAAACCGATTGTTTATATCTCAAGACTAAACATGCAGTGACAAAATATAGTACCAATATTAAAAAAAGGATGTTGGGTATGCATCAATGAGAAAGCCATGAAACAACTCAAAAACCCAAGACATCTAGATGTAAACTTGCTGTCAACAATAGACATGTGTTTATATCAACACTATTTATATGTTATATAGTCTAAATTGCAAGGTTGCAGTATTAAAGGGAACAGAAGGGGTACCAGAACAGTTATAGCTTTATATTCTGAAATGGTGTATTTATTTAGAATTACCATTTTCTTTCAATTTTTGTAGGAACTGATATTATTGTGAGAAGGTATACATTTATACAAATTATCCTCAACATTCTGATCACAAAGACCTACAATTTTACTCTTACTGGTAACCCTAAATTGATTGAAGGACCAACAGGAGGCCAAGCATTGGAACTCAATGGAATTGGTGACTTTGTTGATCTTGGTGATCGGACCAATGACTGTATATTCAATTTAGAAAAATGTAAATATGGTTTGTCTGTCAAATTCAACTTAAAGTTGTTAGAATTAAAGGAAAAGATGTACATTTTCTCCAGTGGAGGTGATCAAAGTGGAAAATATGGACTTTCTATGTGGTATTCCAGAAAGAGGCTCTATCTTACTGTAAGCACCAAAACAAAAATTTGGACTGTTTATGTACCATTCAAAAAGTACCTGAATACATTTGTCAATATAGAGTTCTCCTGGAGTGTTCAAGGAGGACTATCTTTGTACTTTGATGGATTCAGGGTAGCCTATACCAAAGAGTACTTTAGAAGGATAACAGCATCACTGTCCGGTAAATTTTACCTCGGTAGACCTATTGGTGTTGGTGTGTACTGTTGGATGATAATAGATGGCTGGGATATAGCCGAAGGTACCAAAGATATAGTTAAAGACTTGGATGTTACTGTTGGTTAGTATAATCAAAAACTTTAAATATTTTATCATGTTTATGTCAAAGCAGTGTAATATAATGTGGGATAGAGTGGCTTCATTAAAAATTTTAAAAATTGAGTCACACAATAAAATCTATAATATTAGAACTTTAGATAGTTTAAGGTCATGGACTTTTATATTGTAGGTAGATGCTAAATTTTAAAGAAATATAATTAGAAAGAGAATTATATTATAAAACATCAGACATGTTATTATTTTTCCATTACCTTTCAAAGAATGTATTTTATGGCAAAGAAAATGTCTGAGTTTTCATTCTAATAAAAAAAGAATGAAAATCTGCAAAGGAAATTAAGGGATATGTTGAATCAGTTCATGACACAAAACCCAAGTAAAGGAACAGGGCTTTTTATTGCTTTAGTTATTTGTTTCTCTCAACCTTGAGTTTTCTGTATGTTGTTTTGTGGACTATTCTTTATCTTTGTTTGTTTTATTCTTTTGACAATGGGTGTTGTCTGTTTTTCTTTGGCTCCCACATTGGTTTCATCTCTCCACATTTTTTTACTCAAAATCTGGCTGAGGTATTCAATACAGAGCATATTCAATGGTTTGAACCATATTTGTTTGCTATTAAAAAAGAGTCGGTAATCCATTTTATGGAATGGTGTATTTTTATGTCAAAGTTCTAAAAGACTTTTTGTTTTTGAGATGCCTTGGTATTAGCTTTGATAAAATGTTTGATTTAATTTATCTTTTTGTCTAAAATATGTTTGTCAAATATTCTAATTGTTTACTATAGAATCACCAGAGATTAAAGAAAGACCAGACATGATGATAGATGAGAATACTAATGGCACAGCTAATGTCTTCAAATGTAAATTTGTAAAGTTAGAAGAAGATGGACTATTGTACTCAGTGACTTGGTCAATAAATGATCATTCCATCAAACATATCGACCTTGCTGTAGATGTGTACATGCATGAATTGGAAGAGGACAGCATTCAGAAACTGGATTTTAAAGACCAGGTAATTTGGTTCACAACAGATCAATTGATTATATTTAATCATATTTCAAACTGAATTTTCTTCATATGACATTCATTGTTTTCAATGTTTGATATATTTTTATGACATTAACTTCACATTTTTTTTAGAAAAAAAAACAATGATGTGAAAGAATAAAACTTCTTATTTAAAATTGATTTAACATGTTATAAATGTGTAAATATCTGAATGGTCTAATACATGTATTGACAAAGTTTTGTACTTTCATTGTTTTGAATTTCAGATAATGATATGCATTTTAGTCTTGAACTTCGGATAATAGGTAAAATGGTTTGTAATTAAGATAACACAAATTATTACTTTAATTGTGACTTTTATTTATAAAAGTGAATCTCTTTCTGTTGCAGTTTTTGCATTAATAATAAAAAAATGAATTGTATCATTATTGAGCTGTATATTTGAGTGATAACATTATTGATAGTTAGCAGCTAAAATTTATAATCTTCTAAAATTCCAGTTGTCGTGTTCAGTAAGAGCCTGCAGAGCTAACCAGGATTGTTCCCCTTGGAGAAGGAGTAATGTTATTATAGCAGATATAAAGGTATATATAAGAATAAAAGTTATATTTCTGGTCTCTCCTTATGTGGACTGATTGGTTTGAGTGTTGAGTAACGTTTTTCTTTTACAAAAAAAAAAATAGCCTATCGCTTTTAGACAATTTATTTAACAGGTAACATTTCTCCAAGTCGCTTATACATTTTTTGCATAATTGATAGGTACTTTTGTGTTAAACCGTAATTATTGGTCCTATTGAATTTTAGATTGAAGTCCTTTGATCATTTATCTATCAGGTTGCATATAAAAAATGAAATTGTCTTCGTAAATTGTTTTCTTATAAATAAAAATGTTAGTTTTCTCGTTTGAATTGTTTCACATTTTTCATGTCGGGGTCATTTAAAGCAGATTATACGGTATGGGTTTTTCTCATTGTTGAAGGCCTTACAGTGGTCTACAATTGCTTATTACCACTTCATTTTAACTCTGGTGGATAGTTGTCTCATTGGTAGTCATACCATATCTCCTCATTTTTTATATTGTTACATTCTTTTATTTTCATCCAAAACTTGATGACATTAGGAGGAGACACCTGTGTATTTATATTGCCTTTTGAGCCATTCATAGAAAGTCGAGGTAATAAAATATCCCAGTTATATCAGTAGTTATTTTTCAAAGTTACAATTATTATTTTTAAAAAGAATTTTATGAGTTACAAATATTTTTATACTTCTTTAGCTGAAGACAACTGAGTTGACAGTATTTGAAGGAATGGTTCCAGGTTATGTAGAAATCACTGCTACAGTTCCCCCATACATGTTCTGCCTCCCCGATGATCGTGAAAAATACTGTGATGTCCATGTCACCACAAAACTACTACGAGCAAATAAGGAAAAGAAATGCCCAAAAACCAAAGTGGAGATAGTCCAGGCGGTATTTGGTGTTTGGGATGCAAGTGAAGATTCTAAACATCCTTGTGAATATAGAATAACAAAAGATAATTGGAGAAACGTTATCATGATACCTGTTAAAGCATCCATTGATTCCTTAAAGGATAAAAACCAAAAGAGAGATATAGAAGTCAACCTTTACATCTATAGATCAGGAATACCGGCATACACATCTAAACTGGGAATTGTTGAGGTAATAAGAAAAAAAGTTTGATAAAAAAAGCTTTATTTACAATATTCAATACAATACTGGGAAATGTATCATGACAGCATGTTGTATTCAGCCTAAAAAAAGGTACAATAATGTCTTTCAGTATGAATGAAAAATCCATTCCAAAGCAAAGATATAAGAAGGAATCCTGAAAAGATAATTATATTTGGTAATTGTTCACTGCTGTTCATTCCATAGGGGACACATAAATAATCTTTGTACATTTGTATGTCCATGCGATATTTAATTTTACTTTGAGCATCAGAGTTGTTATTCATCAACAAATGGAAATTATATTATGTAGATGGAGTATTAGAAGTTGAATGTTGTTTGATTATAAATTGTATATCAAGCTAAATGGAACAGTTTTTATTTTTTTTTCCTATTGAATGACCTGAATTATATGTGTGGCTTAGATGATAAGAAAAAAGTAAAAATTTAGCAGTTACATGGAAATATTATGTTTAAAGTCATATGTCATCAGGCAATGCCATAGATTGATAAATCGTTTAGTTTACGTGACAACAGAAAAAAAAAGGCAGAAAATACCAAAGGACAATAAAAAATCATGTCAAAAAAAAAACCAAACAATACCATGGCCAAAAAGAAAATCAGACAATACCATGGCCAAAAAGAAAAACAGACAATACCATGGCCAAAAAGAAAAACAGACAATACCATGGCCAAAAAGAAAAACAGACAATACCATGGCCAAATATGAAAAACAGACAATACCATGGCCAAATATGAAAAACAATGACAAGAGAAACAACTGTCTACAAAACACAAAAAAACACTACTCAGAAAACAGGGATGATCTCAGGTGCTCTGAAAGGGTAAGTAGATCCTGTTCCACATGTGGCAACTGTCATGTTGTTCATGGCTCATGAGCAGAAGCTGTAAAAAGTAATCATCAATGAAAAAAATTCACATTGATATATAGTTTACATTTAAAAAAAAAAGTCTAGGCTATTTTTCCAACTTCCCAAAGCATATTTCTGAAATTAGAAAAATTGCTAGATTTAATAATTAAAGGGCATTAAAATTATATGAAACATACATGTATTATTGTTTTGAATTTCAGCTTGAAGTAAAAGATCGAGATAAAACAGCCACATGCAAGTCAATAAACGATCCTCATATGACTACATTTGATAAACTGTAAGAATTGAATTGTTTATGAACATTATCTATTGTTTTATATAACCATTAAACAAATCACATTTGTGTAGCATTAAATTATTATTTTTTCCAAAAACCAGATTCTAATAACTAGGAAAATGTTTAGTATGTATTGTTTCTTATTAGTGTAATACCATGTTTGTGGATTTCATGGGTTTAGGTGAGCCACAAATTCAAATTTTCAATGAAGCACACATTTCTTAAAGGCTTGTATGCAGACTTTTGCAGTACAGCGAAATTACTTATCCAGGAAAAAATGAACTTTTTCCTCAGTGCACAAAAATTGGTACCACAAAACTTAGATTAATACACAGTATATTCATGTTATTATTTCCAAAGTCTGAATCGACAAATATTAAAACTTACAAACTTTTTATGATTTATATTATTAATGACAGAGTTTATAAATCAGTCTCTAAATTTTTTTGAAATATTCTTTTATTTCTTAAAAGTTGATAATTAAAATGGCTATATGATTTTTGATTTCATTTTTCTACAGGAAATACAATAACTTCTTTGAGGGAGAATTTGTTCTGTACAGACACAAGACTCTGCCATATGCTGTAAGTTTGTATGGTTCAGTTTCAGATTTTGATTAGAATTTCTAGAACAGCAAGATTGTACCAGACACCACATGCAAAATATCCAGTGTATAACTTGAAGAGATAGTTAAGAATATCATTTTTTTCTCCCATAAAAACCAAGCAATTGAAAAAGTCCCCCCTTAAATTCCAGGAGTTTTGACCTATATATGGCTTAATAGTTATATATGGCAAAAAGTTAAATATGGCATAAAGTTATATATTGCAAAAAGTTATATATGGCATAAAGTTATATATTGCAAAAAGTTATATATGGCATAAAGTTATATACAGCAGTATCATTTGGAATACAACCACTTGCAAGAAAAAATACATACACAATACAGTTACAATGAATGTAAAACTTTAAGCATATGGAGTAGATTTAACTGATACATCAGTCATACAAAAAAGGAACAACATTTCTGAAACTGGTTTCTTGTCTCGGATGCTTGTAAATGTGTGGCCTCAAAAGCTAGTAAATGTGTCCCAATGGTTGTTTTAACCTTTTTATTACCAGAGTATTTTCTCTTAAATGATAAAGTCATAAAACTTAATATTCTGTCAATTTGCAAATTAATTAAAATTTATATCTTTGAATGTAACAGGTCCATGTATTCTACCTAAATTGCAATGGACATGCTTCATGTAATTGTGCCGTAGCCGTCCAGTCTGGCGATGACGTCATATTGATCGACATGTGCGAACAGGCTAAAAATAAAGAGTATACTAAAAAGGGAAAGAAGAAATCGAAGAAGCTGGATATAAAAATGTTCCTAAATGGAGACCTTACTGAAGGAACTATTGTGGAAAGAATAGGTGGAGGTAAAACTTACAAGGTAAGAATACATGTACACAAGGAATTTGATTATGTTTATATACCTCCATAATTTTAGTAAGAGTTATTCTGTGTACAGCTATTAAAAATGTCCCCTGTTTGAAAAAGACAAAAAAGGTCTTTGAATCTCAAATGCTTTTTGTTATATAATATATCTAATATAAATATGTCTATACTGTATGTATTAATCAATTTTTTCATTCATTTAATTTTTCTCAGGAAAGACAAATTTCTAGTTTACTCTCCATTAATGAAGATTTGTTAATATTATAAAACAATTTAATACAATTCTTCCAAAAATATGTGGAATCTGCTATCAATGAGGTAATTTGTTGACAGACCTGTTTTCTTGTCAAGATTTTTACCTGTTTCTCAAAAAAGGTCAAACTGGCCTTATAAGTGTTTCACTGGTTTTGATTTACATCATTTATTTTCTAGCAGAATGATGTAGCTATTTTTATCCTTAAATAGAAAAAGACCTATCCTGAATGTGACATTAAATTTGACAGAGCATTTTTTTGCTCATTGGATACAAGGTGTGCAATTGGAGGCAATTCCAAAAATTTCCAATTCAACATTGAGTTGCATTTTTTTTGCCTTAGTTCCTGCTTACATTTTTTTGTAAAGATTTATAGTACCTCTTGCAACTCTTGAGCTATATTTAAGAATATAAAAATAATTCCAGATTTACCTACCAACTGGAGCTTATATAAAGGTGAAGAAAGGAAAGAAGAGAACAAGTCAATTTATAAATGTACAAATGAAAGCCTCCTCGTCAGATTTTGGAATGACTGAAGGTATGTAACTCACTACATATAGAATAATGACATTTTTACTTTTGATACTGACTTTATCAGCAAGAATATCTAGCTAGCCCAATAAGACAAGCTGATATTCTAGCTGATAAAGTCAGTATCAAAAATAAAATGCCATTATTCTTTTTATCAGCTATTTGTCTTAGCTATATGTTTTTTTGGTTGAGAATATAAAATAAAACAAAATAGGTTGTAAAACTATTTTTTCGTGATAGTTGTTCAGTTGTATGAATGAAGTCACATGCATTTCGTTGATAAATTGACGCAGATGGTCATGAACATGTGACGTCATTGCCTAATATTTTCGAGTATCATATCCTGTCCATGATCTAAAAAATTTAGGCAGTAAGATCAGAGGGAAACTGTACAAATTACAGATAAAGTATGATATTTGTAAAGCAGATCATAACTCTTTAAAAAACAATTTTTAAAGGTAGATAATGTAGTTTGGTTTTAAGTTGATCTTCATTCTTATATGGATATATTTTGTCCAGCAGGCAACTTTTCAACCCTACTCTGGAATTAGAACATGCTAATGTCATTTGAATAAACATTAGCATATTGAACCTTATGTTCTGATATCTGACACATTTATCTGTAAGCAGATTTTCCTGAAACTGCAATAATAAATATCACATTTTTGTCCGTTCTTCAAAAATTGCAATAATCAATGCACACAATAGTTTCTGAATTTACAGTACATACCATAAATCGAGGCTAGCTCAAAAAATGTAACCCCAAGGGAACAAGGATTGCTTGGTGTGCTTCTGAGCCATTGTAACAGTTTTATCAAAATCTTATTCTGTCCTGTTTGACATCTTAGCTGAAATTTTAAAACATTAAATGTAAAGGAAGATTTTATATTTTTTTTACTAGTCTATAACAATTTTTAATAAAGAGCATTCCAATGAAATCTTTGTACATTTTATATGTATGTAAAGTCAGTCACTGTTTCATTCTTGCTGATAGGTTTATGTGATGTATTGAATTAATAAATCTAACTATTGATTAAGGGTTTTACAGTGGGATGTCAGCTACTGATGTTTCTGTGCAATTACTTATCAACCATTCAACCAATGCTTTTCATATTTTAATATGTTGTCAGTGATGACAGAATTGAGGTCACTTTTGATATTGAAAATTTTCATTTTTCTGTTCAGGAATTAATAATAGTGTCACTAAAAAATGTCATAAAAAACAGTTTGTTGTGATTGTGACAACCTGTTTATGGTTTATATGGTGTGTTTAGGTTATTTATGTAAGTTTATATAGTGCATTGTTTATGTTTGTAGGTTTATATGGTGTATTGTTTATGTTTGTAGGTTTATATAGTGTATTGTTTATGTTTTTAAGTTTATATGGTGTATTGTTTATGTTTTTAGGTTTATGTGGTGTATTGTTTATGTTTTTAACTTTTTATGGTGTATTGTTTATGTTTTTAGGTTTATGTGGTGTATTTGACGATGATAAAACTAATGACCTGACACTAAGAAGTGGACTGATCTATGGTAGCAATGAAAAAGAACCGAAAGGCTTCTCTAGAGATTGGAGGTAGGATTCCTATTATCAATTCTATGATCCCTATTGTCAAGTCTATGATCCTTATTATAAATTCTATGATTCCTACTGTCAATTCTATGATTCCTATTGTCCATTCTATCATTCCTATTGTCAATTCTATGATTCTTATTGTCCATTCTTTCTATGATTCTTATTGTCCATTTTTTCTATGGTTCTTATTGTCAATTCTATGATTCCTATTGTCCATTTTTTCTATGGTTCTTATTGTCAATTCTATGATTCTTATTGTCAATTCTATGATTCTTATTGTCCATTTTTTCTATGGTTCTTATTGTCCATTCTTTCTATGATTCTTATTGTCCATTTTTTCTATGGTTCTTATTGTCAATTCTATGATTCTTATTGTCCATTCTATGATTCCTATTGTCAGTTCTATGATTCTTATTGTCCATTCTATGATTCCTATTGTCCATTCTATGATTCCTATTGTCAATTCTATGATTCCTATTGTCAATTCTATATTCTTATTGTCCATTCTATGATTCTTATTGTCCATTCTATGATTCCTATTGTCAATTCTATGATTCCTATTGTCAATTCTATATTCTTATTGTCCATTCTATGATTCCTATTGTCAATTCTATGATTCCTATTGTCAATTCTATGATTCTTATTGTCAACTCTATATTCTTATTGTCCATTCTATGATTCCTATTGTCAGTTCTATGATTCTTATTGTCAATTCTATGATTCCTATTGTCAATTCTATATTCTTATTGTCCATTCTATGATTCCTATTGTTGTGAGTATTCAATTACTTGAAAAGTATCAATATGATTAAAATGAAATGTTTTCCTGTTTTAACATGCATGACAATTTTACATATATGATAATTATTTTAGAGTACCAGCATCAGAAAGTTTATTCAATGGTTACTGTCCAACCAAAGCCAAGACAGTAGATATTGGTATGTACTGTAACTGTATGGAGGACGAGACTTACGAGTGTGCTGTAGGGATGGACTATCAGGAATGTAAAGAAATTGAAAAAAGGAAAAAAAAATCTTACAAGAAGAAAGGTATTATAATGAGTAGTGTTTTGATCTGTTTATCTTCATGTCTTTTTATAAAACTTGCCTCCTTCATTTTATTTTTTTTCAATTTTTCAGTCATATAAGAAATCTAGAAGTGTCCCGTTAATACTCTCTATTTATTTTTTGAAACCCTATGTTTATGCTATACATGTGTTTTTCAAGAATTCAGGCACAATTAGTTGAAATCAGTTTAAAATAAGTAAAGTAATTGTCACTACTAAGAGTATATTTTAGAACATAAAGTGATTCACATTTTAAACATCAGTCAGGTTCACCATACTAGGAAATCAGTTCAAATTAATAATATTGAATTGTTTTTAAACATGCACTAGCTTAGTTTGATTAGTATTATGACATTGTATGAAATGTAACTTGTCATGCAGGAAAAAAAGATGTAACTGCACAGCTGATAGCCAAGGCAGAGACACCAGTTGCAAGATGTATTTCTACTGCAAATATCATTACTTTCGAGTTTGATATTAACTATGAACAAGGGGTAAGTGATTGTTTTATATTGATGTAACGCTACACAAATGATATAATCATCTCTGATATTGTACCTTGGTTATAGCCTAGTTATTTTCTTTTCACAACCACTGTTGTCATATTTTTTGCCATTTGCTCCTTTTTTCACCATATTAATTTAACTATGTCTGTAATAAAGTTGAGAACACATAACATGACACAGGGTAATTTCATATTTTATAAATGTATATAAGTGTAGATATTTGATAAATGTAGACATCATTTTATTACAACATGTACAAAACTTGGTCAGTTTATATAATTTTTATGTATTACCATTACAATAGGTGATAGATTTAACATCTAGAAAAAAAGGAGGAAATCCAAAGTGGTAATCAAAATCATAAGCTACAGTAATATAGGCACACAACTACCTTGTAAAAATAAAAAGATGAAAAGACAACAGTCCAGAAAATACTACACAGAAAACTGAAGAATCATGTAATGGATCTGTAAAAATAATAATCTTATACTAGACTATTAATGATCATATGCAAGCACATAGTGGGATTGGATGGCAATTGAATTATTTTTGTTTGTCACAAAGTCCCCGCTCACCTCATCCATATTGTTTTTTTTCTGAAATAGCCCTAAGAAATATGTAACATATCAATGATGGGAGACCATTTGATAAAAAGTCTTTGTTATACATGTACGTGGGTATTACTGGTAATGATCTACTGATGTACGTGGGTATTACTGGTAATGATCTACTGATGTACGTGGGTATTACTGGTAATGATCTACTGATGTACGTGGGTATTACTGGTAATGATCTACTGATGTACGTGGGTATTACTGGTAATGATCTACTGATGTACGTGGGTATTACTGGTAATGATCTACTGATGTATGTGGGTATTACTGGTAATGATCCACTGATGAACGTGGGTATTACTGGTAATGATCCATTGATCAGACCATAAGTTAAATTGAGGTTTTATAAAATGATTTGAAAAAAGCATCTTAATATATTCATTATAAACTATAATTTGATTTAACTACAGGAACTCTCATGGCCTACAAAAAGTGGTATAACTTTAACAATGGCCAGAAAGATTTGTGTAGAATATATACAGGCCAGACCAGTTGCCCAGAGGTGTATAGCCTTACCTGGTATGGATGAAATATTTGATCTGACAGTAGCAAGCTGTATAGAAGATATACAAGTAAGTTTGTTACAAACACTTATTTGGAGGTTTAGATATATTATTTCATTTTATTTTGCATTGCCTGGTTAACAGGACTTTGGGAGATGGGATGGGGGTGAAAGCAAGATAAAGGCATTGTCAGTACGTAATGATAAGTTTTCTGATATGATCTAAATGATAATAAGTACCTATGATAGATCATTGATATTTGGTAAACAGTAGTTTGAACATCAATGCTTCTCAACTGCACACAATATATAAGTCCCCAATGGTTATGAAGAATTATTTATATCCCATGGAAGGTGAATCAAAGACTTTTAAATTGGTATTGCTGCTTCTTCACAAAGCACACAGAATTTTAGGATAAGAACGAAGACGGTAAGCTTGTAGTCAGAATGATGTATCCAGGTACATGTCTTCTTATGGAATATTACTTTTTGGGTGAACACAATAAAAATCCTGCTCAGTTTATCAGTCTGGTGTAAAACATGACTTCTACTGATGTCACATGAACAAGTTCTTGTCTTATATAGGGTTTAATGGGTAATCTATCTGTGATTAAACATCCATTCATCTATTGAAAGTCAAATCATTAACAGCTTTGAATAAAGATTGACTGGTATGTTAGCCTTAAACGAAGAAAAAGAAAACTTAGTCATATTTCTGTCATTTTCTTGACTATTTCAATGGTAGATAATGAGGGAAACTAGATGCAAGATTAGGAATCAAGATTTTTTTTGTATACTTATTTGCAAGATGCATAAAAGAAGTTTGTATTTTTCCGTAGATCACTGATGATATATCATGGACTTTTGAAGCAGTTGAGGATGTAACAGACACAGGACTGATTATTATAGAAATAGATATAGATTTTTGGGTAACAGTTGGTGACGATGTAATACCAGATCCTCAGATTGCAGATAACATCTGTCCAAATGAATGTTCAAATCATGGATTATGTAAAGAAAGTAAGTGATAACGTTTGAAATTATTTTTGTAATAAATAGTAAGCAAGATAAGAAAAAGCACTTTTGACCGAAAATATAAAGGTAAGAAATTGTTTTAATATCTTGTCAAAACATTACAACTTAACATCATTTTTTGTTATTAAACTTTAATGAAAAGTACACCTGCTTTTAAAAAAACAATTCATGTTCTATTACAATCATAGGTTTGTGTGTAAAATGATTGATTATATTACAGGTGAATGTATCTGTTTTGATATATGGATTGGTGACGACTGCTCTATTGACAGTACTTTACCACCAGAGGTCACTTACATCAGCTCACAGAACCCATGTGATAACAATGTGAAGAAATACAAATGTTTGGAGCCAGTTATTGTTGGTGCAAACTTTGCTGACACAGACAATCTTACCTGTCACTATGAAGTTTTATATGTAAGGAATAGTTGTCGAACACAGCTTCAAAATCTTTTGGGCTAGGTTTTCTGCGAGAATGGGTTTTTTCCCATAATGTAATATGGTTTAAGTTTGCTGCATGTAAACTTTTGAGATTTTCACGGCCAAACTTGTTTATAAGGTTTAGATTTTTGAGGGTATTTTTGGTTCTTATTATGCTCTTCATTAATGTTTAAGTATATGCAGGGACATATTTTTGCGATTTTATTATAATTGATATAATTTAGACCCCAAAAACCCCTCAAAATTACCTATTGTTGTTAAATTTTGCAAATTTACCCAATGGAGTCAGTCCAAATCATGACACCAAGCTCTTATGATAATTTCTACATAATTTTAAAGCTTCTATTCTAAAGACTAAATAAGCTAGGCAACATATATACTGATATCACATGAATTTATTTAGTAAATTTACAAGCTTCAAAATATACCTTCTTCTTTGTTATTAGAGTAACAAATTCCCTTATAAATAAAAGCTAGTTATTCATATATCTATGACCATTTCAGAACAATTTGACAAGTACTGGAGAAATGGGAACAGTTCTGGCTGAGTACATCAATGAAGATAGTGTCAGCTGTGCTCTACCTAGAATTGCTATCTATAACATCACGGTCAGCAATGATGGTATTGTGTACAGCGACTGGGTCACTCATCTGGTTTACAATGGGTATTGTGACACCTGTACAGAAGATGATGGTTGTACTATAAGGGTGAGTATAGTGTTTTGATAACAGACACATTTACAAAGGTTGTTGCATTAAATGAACATGGACAAGTCTCAAACAAATCAAAGGTTGATTTAAACAAAAAATAATCATATTTTGAAATTATAAATAAGTTTAGAATTGGAGAAGAGTATTTACATATGAATAAAAGAGATGTTGGGTGTGTGTCAGTTAGACAGCAATCCAAAAATTAAAACAATAAGAGTACATCTAGAGGTAAACATATAGTCTTAAACAATAGCCAGGTGTCTATACAATATGTCATGCTCTAAATCATCCTGACTATTAAATTTGTTAATAAATTAGATAGAAACAATCAGAGACCTGCCATCAACACTAAATTTTCAAAATAACAAATAAGCAATAAAATACGAAATAAGACCACCACTTATTAGGTAAGCAACTTGTACATGAATATATGGTGGGGGTGTTAACGTAGTTCTATTTTAGATCTCAAACCTTCCCCTAATTTATCTCAATTAGAGAACTAACAAAACGTAATAAAAGAACATATACCATAATCAGACTTGTATAGTTCGCACTGGTACATTGTCCACACCCCTTCTTGCCACGAGAATTCAGGTAAAAAAAACTTTTTGTAACTGTTAGAAAACGTCTAATGAAACTCCGGTAATTTCAAATCCTGTTTGATTGTTTGCAGTATTTTCATGGAAAAACCTGTTTTCCATCATCAAATAGAAGTTGAAAATGCTTATAAATGTTTCTAGAACACTTCACGAGTGTTTAAATAAGTCAAAATCACAAAACAAAACAATTTAGAAACTTGTGTATGTTTAAACCGGAAGTTCGTATAGCACGTGTAAATGAAAATAAATACAGTGGGAGCGTACGGAAAATCTGTACTTAAAAGATATCGCTAGAATACGACTTTGAAAGTAAAACAGTTCCATCCTTGAGTAAAATAATGTTTAACATATCTATCACATTAATGTTTGAAGGATCTTAAGCTAAAACAAAACACATGCGTCAGTATGAAACACCAAAACAGAACGAATAACCGATTACGTTTTGTAGTTTATACATCGTTATGCATAAGCTGGTTCCCGGTTGACTTCTACACTTTTTTTGTTCCGTTAAATTCAAGCAGATTTCAGTTGATTTTAAGCAATGCAGTGAAAAGAAAGGAGAAATTTGTAGTGAAGCATTTAATTTTGAAATTTATCAGTTTATATTTGATATTGAAAAAAAATTACATATTAATATGGATTAGGTAAAATTATTAGTTTTGAAAATAATAAGAGCGCCCTCTACAATTTCAATAACAAACATGGCGGAACATAAACAAACCTCGCGAAATCGAATTTTTTCTCTTATTTCTTGCTTATCGTACTCTATAGTCCGCACCCCTGTCTGGCATGTTCAATTTTGGAGGATAAAACTGCTGACTATACAAGCCTGAATTCGGTAGTAAAAATCAGTAACCGACAACCTTTACTTCTAACAGTATAATACATAACAAAAAACAGAAAATATTCAACAGTATTATACTGTATTAAACAATGCTTGCAATTACTGAAAGCAAGCTCAAAGTACTTAGCCTGTCATCAAACATTCATTGACTGAAGTACATTTTGTATAAAGCGCTAAAGTTAAAGCACTTCATACCTAAAATGTTTGCACATTCAACACTTTTACAACCCTATAAAATTACAAAAAGAAATTTGTTTTTATGTTACAATCATGAAATAATAGTTTAATCAAGCATTTAGTTTGTTTTTTCTTTGTATTGTTTTATCATTGTCACGGATTGCATGTACAGTCATTGATGTTGAATTTTATACGGAAATAAAATATAACTTTGGGAATGCCTAGGCCAATCAAAATTACAGAATCATATGAAACTTACATGTAATGTAAATATTCGATATTGCAGAATGATATCTGCTATATTGATGGGGTGTGTTATGAAAATGGATTCATATTACCAGCAGACCCAAGAGTGGGATGTAGGATTGCTATCTCAGTAACAGTTTGGACTGTCATCCAAGGTAATATAGTAGTCTTTTAAACAAAACAAAGCTGATAATAATAGCCTTTAAACAAAGATGTTCCTATTTAATTTCCACCCTTGATATATTATAGGATCAAACACATTTTTCTAGAGGTTGTTGATGTGTAAACTGGGGTGATTAACTCACAAACTGAATACAAGTCTGAAGGACTTTTTATGTAAAGTTTGTGAGTAAGCAACCCAGTTTACACTTCAATAACCTCTAGAAAAAATGTGTTTAATCCTTATAATTCTTAAGCCAAACATTCACAATTTTTAATTAGCATTTTTTTGTTCAATGGCCTCTATTTACCATCAAATTCACAATTGACATGTTGTTACCAAGGAGTTAACCGCCATATTGACTTTTGAAAATCCAAAAATGTTTGATTTATGCAATATAATCTAAAATGAAAGAACATCTACCTCAAAAAGTTCATGTCATGACAATGAGATATTATCGGCATTTGAAGCGTACCAGTAACGGAATAATCTTCAGCTTGAGACTTTTCATTTATATTACCTCATGTTTTGCCATGACCTTAAAATCATTCATGATATTTCGCGGAATTTTATTTTATTTTTGATTTCATACACTTTCTATAAAGTTTTAATTATGCTAATGCATTATTTCTTTTTGTTATGCAATAAAAAGTAAATAACAGTTATGTCTCTATTTGTTTTCCAATCTCAATTTGCTTAGAACATCTGGATCCCATGCATGTGTATCATGCATGAATAGATTACAGTGAAGGTTACAAAAGTAGTTTCGTCAACATGGTCTATAGAAGTGACAAACCAAAGGAAAAAATTATAACCTACCAATAAGATTCAAGTATTTGTAAATATGCGAATCATATAAGAATTTAAAAAAAAAATTATATTATTTCGTTAATGTACTTTTATTTAGAGGATAACATTTTTGTGGATTACTTTGTTAATCAAAACGATGAACAGATATATCAAGTAAAATGCTTATTTTCTCCATGATTTGTTATGTGCAACTCTGTCACAATTAATTCTTATTAGAAAAAAATCAATAACTTTTCCATTAACAATGAAGATTTTGATGTAAGACTGAATTAAAATACTTCAGAGTAAAAACTAAAATGATTTGTAGAAAAAAACTCAATATTGATATATAAAACTTGTAAACAAAGTTTTTATATTAATTATAAGACAACCATCTTTAATATGTTGCATTTTTCAGTGGACTCTGTGGTTGAGTACCAATTATTCTTCATCAGAATGGATGGGACATCATTGGTTGTGCCTTCAGGTACGATTGCCACTTTTGGTGGAATGTCACTGAATCTTAATCAGAACGATAAGTTAGCATTAAGTTTTAATGGAGCTGATCAGTATTTAAAGGTCGTAGATAGTGCAGGAGGATGCCTCTATGACCCTGAGCAGTGCTTTTTAGGAATTACCCTATCGTTTACCATTAAATTCAGATCATTAAAAGAAAACACATATTACTATACTAATTGTGGAGATCAATCAAATTCTGCTGGCTATGCAATCTATTATAAAAATGAAAGATTGTACTTCAAGGTCAGTACAAGGACAAGAGAATGGACAGTATTTATTTCTGATGTAGAAACTGATAGATATTATGACATCCTTATGTCATGGAGTGTTCAGTTTGGATTAAATATTTACATCAATCTGAACAAAGTGGGAGATACCACAGATTATCTTCAAAGAAATGTAGAAAACCCAACCCAATGTGATTTGTATGTTGGACGTCCCAATGGAGCTGGGGAGTATGCTGACATAGTGATGGAATACTGGCATATTTTGTTGGCTTCCAGAGAAGTTCTCATATCTATAGGATTTGTTATTGGTGAGTTTTAAAAAAATACTAAAACAAAATTTGATATTTCACAAACTTATTTGTTGACTTTATGGTTGCTTAAATCATTTAGTCCCTATTGGATAGATAGTTTTTTCTTATTGACACTCATACCACATTTTATTTTTATATTGATATCTAATTTTTAACTAGTGATCTGGTAAGCAGATTTATTTCTGGCAGACCCACTTACTTTGTATAATCAACTCCTAGTTATTAATCCTGAGCTTTTACTGTGACATGACTGTAAGTTTTACTCTCCCAACTATTGCAGTTCATTCAAAATTCTGACCTAATTACAATTTATTTTATAGTAAGATTCCTCGATATGGAAGATGTGCACCTCAGTTTGTGCATACATTTGGCGAATTTTTTCAGGTTTCCAGATTTTGGAACTTAGTTTATTTGGTTGGAGCAGCAATAAATTGAAACAACTCATTCTACAGTTTACAACCCTAAGCCTTCATACGATCATACTTCCTGGATTGATTGTTGGTATATAATGCCACTTTCTGCCCTCTTGCTTATATCACGGCAGGCAGTTTTTATTTGTGGAGGAAGCCTGAGTGCACATAGAAAAAAATTGTTCATTGGCAACAAAACTTGCATTCATAGTCCATTAAGATTATAATCAAACACACCTTTTCATTAGTGGGGTTAGAACTAACAACTGCAGTGTTGACAGGCTAGTGATACTGTATTACCTAGACCACTCGGCCCCCAAGGCCCCCATGATTTCTGGAATATTTGTAGGTACTTTGAAAGTGTCCACCTCACTTTATGAAGATATTAACGATGCAAATCTTGTTTAAATGGTACAATATTAACTTCTATGGTAGTTATGCATAAACAGGAAAACCAGTTCACTACCAAATTGAATGTGTCACAATATTTATATTTTTACATTACAGGTTATCCGTCAGTTAGGAATCCTCCAGTTTTAATACCAGCTCTAGATGAACATGGAGAATCTAAATTTACATGTGACTTTGATCGACTGTCTGGTTATGATGTCAAATATACTGTCAAGTTTTATTTCAATGAAGACATACTTAGAGAGATTACAATAACAAGAGATAATGATTTTGCCATTATTGATGAAAATGATTTCCATGAGCAGTTGTATGGCACTGCTGTAAGTTCCTATATTTATCTTTCACTTTTATGCTTCAAACTTTAATCTCTTTTGAATTTTTCACAATTGGTTAACACAGATCTTTTAATTGCTTGTGTTTTGTTAATGTGTTTGCTTCTTGATGATGGTTTTATAGCAATGGTGTGTTAATATGATTAAAGGGGAATGTGGAGGTATGTGTCAATAAGACTGCAACCCAAGCACACAAAACATTTGAATACATCCTTAGGTCAGCTTAACTCAATTATATTTTATTCCTTTAATCTTTTGTAGAAATATTTCTCACTTATGTTCTCCTTAAATGGACCAGCCCCTTAAATGGACTAGCCCTTACACATTGTAATGGACCCGACATACACATTGTAATGGACTAGCCCTTACACATTGTAATGTTAGAATTTGGGTGTAGGTTATCAGAATGTTCTTTGTGTTTCTTTTTTCACATTTTGAAATTTGCACTGACTATTTCAGATATCTTGTACAGTACAAGTTTGCTATGCAGATAGCTGTGCTCAAAGTAAAGGTGAAGTGAAAGTCAGTAATACTGTTTATGTAGCATTCAAGGTAAGACTTATTTATATAAAATAAACTACAAGCCTTGTTTTGAGGGATTCCCAGTATCCAATCCTTTAATTTTTCATACCAAATACCCACCCAAATTATTTTAAATATTCCATACAAGTAATGTTTATTAAAATTATATACATCTATAAAATGACATGAACAAGTCATTGATAGAAGCACCCTATATACTGTATCCCTGAAACTCTGAAAAACACTCAAGGGAGAGTACAAGAAGGTGTATTTAGATTTCTATTTAGCATCTTAATGCTTTATTCAGATGGACAAGTCTTAGTTATAAATAAGTTATGGTATACAATATGATTAAAATTATAAAACGAGGACTCTCATAACAACTACCTTTTTGACATTGCTGCAGTAATTTAATGAGATTGACATATTTCAGTGCCTAAGGCACTAAATCCTATTACATTTATTATTTTTTGCATAATTGTTAATTTTCAGTTTTCTCAGGAGGGAAGTATCGTCCTTCATGAAGGTCAGCCACCTACAGAGCTTACTATTCAAAGCTACATCCCACCAAGATTATTCTGTGAGAGAGGCGCTAGGGAATATTCATGTAAAGTAGAACTGAAAGCTTCCATCAGACCAGCAAATGAACTCCAATGTTCAGATGGAGCAGATCTAGCCCAAGTTGTGTTTTTCCAAACCGGTGAGTCTGCTGCCGATACTTGTGGCACTGAAGTTTCTACAACAGAGTGGAAAGATGAGTTTAAACTCTTCATGAAAGCCAGAATAGATGGTATTAATGATGGAGATAAGAAGAGATCACTACAATTGGAAGCTGTTGTTACTCAAGGAGATGGTGTTGTTAAATATGACATTGGTCGTATAGAACTGGACATTATTGACAGAGACAGACGGGTCGTTTGCAGGTCACGTGGTCATCCACATATAAAGACATTTGACAAGAAGTGAGTTTTATATTTTGTTATTTCAATTTTCCTATAATAATTATTTTTATTTGATGCATATTATGATAAGATAGAGAAATGAATGCATGTTAAGATGAGACATGTTTTATATGCCAAAATGTCACGGTACATGGATTTATCGGTCTAAAGATTAGTAAATTTTCATCTTGCATCAGAGTTTATCCGTAAGAGGTTTGTTAATTTCATACTTTTCAGTAGAAATAAAGTAAATTTTATCTAATATTTCGACTGATAATTGACTGTTTTCTATTGGATTGAGCACTTTTTTACCCCCAGAGTCGAGACAATCCTGTTAATGTTATTTTTTTCTTTGCTATAACACACACATATGTATTAAAAGCAAGTACATTTTGTAAATGTAAATAAACAACAACAAAAAATTGGTATTTATAACAAATTTTACCTATTTAAAATACTGCAAATTCAGAATTATTGCAAGGTTTTTATTTATGTGAATAATGCGACTGGGTGAGTATCGCAATTATAAGAACTTGCATTCTGATATTTCATATATATACCTGTATGCAGATTTTCCTGAAATTGCAATAATTAATCTCATATTTTTGTCCAATCATCAAAAATCACAATAATGAATGCACACAATAATTTCTGTATACACAGTAACACGGTGTAGAATGGTAACGGACTTATCGGTTTTTTTTCAGCGTTTCCGCACTAATCGGGTTCGGCAACGGACTTATCGCGTTTTCAGATGACAACATTTGGCGTAAGTGGTTATTTCTTTCAACTTGTATTAAAGCAGAATTGATATTTCCAAATAAGCTTGATGTCATGGAATGGGGAAATTATTTATGTTGCTGGCTAGCTAATCATATATTCATGGGAAGCTACGATTTATTTCAAATTGTTTCCACCAACGTGGTACCCGAACTTGAAAACAAACATTTTTCATGGAAAGATGTCTAATTGAAGCGTGTTTTAAGCATGCTGTTTTCTTTTCCAAGTAAATTTTTGGTTATTATTCATTAAATGTAGACATTTTCCCTTTCGGAACTGTTTCATGCACTCTTAAGGTCTTAAATGATGGTTAATATGAAAAATTAGTGGCACCGGACTTTTTGTGTTATTAGCACCGGACTTTTTGTGCGCAAATGAATATGGAGACTCCTATCTTCTCAGTCAGTCTATGTGTTTACTCTGCCTGGGTTAATCAACTCTTACTTTATACATTAATCACACATCACGCAATGATATATTTTATTAATCCACAAACAAATGTGTGGGATTCTATCAGTATCTCGTCCTCATAGCAGGAATTTAAGGTTTCTAGTCCATATAATTATGACGTCTGGGAAGGCAATTCTAAATTTTTGCCTTGACGCCCTTCTGCAACGATGTAAGGCGTCAAAGAAAGAAAAAAAATATAATAAATAGCCTTTCAAGACGTCATAATTATGATACGGCCTTCAACAATGAGCATAGTCAGCTATAAAAGGCCCCGAAATGACAATGTAAAACAATTCAAACGAGAACTTTTTAACGGCCTTATTTATATAAAAAAATGAACGAAAATCAAATGTGTAACACATAAACAAACGACAACCACTGAATTACAGGCTCCTGACTTGGGGCAGGCACATACATACATAATGTAGTGGGGTTAAACATCACGGTTAGCGGGATCCCAACCCTCCCCCTAACCTGGGACAGTGGTAGAACAGTCCAACATAAGAATGAACTATAAAAATCAGTTGAAAAGGCTTAACTCATCAGATGGACAAAAATACAAGTGGACGTGGCCGGGTACTTGTACATCCCAACAACAAAAAGACACTAGGAACAGATCTGCGAGTACTCGCAGTTAACTGACAACTAGTTCAAAGCCACTAACAACTAATTAAACAATCATGCATCTAAGACTAAATGGGTTAATGATTTAGGTTGTCACAGTTATTCACCAGCTCCATCAACAATTGTTTTTCATGACTGAAACATAAAGCTTCACTCATACATGCATCATTATGAATACATCGAAAGAAGACTTGGTATGAATATATATATTTAGATATATAAATCATGTAACGTAAAAAAGGGTAAAATTGAATTGAATGTTGCTGATTGTTTTTTGACATCCTTGCCCTTGGCCTTGCATTTAAACGAGAAACATTAATATTAACCTGTCTTTTCTATTACGCCGGAATGAATGTGTCTTTTCGAAACATTCATCAATAGACCTGCACATGTTAATCTGGGAAAGATCAGAAATAAAAGCCTTATTCCTTGACCATTTGTGTTTTGTTTGGCATTGCATATGATATTACCCCATACCGGTGTACTTTTACTCAATGTCCCTTTATTTTCTATCATAATGTAAAAATCAAGATTGAAAAAAACACTTGTCCGTGATAAGTTCCAGACTTGTATATTCTAGCACAAGATGTCAAATGGTGTTTTTAAAACTTTTATTTTTCATTTCCCAAACAAACAAAAAATACGAAAACATCTTTTTTTACCCTGTTAAAACAATAAAAATACAAAAAGTCCTTTGCTCAATAAACCCCAACAGTTCCTTGCCAAAAAACACGTCATTTTAGGGAAACCCGATTAGTCCGCTGCCAAGCAATTTTTTAAAAGCTTTAATATATGATATTTTTTGTTTTTGAATGCACACAAGTGGTTCTAATATGTATTTTGCATGAAATAAAGGAGCACAAAAAGTCCACATTCTAATATACTGTGTATTTGAACAGAAACCACACCACTAGTAGCTGTGTTCGGCCGGTTGTCCTGTTCAGTGTGGAGCTCTTTGAAAAAGCCAAGAGTGGTACCAAAGCAAAATGAAAAATTTTGCAAACTTAGATCATCGGTGCCTTCCGTGATCATATAAACATAAACACTAACGACTTCTTTTCGTCTATTTGGCTCATTTTATGTCACACTGTCTGGAAACAAAACGCGATAAGTCCGTTTCCGAATCCGATTAGTGCGGAAACGCCGACAAAAACCCGATAAGTCCGTAACCATTCTACACCGTGAGTAAACTTGTCTAACATTGAACACCATATTTTGACCTTTAGATTTTTCATTTAATTTTAATTGTTTTGTTGGGCTTTTTCTCAGAAATGTTTTCTAATATCTCCTTTTATTCATATTCTTGTCTTTTTTTTCTGTAGGAAATACCATAACTACCTAGAAGGAGAGTTTATTTTATATCGTACTAAATCTAATCTGTATGAGGTAAGTCAACTTCACTGGAATTTTTACTATCATTTCCTTTAAGAAATTTAATAGTTGAAAGAATCGGTAATATTGTCAGATTTTTGTAGTAAAAAATATACATTACAACAGTCTCCTATTTTGTGGCAAGTTTTTCAGTAATTCGAAATGGAGCAGTTCAGCCATTTTATTATGACAATTGTACAAAAACTTTCTAGTCAGACTTTTATAACAACAGGTTAGATAGAATATACATCTGATTATTATTATATAATTTTATAAAATTTACCTTGTTACTATTTTATTTACATAAATTCAACCTCTCATTGTTGAGGTTGTAGTCAGAATTGTCACATGTCCTCTAAAACTAGGAATCCTTGGTATGATAGTTTCAAGTGAAGATTCGGAAATTTGCAGAGTCAGATATGTTAACAATTTCAAATTATTGTTTTGTTACCAGTCTATCTTTTTAAGCATTAAGTTTATTTGTTACATTCTTTTAGCACACTGTATTTATCTGTTTCAGGTGAGAACCTTCCAGAGGAAATGCAGATCTAATGGAAGATCCTCGTGTAATTGTGCCGTGGCCATCAGGGCTGAGGATGATGTCATATTATTTGATGTATGTGGTGCTGATTATGACTTTTCTACAACTGAAAAAGCGTTAACCAAGAAAATCTACAGAAATGGAGATTTGACAGCTGGTTTTACTGTAGAAGAAGAAAAAAAAGGAAGGTCATTCACTGTGAGTAACAAAGAAGATATATTTTGGTACACAGATTTATTGTCACTGATTATCATATTGATTTAAATATTACTTTGACGAAAAGATTTTAAAGAGTTATATGCTTCACCTAAACTAAGCTATAATTCACCACCTCAGAGTCAGACAGGTGGAAAAGAGTTTTATGCTTTATCTAAAATAAGCTCTTCTTCACCGCATCAGACAGGTGGAAAAGATTTTTGTGATCTCTGAAGAACTAATTAAGGGATTAATTAATGAATCAGTCTTTAAGTTCTTTGTAAAGTGTCTATTTACTTTTCCATATGTAGTATTACAAACACAGTAAAGGCTACTACCACTTAGTAGTTAATTTCAAACAATTGTAAATATTGATAGGTACCAGATGGTAAATAAAGTACAAGGTTTTAGTAACAATTTAATAAAAAAAATAATTTCAAAATACAGGTCAGTTTGAATATCATCATCCCAAAAGTGATTAAACTGATATTTTTTTTTTAGATTACCCTGCCAAATGGAGCATCAGTGAAAATTGAAAAGAGAAAGAAATATCTACAGGTTTGGGTTACTGCTGGACCTGTTGATTTTGAAAATGTTGAAGGTACTATATAAAGATATTGTTTATTCTTTCAGCAATTTTTTTACACTATTATAACCTAAATTACTGAAATGATATGGAAGTTTTTAGTGTATATAACAAGGAGAAAGTTTATTTTTTATTTCAATTCAACTATTTTGCACATTACTGTTTAAATATGTTTATCTATCAACTCATCTTTTCTGAATGTTTGAATATGATGTTTAGAAAACTAGAAAAATAATATTTTAAGAGGGACGATATTTCTTTATCAATATGTACCCCCATTTATATGGATGAAGCTACTCGAGTAGAAATCATTACTTTGAAAGTTTTACAGTTGCTTACCTTTTTGAATGAAGATAAAGGAGTAACAGTTGATATCTTCCGTTTGAGATAAAATTAGCATTATTTTTCGCTTAGTAAATAATCACTATAGGTTTTGATTAATTACTGTATTCTGACATGTGCCATTTGAGGAGCAGGAACAGCTTAATCTTTTACTGTGTACTGGAGTTCATCCCCTTGGGTTATGTTGCTCAATCTATAAAAAAATAAGAAGATGTGGTATGATTGCCAATAAGAAAACTCTCCACAAGAGACCAAATGACACATAAATTAACAACTATAAGTCACTGTACAGCCTTCAACAATGAGCAAAACCCATACTGCATAGTCAGCTAAAAAAGGCCCAGAAATGACAAATTTAAAACCATTCAAACAAGAAAAATAACAGCCTGATTTGTGAACAAAATAATGAATGAAAACACATTTGAATACAGCAACAAACGACAACAACTGAATTACAGGCTCCTGACTTGGGACAGGCACATACAGAAAGTGGCAGGTCTAAACTAGTTTGAAGGCGCCAACCATCCCCTAACCAGATCACATATCTTATTGATATATATTTATAGTTTCTAATGCCCCTTGATGTCTTTTTACTGTTTTTGGAAATTTATATTCTGACTTTTAGATTATATCCTGTAAATGTACGTTCAAAAACCTTTCAAAAACATTTTTAATGAATTATAGACAACTGAAAAAAGATTATAGAGAAACAAAACTTTAACTTTAATACATAACATCTCGTCTTTTCTGAGGACATTTTGTATATACAAACATGACATTTTCACACTATTAAGAATTTCTGACAAATCTCAGCTGTTGCTAAATGTTGAAATTAAGGTTTATTTTTGTTGTAGGTTTATGTGGAAATTTTGACGGCGATAAGACCAATGAGTATATGAAACCAGATGGCACCTATTTGGATTCTAGTAACAAATATCCTAATGACTTCAGTAAAAGTTGGAGGTAGGAATCAGGGATATCTGGTCTGAGAGTTATGGGACTTAAACTGTCAGATTTAAGGAAATTTTTAACATGTCCCACCATAACTGGTGAATGCTTGGATCAATATACTACAGACTTTATTTTTAGGATTATTGACAGAAGGCTCCCTTTCCAATTTTGAAGATTTTCCCATTTGTTTTTCCAGAGTTATTGGACTGTAACTGTCAGATTTAAGGCAATTTTTACATGTTGTACCATAATTGGCCTTGTAAAGTCTGCACTGGTACATTGTCTGCACCCCGTTTTCATCATGGGGAATTCAGGAAATTTTTTTTTTACTTGCTGAAAACGTCATTGGGAACTCCAGTAATTTCAAAGTGTGTGTGTGTGATCGTTTTCCATCATCAAGTAGAAGTAAACAATGCTTGTAAAGGATTCTAGAAGACTTCAAGAGAGTTAAAATAAGCCAAAATCAGAAGAAAAACAATTTTAAAAGTTGTGCTTGACATTAACCATATACTGAAACAGAATGTGTAAATTGCAAACAAATACAGTGAGAGTGTGCAGAAAATTCATAATTAATAGATACCTTTTTTGCCATTCAAGAATTATGAGAAATTAACCATTAAATGTAAGGCAATTTGTATATGCCAAAGCATATCCTCTTACAAGTTTTTCTTCTTGGCCATTTCACTGACTCCTGATTTAATGCCTTTTGAAATATTCCTATTCTTTCTTGCAATAATTTGATATGCATGGGACAGAGCCCCTATGATGGTATTGATATACAGTCTTTTCTGACATTTGTAGAGTACCAACAGAAGATACTATATATAATGGTTTCTGTGGAAATATTGATGCACCAGCTGATTTAGGCGTATACTGTGAATGTAACTCTGGGCAGGATCCTGTATGTTCCAACAACCGTGACATTACTGCATGTGCAAGAATCTCCAAGAAAAAAGGTAGTTTCTTTCTCTACAACAAGCATTTAAAAATTAACCTTCAATTCATATTTTAATCTAAACAAGTAATGTAATATTCCTAGTCATGGCTGTCCAAGAAGATGAGGATCCTGATGGGGATTCCAAAATAGAATAATTGGCCAAAAAATAAAAGTATGGAGAATAATGGCCAAAATAGGCAAAAAGATATAAACAGAAATGAAGGAGCCCCCACCCACCCCACCCCCCATTTTTCCTACTTCTACATATACTCTAATGAACATTTTAAGTGTTGTTGACTATTTTATATATTTCAGCTGTAGATATCACCAATGATTTGCCAATGGAAGAACCAGTAAAATGTAGTACAACAGTAGAACAGATTATCTTTATATTTGATATCAACTTTAATATTATTATCAATGTGAGTTGTTATTGATTTCCACATAAATCCCCAAAAAGTCAATTTCCCCGGTTTGTGGCAACTTACAGGCTATCCTCTTATTTATATATAGAATAAGTTTTTAATTACTGTTTGCAAGGAAAAAGTTAATAGAGAATGATATTAATGATCATGATAATTATTTTAAACATTGTAAAGTGTATGTATTTTTTAACTATGTTACCTTAATCTGCCAAAAAGACCTTTTCCTTAAATAAATAGTTGATACTATTTTTTATTCATTGATGTGTTCATGATTTGAATAGTTTTAAAGAAATGATAATGATTGATATTTTACAGTTACCTTCTTGGCCTGTTAATTCTATTACTGAAACCATAGCACGTGAGAAATGTACAAATGATATTAAGTTGTCAACAGTAGGCGTGGCCTGTGCCGGTTTTGGTATCATCATCGACTTTGATGACATTATTGAAGATTGTGTTCTTGATGTACAGGTAAGATTGAAAAATATCTATTATTAAGATTTGTACTTAATTTACAGATATAAAGGGGAAAAATGTCAGTCATTAAGATTTGTACTTAATTTACAGGTAAGGGGGAAAAATGTCAGTCATTAAGATTTGTACTTAATTTACAGGTAAGGGGGAAACATGTCAGTCATTCAGATTTGTACTTAATTTACAGGTAAGGGGGAAAAATGTCAGTCATTAAGATTTGTACTAAATTTACAGGTAAGGGGGAAAAATGTCAGTCATTAAGATTTGTACTTAATTTACAGGTAAGGGGAAAAAATGTCAGTCATTAGGATTTGTACTTAATTTACAGGTAAGGGGGAAAATGTCATTATTGAAGTGTGCTTGATATGCAGATTGAAAATGTCAGAGAGTTATTAAGATTTGTACTTGATGTACAAGTAAAATGAAGAAGAAGGTTAAAAAGAAGTAACAGCTTTATATATGCTGCTTTAAAATATTGAAAAGTGTCAATTCTGATATGGCTTTATATGGGGACATCAGAAAGAGATTTGAAATGAAAGTTATAAATTCTTTCTTAAAGTATCATGTGATATTCAGTTGTGCTGTATACATGTGTAAATATATTCAGTTGGGCTGTATACATGTGTAAATATATTTCAGCTTAATGGAGATTATGAGTTTACCGTATCAGCCATAAGTGAACTGAGAGTAACATGTATGTTTTCAATAGAAACCAACATAACATTGTTGTTACCAGAGGGACCAGATGAAATAGAAATACCAGAATTTGTTAACAATATCTGTGTTGATGATTGTAACGCACAGGGAACCTGTGTTGATAGTAAGTATTTCACTTCAATGAGAATGAAAAACGCTTGTTTGTTAAAATATCTGTACTTTTTTGCTCATTTTATCAGTATTGTAAATTCAGAATCTTCCCAGTTTCAGAATAATGATGACTATACCGGTATTAACAAATATATTGTCAAAAAATATAAATATTTTCATTCATGTGTCTCTCAGAAACCTGCTTTATTGACAATTTTTCAGTCAAAATCAGGAAAGTGAAGTGTTAGTAATTTCTTGTATCTATGCACATATGCTTTAAAATTTGATATTCTTGATAAAAAGATAAAGAAAAACAAGTCTTCCTTGTTAATCTAAAAAGGTGGAATGAGATAAATTTTTTTTATGACCATAATATGTATTGAAATGAATTGAAGCTATTGGTAAAGTATATGTGATATTTTCAAGATACAACGTATGGCTTAATTTGAGCATAAGGAAAAACCAAATCATACATGATTTCAAGGATTATAACTTGACTACAGTTTTGTTACTTGGGACATACACACAAAGTATATGATAGGATTAAACATGTCTGTGAATCAAAGATAAACCCCTGGATTACATTCTTGTTGCTTGGGACATACACACAAAGTATATGATAGGATTAAACATGTCTGTGAGTCAAAGATAAACCCCTGGATTACATTCTTGTTGCTTGGGACATACACACAAAGTATATGATAGGATTAAACATGTCTGTGAGTCAAAGATAAACCCCTGGATTACATTCTTGTTGCTTGGGACATACACACAAACTATATGATAGGATTAAACATGTCTGTGAGTCAAAGATAAACCCCTGGATTACAGTCTTGTTGCTTGGGACATACACACAAAGTATATGATAGCATTAAACATGTCTATGAGTGCTCAATTTAACCCTTAACCTAGGACAACTGTTTTAATGTAACTTCTTTTTCAGGTGTTTGTCAATGTAATGCAGACTACACAGGGACAACATGTGACACCATGGTAACAGATCCACCTATACTCAATGCAATATTTGGTGGAGTGGCCTGTGATTTAGACACCAATGAACATAACTGTACACTGTTTATTGTCCAGGGTGTCAGATTTATTGATAATAATACACTCACATGTCATTATGAATTAGAAAATGGGGTAAATATTATTTTTTTTTTCATTTAATGTGAATTGCTATTTGGTAGTGGCTTGACTCTATTGCAGCAGGTTATGGGTTAAATTCCAAACTGAGTCAATCCAAAGACTTAAGAATTGAAATATGCTGCTTCCCTTGCAAGCATCTGGTATTAAGGATTAAAAGAAAAAAACTGGTTGGCTAACAGTCCGAATAATATGTCAGGGTAGGGCGATATGTCTTCCTGCAAACTGTTACCATGTGGACTAGAATATTAAAAATCTGTCTCAGCATTTTGTTCTAGTACAAAGTATATTCACATCATCATCCTGAACATTTATGTATCATTTTCCACTGGATGTTAAGAATCCTTGAATTATTATTTCATATGATCTAAGGTATTCTTGTGAACATTTTAGAAGGCATCATACATAATATTGCTGAAAATAATTTTTAATGATTGATTGCTATATTGCTACAATTTAAAGGCAGACCGAAAACAAAAGACTTTTTTTCAAGTCAGAACAAGTTTTACTTATATTATTGTTAATGATCAGTACTTAGGACATAATTTTTGTTCACAGGGAACAGTTAAATTTGCTGGAGATTTCAAGACAACAGAAGAAGTGTGGTGTCCATTTAATGGAGATCTTGGTCAGCACAAACTGAGTATTAGTAACGATGGACTGATGGAAAGTAACCAGTTGACATTTGTTGTATATACTTCAGCATGTAAAGATTGTACTGACTTAGTTTGTGTAGATAGGGTAGGTATTTTGTGTTTAGACTTAGTTTGTGTAGAAAGGGGGGTATTTTGTGTACAGTCTTAGTTTGTGTAGATAGGGTATGCTAGTGTGTACACATATGTATTTACATAGAGGTATAAAACTGCTTACAAACATTTGAAAGCCAAATTAACATTTACATGTAAGTAGGTTGCCACAAAAACACCAAAAAAAAAAACCAAAAATATATTTTTGAGTATTCTATTTTTCAGGATGATATATGTACTATCAATGGAGTATGCTATGAACTTGGTGCACTTAACATGCTGAATTCTGGAGAGTTCTGTAACACCACTACTTCTACTACATCCTGGAGTACACTCATAGGTAAACAAGTCATTATATGGAATATACTTTAGTCATTTTGGTGTGTGTGAACAGGGCCTTTTAAAGCTTGCTATGGTGTATGGGATTTGCTCACTGTTGAAGGCTGTACGGTGACCTATAGTTGCTAACTTCTACATCATTTGGTTTCTGGTGGAGAGTTGTCTCATTTGCAATCATACCACATCTTTTTTTTTATATAATGAGGGTTTTTTTGTATTATTTTTTTTGAATGATCTGACAAATATTGTGTTAGTGTAGTAACGAAAAATGTTTTATTTTCAAAGGCCAATAGATGGAAATTAATATTTTTTTTCCTGGGTTAATAAACCTTGCTTAATTTCAATTTAAATTCATTTACTGTAAATATATAAGAGATTTTTATTTTGTTAAAACTCTTTTAAGTTAAGCAATTATAATGCATTTTTGTTGATTTTGCTGTATGCTGAGCATTTGAATGGAGTAATATCCACTATATGTCGTATAGACAAGGTTAATAGAACTTTGGCATGTAACTAGGGACTAATCAGAACTTTGATATAGGCATGCAACTAGGGACTAATCAGAACTTTGATATAGGCATGTAACTAAGGACTAATCAGAACTTTGATATAGGCATGTAACTAGGGCCTATCAGAACTTTGATATAGGCATGTAACTAGGGCCTATCAGAACTTTGACATAGGCATGTAACTATTGACTAATCAGAACTTTGATATAGGCATGTAACTAGGGCCTATCAAAACTTTGATATAGGCATGTAACTAGGAACTAATCAGAACTTTGATATAGGCATGTAACTAAGGACTAATCAGAACTTTGATATAGGCATGCAACTAGGGCCTATCAGAACTTTGATAAAGGCATGTAACTAGGGACTAATCAGAACTTTGATATAGGCATGTAACAAGGGACTAATCAGAACTTTGATATAGGCATGTAACTAGGGACTAATCAGAACTTTGATATAGGCATGTAACTAGGGACTTATCAGAACAATCAGTATATATCAAATTATAACAAATAATTTGTTCTATGCAATCAAAAACATTTATTTAGTTAAAACAAAGAAAAAATGTTTACAATCTATTCTTTTACAAAACAACTGCTAATGGAAGAAAAGAAAAATATATAAGAAGGAATAAAATTTCATGGCTTTGATCTTTGTAAATTGAAAACTATGAAACTATTGAAATAGGGAGTTTTAAACTAATATCATTAATAATTCTTAAAGCTGAATCAGTTATACATATAGGCATCATTCAATATTCAGCTTGTATGAATAGTTTGGATTTGAGTTTATAGGTTAGACTAATCTTGAAGATTATACATTTATCACTAAAGCAATTTTCTTTTTCAGTGTCAGAGATTATACCATCTCACTACAACTTTGTGAGAATTACTGGTACCACACTTATAATCAAGATTAGTATAACTATCAGTATAGACATTAACTTGATTGGGACACCAGTTCTTATAGACATTCCTTCTGGTGAGAAAGGTGTGGCTTTGAATGGTATTGACCAAGCATTAGACTTTGGAGATCTCAGTTACAAATGTCTAGGAGACATAGAAAAGTGTTCTACTGGGCTTACCATAACTTTCAATCTTAAACTGAAAGAGAAAAAAGATAACTGTTATATAATGTCTACTGGCGGTGAAGATAAAGATAGTTACGGACTTGCCATGTGGTATACCAAGAAAGGCAAATTATATACTCGTGTCAGTACCTCTAAATATGAATGGACTGTGTACACAAAAGATGTGGAAATAGATGAGTATTTCAATGTCAAGTTAGCGTGGAGTCGCAGTGAAGGATTAGCATTTTATAAAAACAATAAGAGGATGAAGAAATCCAAGAAACGCCAAAAGAGGAAAGGCTCCAAACATTTGAAGAAGAAATATTACTTTGGTCGATCAACTCATACTACACCGTACTTTTGCAAGATGGAAATTGATGGATTCACAGAAATACCAGCATCAGAGCAAGTAATAGATATAATTGATGTTCCACTAGGTAAGGCAGGTTTTGATATTATACGCCCACTTTTTTAGATTATTTTCCGGTCTTCTATTAGTTCACCTCTTGAACTCTTTTATTCCTTATCAAGGAAGATTTTAATGAATAAACATTTTTAAGTTAAGGAATGTAGTAAAAACAGTTTTCGTCTTGATCAAAATATTATTTAACTGGAATGCTATATCAGCTGTTTAATAATTTATATATAAATCGACCTCAAGTTAATGTTCCTTGTTTCATCACAGAGTTGCCAACAATGGAGAAGGATCCCGTCCTGAAGGTTATGCCATCAAATGAAACATTTGACCTTCAATGTACCTTTGAACCTTTGACCACACCATATATCAACTATAGATATACAGTGAGATGGTATTTGGGAGATACAGTAAAATCTACATTTGTTATGGAAAATAATTCCTTCGTCAGTGAAATCAATAAGGCAGACATTGGTGTGGCAGTTTATGGAGATGAGGTAATATGTTTTCAGTGTTAAAAGATAAACTTAAGTGTCAAGTTTGTAGAGAACAGTGTCAAGTTTCCAAATAAATGTGTCAAGTCTCTAGATAAATGTGTCAAGTCTCCAGATGAATGTGTCAAGTTTCCAGATACAAGACTTTTAAAAAATGTATCCAAAAAATTACAAATCAGTCTTCTGAAAGGGTGGTCAAAATCTGTCCCATGGGATAACTTAAATAATTTCTGCCATGTCTTTCACTATATCACTATGGATAGTTATTCTTTCCTTAAAAATCTACATTTAAAAAACCAACACTACAAAAAGTTATTTCTATACTTCTTTGTGTAATAAGTTTAGTAATGTTTAAATACTCTTATTTTCAGGTCCGTTGTGCAGTGTCAGCCTGTTACTATGACAACTGTGACAACACTGCTGGTCCTGATAGAAAAAGTAATGAATTTAAACTGTCTGTTAAGGTAAGCTGAAAATTAAAGTTACTTTCATAGTCTTTATACTTTCATGAATAACTTTTAATTTTTTTCATAACATACAGATATTGACATGAAAAGCTTGTTATAGTCTAACTAACTTGATTCCTGTAGGCCATTGTATTTTTTGCAGAAACCATACATACCATCTGATCACAAAAAAGTTAAATCAACCCCTCCTCCATAAATTTTGTCAATGAAAGTAGGAGATCATTCTTGTCAACATATCTGGACAGAACCATTCAGTTGCTTGCATATAATATAATTGACAAATAATTTGAGCTTAATATATATTATGGGAACTTAAGATGGCATGATACTTGAATTGTTTTCATCAACTGTTTGTATAGTGACCACCTCCAATCCATTGCAAGACCTGTGGACATCAAAAGGAAGATGAACCAGATAAAGAAAATTTCTTTTTATGTTTAATAGGAAATTTTGATAAGCAACAACAGTCTTAGGGTTATGTTTGCATAGTTTGAACTATTCAATTAAAATGGATGTGGGAGGGAAGGAAAAGACACTCCTTCAAGCATATTGTTTTTGGAGTTACTTTGTTTGCATCAAATTAATCTTAAACTAAAAATGTCTCACAACCCATGTCTTAAAATATGTCGACCCTTCCTACCTTCCCACATTATTTTTGATTGATTAGCCCTTCCCAAAAATTATTTTTTGTCCCCTGCAAAACGTGTTGCAGGAGACATGGAAATAACCAGGCATCCATCCAGTCTTGTTAGCGCTCTCAAACGTACAGTTTTTGCCAGATTTTTATGAAACTTATATCATAGGTTTATATCAGCAATGTCTTTGACGAGTTTGAGAATCAATGCAGATCAAGTATTTTAAAAAGAGTTATGCCCCTTGGAAACATTAATTATATGGAAAATTGCATCATTAGCGCTATCATGTGTACAATTCTTGCTGGATTTTTGTAAAACTTATATCATAGGTCTATATCAGCAATGTTTTGAATGAGTTAGAAAATCAGTGCCGATCAATAATTTTTAAATGACTTATGCACATTGGAAATTTTGATTATATGGAAAATTGCATCGTTAGCGCTCTCATGTGTACAATTCTTACCAGAACTTTATGAAACATTATTTCATTGGTTTATATCAGCAATGTCTTTGATGAGTTTGAAAATCAGTGATGATCAATTATTTTATTAAAAGAGTTATGCCCTTGGAAATATTAATTATATGGAGAATTGCCTTATGAGTGTTCTTTTGTGTACAATTCTTGCCAGATTTTTATGAAATTTATATTATAGGTTTATATCATCAATGTTTTAGAGGAGTTTGAAAATCTGTATCGATCAATTATTTTTAAAAGAGTTATGCCCCGTGGAAATATTGATTATATGGAAAATTGCATTGTTAACACTCATGTGTACAATTCTTGCCAGACTTTTATGAAATTTATATTATATGTTTATATCATCAATTTTTTTTGAAAATTGGTGCTGATCAATTATTTTTAAAAGAGTAATGCCCCTTGGAAAAATAAATTATAATGGAAATCACATTGCATTTAGTCCGAAGCCTTCATTTCTCTAAGATATTAATAAAAAGTTTTAAAGAACCCAAAAAAGTGTTTTTTTTTAGTTATTGCCCCTGTACTTTGGATAGATCAAAAATGTGCAATGCGGGGGACATTGGAACTGTTCTTTTATTCTAATCTTTTGAGGCAAAACAAATTTATGTTGTGGTTTACTAACTTGGTCATGTTGGTATCTTTGTTTATAAATGTCTTACATTACAGAAGCTATGAATGTTTAGATTGCTGTAGAATCTTTTATAGATGCAATAAATTCTCTTCATGTAATTTTTCAGATAATGACAAATAGTATTAAATTGTATGAAGGATTTGCTGGAGAATGTATAAACGTAATGGCAATGGTACCACCAAGTACTTTCTGTGATAATGGTACATGTCACTATCGTATAGATTATGGATTTGAAGATCGGGAGAAGTACACAGAGAGTACCTGTGCTGATGAAAGCATTGTACCACAAGCAGTGTTTTTGACAGATTCCATTCAGAATTCTCCATGTCATGTTGTCATTACTGAAGCCGATTGGCAAAAAGAAACATGTGTTTATGTTAGAGCTGTAGCAGATGGACTCAAAGACAAGAACAAGAAATTACATGTTAGACTTACAGTTTCTGTTGAAATTCTGACAACAACAGTTACTCAGATATCTCAGACCTCCTACCCAACAGTCGAGGTAAGAATAGTAACAATTATCAGATATATATAACTGTCAATGATCTATCATAAGTTATCTCATAGACACACTTAATCTGAAAGTTATTTGACTGAAGTGCATGTGGTTGTCAGGATAAAGCCACATATTCTTCAATACACTGCATTGCATAGATGTACCTTGAAATATGGCTTACACAACTGTTTAAATAATTTTAATGTTTTGTTTTGTAAAGGTTGAAATCATTGATAAAGACAAGACTGCAGTTTGTGAATCAACAGGAGATCCTCACATAACAACTTATGATGGAAGGTCAGTCTAAATCTATTTTAGTTTGCCAGGGTTTTCACTAGGTTATTCAACTTATTGTATATATATATATATAGGTATGTTAATTATTTCATAATTTTTTTATAATTTAGGGTGGAAATGAGTTTGCTTATATCTTTAAAAGTAAGGTTCCTAGATACATATTTTGATTTTTGTATTCTTAGTGTCTGCAATTATTCTGCTATCTTCTGTTGAAAACTTGAAATGGTTTAAATGTACTATTACAATGCAATGGGAGGACATTTTGATACAGCAATTTTATTTTTTTTCTAATCGGTATAGCAAGGTTAACCAAAATTATAGTTTCATCTATATTACCGAATGAACAAACAAGAAAACAACAAACAAATGAAAAATGAAATTAATTAACAAATGCATGAATGAGCTAGTGAACATTTTGTATTAGCATGTAATTCTGCCATCCAAATAGTCATATTATACCATATCATGTTCTAACTTTACAAATAACAGAAATATGACAATGCTTTCTATTATTCAGGACTTATGACAATATGTTAGAAGGAGAATTTGTTATGTACAGACACAAAACATTGCCATATGAGGTATAGTTTATTGTATCTTTAATGTTTTAAGTATATGTTATAATACAACTGCATATATAGAAGTATAAAACCAGTAACAAAAAAACAAAAAACACAATTGATTTGTAAAAATAGCTATCTGCAATACAAGATAAAGATTGAAAAATTGAGTAGCAGAAATTCCAATAAAAACCTAATGAACACATTTCCTCTGGAAGGATTAGCTGTTTATGCTCCCTCTTTGGTATCCATCATACAGTTTTGTTCTTTGTCTAAAACTCCAGTTATCTAAAATATAGCTAACCATTGTTTGACATGAGACGAGTCAATTGTACAACATCTATCTTCTATTTTATGAAAGGTAAGAGCCCTCCTGCGAGCCTGTAATGAACCAAGACAGGCCTCATGTAATTGTGGTGCACTAATCAGGATTGGTGATGATGTAATAGTCTTCGATAAATGTGGAGCTAAGAAGACAAAGAAGAATAAGAAGAAACCTCTAAAACCCAAACTGTATCTAAATGGAGAATTAACCCCAGGAACCAGTATAATCAAATATAAAGGTGGAAAGAATTACAAGGTAGAGTTGCAATTACTTATTTCACTTTTTCAAATACAGAATGATCAGTATGTTGCTTTCCTTTGGTTGTTATGGATCGTTTTGCCAGTGACTTTGTTTTATGGTATATATCAAAAGCACAAATATTTTTCATTTACATGGACAAAATTTACTCCTGCTTTTTTAATTAAAAATTGTATACAGTTTATGCTTTTCTGTTACCTAAAGAAGGTGCTGCGTTCTTTTTCCTTTAAGATTTGGAAATGTGCAGAAAAAATATTGATTTTGGAAATACCTTGGTCTCATGAAAATTTGAAGGTTGGTTTTCTCTGCCAGTTTTCTAAGAAAAGAGTGAATAAAAAAACTGTGATATTTTGCCTATCAACACTGTCTTTTTTTTGAATTGAAAAACAAAAGAGTTTTAATAATTGTGCACAAAATGAAAAGGAATATTCAATATAACAGTTTATCAGATTAAAAGTGCAAGTAACATTTAACTACCAGGTTTTGGTCAATTAGATTGCATACATTTGCAAACTGTTATAAAATGGTTTGAAAAACACATAATTGTGTTAGGAATTAGAATTATTTAAAATAAAATTCAAATCAGTTTTAAAAAAGGTAATTCAATGAAAGCAGAATTGGCCCAGAAATTCCTGTAAAACATTTGATATCAATGTCAGTTTTTTAGGTCTTTATTTTTTTCAATTTTGCATTGTACATTTAGGTTGTGTTTCCAAGTGGTACATATGTCAGATTAGAATCACACAAGAATGGACGATTTTTAAACATGTATGTGAGAGCATCTTCATCAGATCTTGAAAACACAGAAGGTAATGTTGTTACAGTGGATTTCTGTTATTTACTTAGCCTTTTTGTCAGACAAAATTATGCAGTTAAGCAGAGTAGGCTTATATTTGATGACTTAAAATAAGTTATACAAGATTGTAACTCATTAAAGGTGACCCAACTCCGTAGTGTTTACTTTTGGTAGAGACTCCTGTAGTGGATACCTTGGTACACAAGAGTACAATTTTTTCCCTTTTTTTGATAGACACAACAAGAAATATAGCTGTTTTAGCACTTTTATAGGTACTGAAAAATTAACACAAAAGAAAAAAAAAAAAGATTACATAGGATGAAAGCTTTTTGCAATACCTGAAACTTTGATCTAGGATAACAGAGTTAAAAGTTTATACATAAAATAAAGAAACATGCTTTAAGCAACCAGAAAATATGCTATTAAAAAAAATACTCAGGAATCTAAATAACTTCAAAATTCTCTCAGTTCTTAAAAATAATCCATTTTGATATTTAGTCATTAGAATGACTACTAAAGCTCCATATTTATTGTACAGGTTTGTGTGGTTTCTTTGATGGTGATGACGCTAATGATTTGATGAAATATAATGGAATATTGTTTGGAGGCAAATCAAGAGAAGTAGATGAATTCTCGTCTAGTTGGAGGTTTGTCAATATTTTTGTAATTATTGTCCTGATCAATGTATTGAGAAAATGATTCCTGTGAAATATTTTTTAATTTGAGGATTGATGAATAGTGATATAAAAACAAGAATCAAAATAAGTAACTCTGAAAAACAACAACAAAAAAACGATTTACAGTTAGAGCAGGAAGGGATATCTAGCACACATTGGTCAACTGTATATTCTATATTTATTATTATAAATTTTGAAAATTAAATAGATGTCACATGCAAGACTTTATATTAGTAAGGACGTTTTTATTTTATTATTATGATTATATTAATAGAATTGATGAAATGGGTGTGGCCTCCATTTATTCTGGGTACTGTCCACAAGTAGTTATTGCAGAACAAACCATTATTCCACCTTACTGTAACTGTGGTGTCTCAACCCCAACATGCTATAGCAACATAGATGCTCTGGGCTGTGCACGATATAAGAAAGACAAGAAAGAGAAAGGAAAATATTGGAAAAAGGCTAAAGGTAAGGGCAAAGTTATTTTTAGATAAGCACCAGATCGGTCTATTGAAATAATGTAACTACAGCTCACAGATTATGGAAATTGCAATTGTCGCTTGAGAACTACTAGTGGAAGACAAATTAGGAATACAGATTGCGATAATTAAGTTTACATGTATGTCCATTGTTAAACAATCACAATTATAGATATACATACAAGACCCATTGGTGGCCTACGGCTGTTGTCTGCTCTATGGTCGGGTTGTTGTCTCTTTGACACATTCCCCATTTCCATTCTCAATTTTAAAGTTCTTCATTCACAGTTATATATTTTACCATTCACAGTTATATATTTTACCATTCACAGTTATATATGTTACCATTTATATTTTATATGCTGACAAGATGTGATAAAACACCTTATGAAGTTGAATGAACTATGGTGCCATTACTCCAAAGAACATAGAAAATTAAATATTTTTAAAAATCCATTTTCTTACCTGAAGTAAATGAATCCCATCTTATTGCCTTACATACTATTCATGCATACTTTTTATGTTCAACAGATGTGACTGACTATTTGGTATCCAAGGCTATATCTCCACCATCTGGTTGCATAGCAACACAAATAGAAGTGTTTGAAGCTAACATTACATACATACCACCAGTAAGGACCTGGCCCACACCTAATGGTCTTACAGAAATAACGGCCTTACAGCAATGTAAAGCTGTGATTGAAGCAGATATATCCTTTGCTGGATGTAGAAATGTAGCAGCCATTAACCTTGTAGCAGCTTTAGATTCATGTGTTATAGATTTACAGGTATGGTATGAATATGTCAATTTATAATACATGCTTTCTATATGTACTATGGTGTGAACCTCTATTATAAACTTACCATAGGTGTGTTAAAATTTGTAATCAATTATATGAGTACCACATTAAATTTACAACACAAGATATTTTCTTACAATTTTATGAACATGTAATAACATTAAAAAAGTATGATACCGAACTCCAAGGTAAAATAAGAATGGGAAGTCCATATAAACTGACAAAATCAAACGTTTATAGACTTTATCAACCAATGGAAAAATGGAAAACAAGTGTCATATTCCTGATTTGGAACAGGTCCTGACTTGGTAACCATTTAACCAATTAAAATTGGGATAGTTTTTTCTTCAGATTATGGTACCTTTTTGAAAATCTCCTAACTAATCTTTTGTCATGGAATACGGTATTTAAATAATAATAATAATAATGGTTGCTCCTCCTTTGACATATTATTTGATCCCTCTTACAGATCACTGATAACATAGAATGGTCAGTAGCTGCCTTAGATACTGTGCTTACCAAATGTCAGATAGAAATAGAGATTAACATTGAGCTCTGGGTGAATGTGTCAGGATCTTTAATACCTAACCCAGCAATCATAGATAAGATATGTCCTGGGTCATGTAGTGGTAACGGAGACTGTGTTGAAGGTAAGACTACATATCTTTAATGCTTAAATTTATTGATTTATATCCTTTTAGGTGACATTCTGTTAATTCTAACCATTTTGACTTGGTTTTGTTTTCATTTGTGAATGGAAATGTGAAGTATATCAATTAAATTTCGTTTTCAGAAGTAAATTGAAAATGATTTGTATATAAATGATGAAAAAAGGGGAGATAATTTACTTAATACAGTGTAATTTACAAGAATTTTGAAATTTGCATCAGTTAAAACGTGAAGAAATATACCGAAAACCAAGTGCAAATCAAAAATAACATTTGAATATCTCTGACTCTCAACATGCAAAACATATTTGTATTATGAGCTATGTATAGCCTGGGTTGTAAAGCATCAAGGTAACCCATCATCTGACCACAACATTCTGTAGATGAGAAAACGCCTCAATCTTCAAGAAAAATACCAAGAAATAGATGGCATCAACTTCATTAGTGTCGTATTAATATGAATGACAAAGCTTGTAGCAAGAGTTCATCATTTTTAAGTGTTTTACTTATCTCAATTGGACATATGATTTTCAGCAAACAATTTATGTACTGATCACTACACATTAGTTTGATAACTTGTTTACAGGTGTATGTATTTGCACTGGTACCTTTATTTTGCAGGTGTATGTATCTGTACTGGTACCTTTGAAGGTGAAGACTGTAGTGTGGACACTACTGCAGTAATTGTCCTAGAACCTTTAGAACAAGAATTCTGTGATGTATACAGTAACCTATGTACAGAGATAACGTTGATTGGTGATGGGTTCTTAGAAACATCAATCATCCAATGTGCTATTATAAGACAACAGGTTAGTCAGTGTTTGTTTATCAGGATTTAAGAGGTTTTTACACAATTCTCTTTGGAGATCAGCAACTGTTTTAATTAAAAATCTTTGATGAAACAATATTCTTTATTCATAAACATTACATTATAACATCAGATCAATTTCAATTAAAAAAAAAAATATCTAGTTGAATTTGATTAGTTCTTCAAATGAAATACCTATCTGGCTCACTTGTTCAAAACTTTTTATTTGTATTACAGAAAGTAAATGTCTTTGTTGACATAGGCAGTGAGATACTGATTAATGCGACATACATCAGCCAGGAAGCAGTCACATGTAATTTACCGGACCCAGATATTTTCAAGATCACAATTATTAACAACAATATCAGATCAGCAGAAAGTTTGACGTATGTGACCTATGACCCATTCTGTTATGAATGTACAACTACAGGCTGTACTGTCAAGGTAAACATAATTATTAATGATTATACCCCGCCCCTGCAAAGGATAAGAGGGGTATTCTAGATTATCTCTGTCTCTCCATAATACATTTCTAATGCATTTTTCCTAGCAATAACTATACGGCAGCCAGCTTCTTCTGGTAATGCCATATCAAGTGACACTTTATCATTTCATTCAATGTGCAGCTACATGTATTCCAAAATGCATATAACCTATGTTCAGAGCAACAGCTCACAGAATATCTTGCAGTTTTTACTCAACAGATATATAATTGATGTAAATGAAAGGTACTGTGGAATGGTTTATTTTCATGTGTACCAAATTTCATGGATATTTGAAATTGTGGTTTTGCTAAAGTCTGAATACATTATAGACAAATTTAATTTGTTGAATATTTGAATTTGTTGGTTTAGCTTTACCCACAAAATCCATGAAAGTTGGTGTCCCACAAATGATAATGAATTAACAGTATGTAAACAAACAGAAAATCAGAATTGAATACAAAGACAAAGAGCCTTAGGAAATATCTCAACACAAGTTAACCATTATAAACACTCATACACAATTGCTTCATGAAATAAAAACAAACTAGGAACAAACTGATTAATGATTTCTAAAAACAAGTAGCTGTAATCTACTCTCACATACCAAGAAACAAACACTTTTGAAGCAAGCACAAAACAATATCATATAAAATATTTTAAATAAAATAGAGAGAGGTATATGCTATGCTCAATTATCACAAAGCAATGTTCATTTCAACAAGAAACATACAAACATTGCTCTTGCTGTTGTTATTGCTCTAATTTTTATGGTAGAATTTATTATTATGAAAATGTTCTTATTTTGTTTGTGAACGTTTGTTTCTAATTTTGATGTTTGATTGAGATTATGGATTGATTTTTAGTCTTGGACTTTCATTGAATAGGTTCATATAGGCAATTGATTTAAAACCACAAGGAACTACAAACTTTCATTTCCATTGATTTGAAAAATGATAATTAATAGAAATATTGTATCATCTTTAAAACAACTTTTTCTTAATGTACTAAAATAGGTAGCCACATTGTTGAATGTTATGTTAGGAAAGACTTGAATACTTAAAATGGTTTTATCATCAAGGTGATGTACATTTTTTTTCAATAATTGTTATCACTTATATTGGGTTTTTTTTTCTCAATAATTGTTATCACTTATATTGGTATTTTTTTTTCAATAATTGTTATCACTTATATTGGTATTTTTTTTCAGTCTTACCTTAACCCTTAATTCTCTTTGCACCAGAAGTCGTATTTTTTCAGTCTGATGTGTGTATAATAGGTGAATATTGTTATGGTAGGACGATCACTTAAATCAGTATTTATTTTTTAGTTTGATGTGTTTATAATTGGTGATAATTGTTATGGTAGGGCAATCACTTATATCAGTATTTATTTTTCAGTCTGATGTATGTACAATTGGTGATAATTGTTATGGTAAAGGATTCTTTGATGTTGGCAATGCAGCATTAGGATGTATTCCTAATACCAATACAACCACATGGACAATAATTACTCGTTAGTATAAGTAATTATAAAAATAAGAAGATGTGGTATAAACTCTTCACCAGAGACCAAATGGCATAGAAATTAACAACTATAGGTCACAGTATGGCCTTCAACAATGCGCAAAACCATACAGCATATTCAGCTATAATAGGCCCCGAAATGACAAATGTAAAACAATTTAAACGAGGAAACTAACAGCCTGATTTATGTAAAAAACAAAAAACAAAATACAAAAATGATATTGACAACAAACGACAACCACTGAATTACAGGCTCCTGACTTGGGACAGGCACATACAGAATGTGGCAGGGTTAAACATGTTAGTTGGTGCCCAATCCTCCCCCTAACCTGGGACAGTGGTGAAACAGTACAACATATGAACAAACTATAAAAATCAGTTGAAAAGGGCTTAACTCATCAGATCGATACAAAGCAGAAAAACAAGCAACAAAAACACAGACCAGACGTGGTAGAGAATTTATACATCCCTACAACAAAAAAGACACTAAGTACAGATCTGAGAGTACTCACAGCTAGTTCAAAGTAACTCAATCATAAGTTTTTTTTAATGAACAAATTTTATGTTGCCATTAAGCTCGGGATTATCTGGAAAAATAAATTGGAGAGGTGGATATGTTGGAAATAATAAAAGTGTAAAGAATACCGTTGAACCTACATAATATGGTTTATATTTTTTTCATATATTTCTGAGTTAATTACAAAGATTTTAAAATTGAATATGATTTTGATAGACAGATCCTGTGTCAAGTGGAGATAATCTGCAATTTCAGCTTTAGTGAAGTTAAATGAATTTATTGAAAGATAAGTGTTTATCCCTTTGAACTTGCAACCATTCTTGTATATATTGTTTCAAGCACTTATGGCTTAAAATTTGTCTGTTTTAGAAATTGATATCACTGTACTGACCTTCATCGAAATAACCGGAACGATTTTGAAAACACCTAGTCTGGATATAACTGTACATGGAACAATACCAACTTTAACAGAAAAGGATAACATCATGTATTGTCCATTAGATGGTATATCACAGTATCTAGACCTTGGAGATAAATCTAATAGCTGTTTGGGAAATCCTTTATTGTGTGGCTTTGGAATGACTGTCCAATTTAATCTAAAGATAATTAAGTTTGTGGAGAACATGTACATTTTTACTTCTGGTGGTGACAAGCCAGACGGCTATGGTGTGGCCATGTACTACAAGCGTAGCGAGTTATATCTGACAGTTAGTACTACAACGATGGAATGGACAGTGAAAACCAAGATAAATGTGAATGTGGTGGTCAATATAGAGTTTTCTTGGAGTGTCCAGACTGGATTAGCACTGTACTTTGATGGGACAATGGTAGCAGAAACCAAAACATTCATCACCAGAGAAGTTACAGTATCTACTTATATAGTTACTTACATTGGGGTATCCATAGACCTTACTATATTTGCACATATTGAAATAGGAGAATTGAAAATCTCAGAAGCCACAAGGGAAACCATTGCAAGAGTGGATGCAGCCGATGAAACCACAACAGATATCATGACAACAGAAATGGTTACCAATGCTACCACAACTGAAATGGTCACCAACGCTACAGGTGAGCATTCACACTTTTTGTTTTGTTATGTGCTTAAATGTGGAGGTAATAAACAGATTTAATCTGCTAACTAGATCTAACTTCAGTTTCTCTTAAAACATTAAAATAAATCTGCTCTATGTTGCTTTAATAGTTCATTTTGTTTAATGTATACTAACTTTTGCTGTTATTTAAGATTTCATATTTTATATTTTTTATACTTTAAAAAATTTTCATGGCAGGGATTAAGGTTTACCCTTGTCATTCTGTATGTATGTCCGTAATTACGTCTCAAAATTGGTTTCCATTCTCTAACTTTAGTTTGCCTCAACCAAATGTTATACTCAGATCAAGTTCAAATTTGGCGTCACTTTTACCGCTCTGGAGTTATGTACCTTTATAATGTTATATGCAAGCCCATCTGTGTCCCATGGACGCAATCTCCATTTATTTTATTAATCTCTTTACATTTTTGTCTATCAAATTCTTTGCTATATCTTAACAAAGATTGTCCTCTATCAAAAGACAGGTGACTAGAAAAGCATGACTCTAAAAGAGGGGGATTGAAACTTTTGAGAGAAATTAATGTGTAAAGGGGGCATGATTCAATGTCCCTTGTTCACTCCTTTATCAAATTATGACAGAGCACAGTAAAGCAGATTTCTTGCATGCTTTGCCACTTGGGTACACAGTTACATGCTTTGATTATTTGGATACATGTACTTTTATGCTTTGTTTTCATATTTTTCTTTGTGCATAAATTTCTTCTTGGCAGAAAATATTTCAATCTTTTTGCATCTTTTTTTCTATTATTAGATACATTGTTACAGACCTATATGTAAAGATATCAAACTTATTTACAAATTTATACTATGCTGCTACAGTAATCAAAAACACAAGTATATTCTTCTATTTAAGAAGTAATAAAGTGACTTATCAAATGCCAAAAAAATAAAAATTAAGCTTGCAAATTCATATGCATGCTTTTAAGCAGTAAAAGAAAATTGATTTTATTTCATTGAAAAAGTTTGGAAACAGATTTTGCTTCTATTAATCTGTGACCATCTAGGAAAGCATATAATCATCTTCCATTGTATTTTTTCTTGATTGTTTTACAGAATTTTACTTTTCATTTATAATTGATACTTTCAAATCCCTTTTCTGTTCAAAATCAATATTCAACTACTTTTTGTGCATGACACACAAATTTCTGACTTTTCACATCTTTTGAATTAGAAACACCACACACATCAACTGGGACCTTATCTGCAGGTTCAGTTGGTACAACAGATTCTACTTTCTCCATGGCAACTGGCATATTTACATCAGTAACAGGAACAAATACAATTGGATCAACTGTAACCATGACAACAGGAACAACTGAACCAAAAGCTAGTGCAACAACTGTAACCATGACAGAAGAAACAACTGAATCTGGAACCAGTGGAACAGCTGTAACCATGACAACAGGAACAACCAAACCTGTAACTAGTGGAATAACTGTTACCATGACAGAAGGAACAACTGAATCTGGAACCAGTGGAACAACTGTAACCATGACAACAGAAACAACAGAATCTGTAACTAGTGGAACAACTGTTACCATGACAACAGGAACAACTAAAATGGATGAAACTAGTGGTACAACTGTTGCCATGACAGAAGGAACAACTGAACTTGAAACAAGTGGAACAACTGTTACTTTGACAACAGGAACAACTGAACTGAAAACTAGCAGAACTGTTACCATGACAGAAGGAACAACTGAATCTGGAACCAGTGGAACATCTGTTACCATGACAGAAGGAAAAACTGAACCGAAAACTAGTGGAACAACTGAACCGGAAACTAGCGTAACTACTGTTACCATGACAGAAGGAATAACTGAACCGGAAACTAGTGAAACAACTGTTACCATGACAGAAGGAACAACTGAATCTGGAACCAGTGGAACAGCTGTTACCATGACAGCAGGAACTAATGAAACCCGTTCCATTGGAACAACTGTTCCCATGTCAATGAGAACAACTGAATATGAAACCAAGGGAGCAACTGAATCAGAATCTAGTGGAACATCTGTTATCATGACAGTAGGAACAACTGAATCTGAAACCAGTGGCACCACTGTTACTATGACAACAGAAACAACTAATGCAGGTACAGATGGAACTACAGTTACAATGACAACTCTAACTAGTACAAGTGGTACTACTGAAGTAAGGGGAACAGTGTCTACTGGAACAACTTCAGAGTTCTCTTTGAGTAGTGGTGAGTGACAACACCTACAGCAGTCAGTATGGATCCCACACAGAAATGCTTTACACTATGTAGTATCCTATCACAACACTTTCCTGTTCTTCCTTTTGATGTTGTATGTTAGATGTGCCTTTAATTCTCCTATAGATAGAATGTTACCTCCTTACAACAAATAATCATACTAATCATTCAATTTTATATGTTCAATTCATTTTTTTTGCAGTGAAGAATTTTGTCTATCAATGTTCAATTAAGAATTGATTTTTGAATTCTTGCTTAAAATTTGATAAATGTCCGGATTGGGTTGGCAGTAATGTTTGAGGAAAATACCATTTTTGTGTTGTCAATTGTTTCGAAAGTTTTCCACTCAGAGCCTTCTAACTTTCCAGAATGATTTTATATTCAGTTGCACAAGACTTTATGTAAACATTATGGTAGTTTTTAAGGATTTCTCAAATTGATTAATTACCAAATGGTTTTGCTAATTGTTGAAGGCTGTCAGTAACCAATAGTTGTTAACTTCTGTGGTGGAGAGTTGTCGCATTGGCAATAATACCACATTTTCTTATTTTGAGAATGTTTGTATGACATTGATAAAATGAATCTTACTTTGGTTACACATTTGGATAATTTTTGGAGATTTTGTCAGATTGTGAAACTTAATCAGTTTTAAAAAGAATTCTTGATGCTGACAGATTATCCGTTTGTTTAAGCTAATATGTGATGGGAGACCATAATTTTTCTTAGTTTTTGTAATTGCCTTTTGACAGTGCTTTTTGTCTGTTTGACTGTTATTCCAGTTACTGATGTTGTAAACATTTGAATGATAAGTGGAGGTATAACAAACAGTGTAAATCAGTTTCTAGTGTGAATATGAACCTTTTCTATAGACTTGCTAATTAGTCCCTATATTCCTGCTATAAATTACAAATTTTGCTGGAAGGCTTTCCCAGACAAGAATATTTTAAACCCTTAATCACTCATTTCCTTTTGTAGTTTATATTTAGCTAAAATTCATATGAAACAAGTTTCTTATGATTTTAATGTAAAGGAAATTATTGCACCAATGCATGCATGCATATGTACTAAACTAAGTCCTCTATGTATGCTTTTTACAATTATTTCAAATCTATAACGTATTATCGAATAATATTTCATTTAGTGATTGTTGATCACTTTTTTAGCTCACCTGACCTGAAAGGTCAAGTGAGCTTTTCTCATCACTTTGCGTCCGTCGTCCGTAAACTTTTACAAAAATCTTCTCCTCTGAAACCACTGGGCAAAATTTAACCAAACTTGGCCACAATCATCATTAGGGTATCTAGTTTAAAAAATGTGTCCGATGATCCCGCCAACCAAACAAGATGGCCGCCATGGCTAAATATAGAACATAGGGGTAAAATGTAGATTTTGGCTTGTATCTCTGAAACCAAAGCATTTAGAGTAAATCTGACAAGGGTAAAACTGATTATCAGGTCAAGATCTATCTGCCCTGAAATTTTCAGACAAATCTGACATTCTGTTGTTGGGTTGCTGCCCCTGAATTGGTAATTTTAAGGAAATTTTGCAGTTTTTGGTTATTATCTTGAATATTATTATAGATAGAGATAAACTGTAAACAGCAATAATGTTCAGCAAAGTAAGATCTACAAATAAGTTGTCATGACCAAAATTGTCAGTCGACCCCTTTAGGAGTAATTGCCCTTAATAGTAAATTTTTAACAATTTTTTTTAAATTTTTGTAATCTTTTACAAAAATCTTCTTCTCTGAACCTACTGAGACAAATTTAACCATACTTGGCCATAATCATTATTAGGGTATCTAGTTTAAAAAATTTGTCCGATGACCCCCGCCTTCCAACCATCATGGCCGACTAGGTTAAAAATAGAACATAGGGGTAAAATGCAGTTTTTGGTTTATATCTCTGAAACTATAGCATTTAGAGCAAATCTGACAGGTGGCAAAAATGTTCATCAGATTTAGATTTATCTGCCCTGAAATTTTCAGACAAATCCAACAACCCGTTGTTGGGTTGCTGCCCCTGAGTTAGTAATTTTACAAAAATTTTGCAGTTTTTTGTTATTATCTTAGATATCATTATAATATCTAATATCTAATACTATTAATTATGATTTTAACCTTATTTTACATGATTTCCAAAGCATCAGTAAATACAGGTGAGCGACACAGGCTCTTGAGAGCCTCTAGTTTGTGATAGTGACATTAATAAACAATCAACACAGAATCATGGAGCATGTGGAAGATAAATGAATTGATAGAGTGATGTTTTAATTAGGGTCCCGCCTAATGGCGGGTAGCCCGATAGTGATCAGTCTGTCTGTCCGTCAGTCCGTAACAAATTGTGTCTGCTCTATATCTAGAGAACCGTTATAATTTCATACTTTATACTTGACATGTATATTAACCAACACCAGAGGGTGTGTCATAATGTTTGTACAACTTCCTAGGTCAAAAACTTTGGATTCTGTTGACAACCCCATGTCCTATGATAAAGATATAAATTTTTTACCACACGTTATTTACAGCAGGGCCCACAGAGATGGCTCCCATCTCAATGATGTCTAGTTTTTTTTATATATTTTCCATTTGTTCCCATTTGTTAATTAAACTTTTCCATAACATTTGTTAAATTATTTGGTGTATTTAATTTGTTCTTTAAGAATCAATTACAACTGTTCACCTTCCAGTGAACGTTTGCTTACAATCTTTCATCATCATTTTTCCTTTTTATTTGCGCTGTGCGTTGGTTGAAGTTTGAACGAGAGGTCTTGTGGTTTAGGTCACTGCATACAAAAAATAAATCGTCGAATAAGAGTAAGGGAAGACAATAATTCAATAGCAGTACATTTATGAAGATTTTGATAAGATAAAGGATTTTCTTTTGACAAGAAAGTCGAAGTACACATGTTTTATAGTTTTTATAGTAAAACTTAACTTTTCAAGTATACAAAACATATTCAACTTTTTTTTTTCAAATTTGAAGTATCATGAGACTTTAAACCTAGAGTAGAAGAGAAATAAAATTATGAAATAGTTTTAATTTAAAATAAAAATAAATTTAACCCAATTTAATTTTGACTACTTCTGGACGATTAATTTTTAGCTATTTTCTTATTGTCCACTCTGTGTTTTCGTTGGATATATTTCTACTTGTATCCATCTGATGAGTTAAGGCTTTTTCAACTGATTTTATAGTTTGTTCTTATGTTGTACTGTTACACCGCTGTCCCAGGCTAGGGTGAAAGTTGGGCGCCCGCTACCATGTTTAACCCTGCCACATTCTGTATGTGCCTGTCCAAAGTCAGGAGCCTGTAATTCAGTGATGTCGTTTGTTTCTGTGTATCATATTTGTTTTGCGTTTATTATTTTGTACATAAATTAGGCCGTTAGTTTTCTCTTTTGAATTGTTTTACATTTGTCAATACGTGACCTTTCATAGCTGACTATGCAGTATGGGTTTTGCTCATTGTTGAAGGCCATATTGTGACCTATAGTTGTTAATTTCTATGTCATTTGGTCTCTTGTGGAGAGTTGTCTCATTGGCAATCATACCACATCTTCTTATTTTTATATTGACATATTTATAAAAATGAAGATCCAAGTTTTACATATTCACGACGATTTACATTCACATTATTTTTCTACTCCAAAAAGTTGTGAAAAAAAATTGCACTCGAAAATATCAGTTGGTTTAAACTGTTTGAAAAAAAAACAGTTTGCATATTTATTTTCTTTTTTAAATGTAGTGTTTCATCATTTGATAGAAAAAAAATGTTTGTCCTTCTTCGAAATGTACATATAGTTTATCTACATGTGTTCTTAGCATGATTAATTTTTAATTATATTTTCATTGCAGTTAATTGATTAACAGTGTGTTAACAAATTAGTTAGTATTATTGTTTGCTTATCTTAATGACTTTATAATTTTGTGTCGCTATGCTTTTGTCATTTCCATGTAGAAACTACAACAGAGCAGGATACAACTACAGATATAGGCACCACAACAGAATCAGGAACAACAACAGTGATAGGCACCACAACAGAAGGAGGAACGACAACAGAGGGAGAAACACTAACAGACGGCACAGCCACAACAACTGAGGCATCAACCCCAACTGACGGCACAGCCACAACAACTGAGGCATCAACCCCAACTGATGGCACAGCCACAACAACAGAGGCATCAACACCAACAGAAGGCATAGTAACAACAACAGAGGCAGGTACTACTTCAGAAGGTACCACAGCTGAGGATACAGCCACATCAATGACTGAGAGAACCACCACTGGTATGTCTGACACACCTGCAGCAACACGAACAGCTGCTACTACCCAGGCTGACACAACTACATTACAACCCACTGAAATAACAACTACAGGTCAGTTAATGACTGTATCAGACACATCTACAGTACAACCCACTGAAATAACAACTACAGGTCAGTTAATGACTGCATCAGACACAATTACTGGTCAGTCAACGACTGAAACAAAACCACAAACAACCACACAAGAAGACACTATAACACAAGAAACAAGCTCGGTTGAAACCTCTTCAATACGGGTTGAGTCAACTACTCAAAATATTAAGCAGACTGAAATAACATCACAAGAAGCAACTACCTCTCAAGTATTGACCTCAACAGAATCAGCCGTTCAGGAAACTACAACTAAATCTGTTGTTACAACCTCTGGTATGTGTTGCACCAAACAATCCCTTGTATGCACCGAAGAATCACATACTAATACTTGTAGATGTTTGTTTGTTTGTTTTCGTTTGTTCCTTCATTTTTCCTGAATGTTGCACATTCCCTTCACTTTTGTATTTGCTACTGTTTCTGCTTTTCCCATTTTCCCTACTTTTGCATTTTCATTCTATGATATTTAAGATTCATTAGATTTTTTACAATTCTTGTAATAAAACTAAAATTCCTGTATAATCCATAAAAGTTATGTGTTTATGGTTCACGCAAAAATGTGATAAGTTTTACCATAATCCAAAATGTTTAAATGATGTCCATCTAGGTAAAGCTAAGCTTTGTTTGATTTCTCAGATCAAGTACAGTGATCAAAGTTTTTAGCATGGTCATTAGATTTTTGATTAATTCTATATGGAAAAGTGGTTATGACAAAATGGTTTGCAAGGTTTTATTTATTTTTTATTTTTTTTTTGTCTTGAAGTTAGGAAAATTTACCTCTTTTCAGTAGATAAAAAAGTATTCTGTAAAGCAGAGTAAAGCCATCATTTGTAAGTTCTGAACTCTGGTTCATCAATGAATATCTTTAACTGACATGATCAACAACAGTATTAGCAGTACCATGCTTTTGACAAATTCATTATTTGCTAGTTATTTCATTGGAATCCAAAGCAGTAATCCCTTTTGTTGTAGGCTAACTATTTTATCATGGCATATGAAGACAATTTTCTTTTATTTGTAGATAAAAATCCTAATATGAACATATTACAACAGCTACCATTCTGTCCATATTTTTACATTCTTTTTTAATAATGTATTTCTTTGCTAAAGTTATACAGTATCTATATATATAAATATATATTTACTTTTTCACTTCAAAGTATTTATGACTGCAATTTAATGTATTGGTTAATTTATTCCTTTATCAATTTTATTATATTTTCTTAAAAAATTTCAAAACAAAATTATTCTGTAATTTTAAAAAAGATATTGGAATGTTAAAAGAAGTAAAAACCTATAACAAAAGATTCAGTGAATGTTTGAATAATTAATTTTTCTTGGAACACTTTTCCCATGAGAAGTATTTAAAATAAAAGACAACTTTTGTCTTGTGTTTTTAAAAGATTAAGCATTAAACTTAAATTTATGGCGTTAGACTTAATAGATATTAAAAGTTGTGATAGAATAAGTACAAACAACACACGTTTCTAAATTATTCATTCATGATATAGAATTAAAAACTGCAATTACATTTTTTTACTTATTTTTTCTGTTGTTGATACTACAGAATCACTGACGACAACAGAGAGTCCAACTACAACAGTTGTAGAAACAACAACCCCAGTCCTGACAACAGAGCAGACGACACAGGGATGTATAGGTTGGTATATAACTCTAAGCTGGACAAAACTAGTTTTCTCGTTTGAAATGTTTCACATTTTTCAAGTCAGGGCCTTATATAGCCAACAATACGGTATGGGTTTTTCTCATTGATGAAGGCCGTACAGTTCCCTATAATTGTTTACATCCACTTCATTTGAACTATGATGGATAGTTGTCTCATTGGCAATCATAGCACATCTCCTTATTTTTATAGTAATCAAACAATCTTTAATTCCATTTCTTTACTTCTTTTCAATCTCTTGTTGTTACAGATGCTACATAAAGTTGAAGTAAAATTTAAACCATTTCCAGATGCATAATTTTTAACACAGTAATCAGCATTATAGGTAGAAACAGTCTAAATAAATGTGATAAATTTCAATGGATCATGAATTTGTTTGCATGAAGCATTTTCAAGAAAAGTTTCAATATTTTTTTTGAGTGTATGATGTATGTCCATTACATTATTTTTGTAATGAATGAGATGAACAAATATTTGTAGTTTAAATAATAAAAATAAACCATGCGTTTTTATGTGTTATTTGTATAATGCTTTCAAAAGATAAAAATAAGATTTAAAATGGTTTGATCACCGTTTGTTTATACTAAGTAAAAAAAATGTACAGAGGACCCCATTATGTTATAAAAAACTTTGTATTTCAAAATATTTGGCTTCCTAAATCTGGACTGATAATTTAAGGGTCGAAACACCAAATCCAGTATTTTGAATGGTTGAATCTAAGTCTGAGTATTATAATCATACTTTCAAATTTATTATGACTGCAAGGCCAGATATGTTGGATATTATAATGTTTATATAAATTATAGGACAAAACAACAGTTATCCTGCGTTAACTAATAACCCAAGTCTGTCAAATTCGGTTAGCAGTGACAAATCATCTGTGATATACACATGTCAAGTCGTAACATCAACAGAAGTTGGAGCCATTCATAAAGTCAACTGGTATGTGGGAACAACACTCCTCAAAGAAACCACTGTGACTACTGGAAATGTTGTTACGTTAAATTCAAAAGATGATATGGATGCCAGTCAACGGGCCTCGGCTCTTAATGATGGGGTAAGTCTATGGATGATTGTTATTTTGGAAACATTTACTTTTTCTGAAGTTTTTGTTCACCGGATTTATTTTTAAAACTTAAAACGTGAAGTTTGATATTGAAAGGATGAATTTTTAAGCAATGTTTTGGCTATTAATTTTTTAACTCTTATCATGTACATAGACTAAATAAGCTATCACAACTAAAGAAAATCAAAATATTGTTACTTATTTTATTTTCTTAAATCAGTTCAAAGGAATAGAAAAAGATTATTAAGATTATAGTTTATGTGATTATGTTTTTTCATTAAAATATAAAGTGATATTACTCTAGAAACATTATTACTCTATTTAGGTATCTTGTGGAATGACATTAAGCAACCCTAATAGATGTGGTGATGGTATGAGTCCTGAGTTAAACTCCACTGCAGTCACACCATTCCAACAAACAGTAAGTTATGTTGTTTCATTGTGTATATCATACAAATAAAACATACTCTCAAAGACAAAACATACCATAGAATTTCTAATTTATTTTTTAGAAATATATTGTATAGAAAAAATACATTTCATTTTTTTATTCATTAACCTTTAGTTATTTACCTTAGGTTATTCAAAAGAGAAACACATAATTTTCAATTTACACCTTTAATGATAATTCTTAGTAGCCATTCCATGTTGTACCTTGAAATAATTTTTGAACACTTTTGTGTATGTTGGCAATAGAGTATGTTTGTAAGAATTAATTGATGGATTGTTTGTAGGTTGACATTCCTGACGAGATAACCTTGGTTGAAGGTGAAGCATCCACGGCGTTCCCTATCACTATTTCACAGAACTATGATCTGTACTGTACTCTTACCTATGGTAAATCATGTGATATCGAGATAGTAGCACATACAGTTGTTCCAGCCGTGAAGAAGAAATGTTTCGATGGTAATGACATTGATGCCATCGCTGTACAATCTGATTCTACAGACCCAACCACGGCAACCCCTGGTGTCAAATTCATTGGCAGTACGAAAACATATTCTCTAAAGCTTAAAGCAAGAATTGATAGAAAGAACTTCAAACTTCCATTAACAAGACAAGTGAAGATTGTACAGATTGATACGCCATCTGGTGACAGTCCAGTGGAAACGATAATTAAAACAGTTAATGTAAGTAAATTGTCTATAGAAAACATTAGTAAAAACAGTTAATGATATGGCAAATATATAATTTTCTAAATTCAAGTACATGTATTTTAAAAACTCAGTTTTCTCTCAAATTTCTTATGATTGATTTATTGATATTGATATACATGCAGGGAGCAGAAACTCTAGATAGACAGCTCATAATTTTCCATATCAAAGGTTTCCAGCTGACAACCTCCAAGAAGATTGCATGTATATCTGCCATCTTGAATGGGTAGCTGTGTTGTTTGAGTGATGGAAATGCCCTTCTTTAATTTTAGAAAAAATGCAGGATGTTAAAGTAAACACAGATTTATCCTCTATGTGTCTGAGTGATGGAAGTGCCCTTCTTTAATTTTAGAAAAAAAAGAGGATGTTAAAGTACTGTATATATGTTCTTATTTTCGCGATGTATTTATTTTCGCGAATTATTTGAATATATTAAGTCCGTTATTTATGTTTGTTATTCTTGGAAATAACACAAAATTAGATACACACGAATTTGTCGGCAATACCAAATTTGGGAATATAAGTACACACAGAAAAAAGTACATATACAGTAAACACAGATTTATCCTCTATAAGAGAATTTTGGTGTCCTTTAATAAACTCTTTGTTTGAAGATATTATAACAGATTTCTGTCCATAAAATTATATAACTGATTGTAAGCTTCATAATACTTGCAATATCATAGCATTGAGAATTGGGTTAAAACTAATACTGTCCATATTCAAAGGTTTGTCTTTTCACTATACCGTTTGCTAAAATGTTTTACCTATCTGCAGTTTTAATTAACCTCTACAAATTGATCATTTTAGCTCATTGCTGTTGTTAATATAAAGAGTTTGAAAAAATGTTGTTTTATTTGCCATGTAGGTGACCTTGAATGACACATATTCTACAGCACAATGTCAAGCTACCGGTGATCCTCATATTAAGACTTTTGATGGCACGTGAGTACCTACATATAATTAGACAGTTATAGTTATCATTGATATTGGCATATTTATAAATTCTTTGTTTATAAATCTTTGAATTGTTCAAAATACTAAGGATTTTCTACCCAAGGAATAGATTACCTTAGCTGTATTTGGCAAAACCTTTTAGAATTTAAGGTCCTCAATGCTCTTCAGCTTCTTTCTTTATTTGACCTCCAACTTTTAGCCGTAGCGGAGGGGGTATTAAGTTGTACCCTTGTCCGTCCCGTCCGTCGTGTACGTCCTCAAAATTGGTTTCCATTCTCTAACTTTAGTTTCCTCAACCAAATGTTATAAAACTTATACACAATGCTTATTACCACAAAACACAGATCAAGTTCGAAATTGGGTGGCGTCACTTTTACCATTCATGAGTTATGCCCCTTTATAAAAGTAAAAATTGCAGAATTTTTCGTTTCTGTTTTCTAACTTTAGTTTGCCTCAACCAAATGTTATGAAACTTTTACACAATGCTTATTACCACAAAATACAGATCTAGTTTGAAATAGGGTGGTGTCACTTTTACCGTTCTTGAGTTATGCCCCTTTATAAATGGAAAAATTGATAAATCTGTGGTTTCCGTTCTCTAACTTTAGTTTGCCTCAACCAAATGTTATTGAACAATGAGAGCACTGAAACATGCAAGCAATTTCTAATGACAACATGTAGAAATATATGTCATTAACTTTAAAAGAAAAGAAAATGTCAATAATTAGTACATTGACTCATGCATATTTACAAGCGGGGGCATCTGTAGCCCATAGACACATTCTCCATTTATTTGATTCAAGGGTCCCTGGTGAGTCTTTTTCAGAGGAAATGCACATTTGACGTTCAAAAGTTTAAACCTGGAATCTTTGATGAGTATTTGTTATATAAACTGTTGATAAAGAAAATCAAACAAGCCACTTAACCTATACATAATGTATACTTATAATTGTTGAATATATAATTCAGTTGTAATGAGTTATCTCCCTTATATCAGAATAATTCTCAAATTGAAGTTACTTAACATCACAAATACATTATATGAATGTATGATATGTAGGGTATATAAGTTTAATATCTTTGATCATCATTACCATCAGCAGAGACCAGATATTAAGTACTACCAACAGATTTTATGTACTAATGTTATGCACCCTGAATCTTACATGTATAACTAAGACCATGTTGTAAGCATTATACTTTAGTTGTTTGTGTGTTTATAAACTAAAGATTTGAAGTGTTATCTTGTCTTATATCTTTCCTTATTTATATTTTTACTTGATAATCAAAGATATTTTTTTCCTTGTCAGATACTATGATGCATTGTTTACTGGAGAGATGATTATGTACAGAAATAAAGATTTTCAAGTTGAGGTAAGCAATTTATTGAAGCTGACTTTCCTTGATTTTGTGCAAAATGTGCAGTTTTGTGCTGATCAAATAATCTGTTTAGAGTTACTACTGTAGGATAATTCAGGAGGCAACAGGGAAGCCACCTTTTTTTTTGTTTGGTCTGGTAGATTGTTTTGTTTGTTTTTTTTTTTTGTTTTATTTTTTTTTTGCTATTATTTTAATACAAACTATATTAAAAAATTCCCATGATATAATTTAAAAATCAATTCAGTTTTAATCTTTAACATATTATACATTTTATGAACATTACCTGCAACTTTTGTTGAAATTATCAAAAAGGGTTTTGCATCTTTCCTTGTAGGAAATATTTTAATATTTTTCTTTAATAAAGATTTTGTTACTGAAATTACATTATTAGAATATATATTAATTACATTACAATTTTCATCTTAATTTTATTGACTGACTGAAATTTTTCTTTCTTTCTAAAGGTACGAGCGTACTTTAGTCAGTGTCAACAAGGAAGCTGTATCTGTGGAGTAGCATGTCGGGCTGGTGATGATGTCTTTAAACTTGACAAATGTCCACTGGCAGGTCAAACACTTGACGCCTACCCTATTGTCAATACTGCATTCACTCGTGGTAACTCATTTACACCAATGTTCAAGGAATACCAAGAGTTAAATGGAGAGAGATTCCAGGTAATGAGACATAAAATCATTATTACTCTTTTTATTGATCTTTCTTATTGGTTAAGGTACAGTAAAAAGTTATTTGATAAAACAACATTGGCTAAGGTACAGTAAAAAACATTTTATGAAATGACAACCATCCATGCATGACCTTTTTAGGTAAAGGACTTTAATCACCCTTCATGGTTTGATTACAGATATAAATCTGTTGCCTTCATTGGCATTGTGACACATAAAACAAAAGAATCTTTAGTATATTTGTTTACTGGATGCAGATCCAATTCCACTGACTTTTAGATGATATATAGTTCCTTAGAATCAGTGCTATTTCATGGAAACTGTTATAAAATACTCTTATTTCTAATTCATGTGTTATAAATATAATTCTTATTACAAGAGAGCTAACTCTTTTACTTGTAGATACTTTTACCAACTGGAACACGAGTAACTGTGAGAAACGATCATAATGAATTCATGAATCTTTACATACAGCCTTCAGCTCAGGATAGAAACAAAACTGAAGGTACGATAATAATAGTTTTATAAATATATATTTACCTTGACCTCTATTTTCAATGTTCATAAACCATATCATATAAGTTATCGGATCAGTTATAGTCAGTAAAGTAGACAAGACCTTTGGGCATGTTTGCCTTTATGAACCTTAGATACAGTCCTGAGTTTTGGACATCAATAGGATAAAGTGTATAGTTATAGTAGTCTTATATCAGTATCTATATAGAACAGGAAGCATTATAGTAATGTTAGTAATACGGATCATAATATAACAGAAGGTTATTGACCTGCACCGGTCATCTCTTGACATAAACAGAATACATATGATAAGATAAGTGGACAAATCTATTCACATTTTTAGAAGGTACCTTAATCTGAAAACAAGAAACTAAGTCAGGTATGATGAAGTGTAATAACCATATAAAAGTGAGTTGACCTTGATGCAAATACTCACATATTTTATCAGTCATTACTCTGCCTAGAGTGACTTAATTTTATTTTTGCAGGAATGTGTGGATCCTATAGTGGAACCAAAGACCAGGATCTAGTAGATATTAACGGTGTTACTCATACTTTACCTACTGATAAAAGCCCTGATGATTTCAGCAAGAGTTGGAGGTATGATTTTAGAATTAATATGACAAAAAGGATGCATATATATATATATAGGTTCCAGATCTGTGGCGTTTAGTGTTACCCCTGTCTGTCCATTCGTCCCAAAATTGGTTTCTGTTCTTTGACTTTAGTTTGCCTCAATCAAATGTTATGAAACTTATACACAATGTTTATTACCACAAAACTTAGATCAAGTTTGAATTTTGGTTGCGTCATTTTTACCATTCTCAGGTTAAGCCCATTTATAACGTTATATGCAAGTGGGTGCATCATCTGTGTCCAATGGACACATTCTCCATTTATTTAGAATCCAAATCTATGGCAAATTTTCTAGTTTCCTAATCTATGGCAGATTGTAGTGTACAAATCAATGGCAGATTAATATGAATGCTGCACCCTTCGCAATGTTCAAAGGTTATCAAAAAGCAGGTAGTAAGTAAAAGTCAGTGTAAGAAAAAGGGATTACCGGTAGGAGTATGACAACAGGAGCATAATCCATAACCATTTGTGAACTGGACATTCCATAATGGTCAACCAAATCGTGATGACGAGCATAATATTTCCTAAGTGAGGAAGTAATATACACTGAAACAAATTTTAGGAGTGAAATGATGTTAAAATATTATTTTTGCTTGTTATTAGCAATGTCACGAAAATAAATGGAATTTGGATACATTGTCATATATGCCCCTAATAATTAACTTTACATAGGTTGATAAATGACATGGTTGAACAATCGGTTCTTACTATGACTTAATACATTGTGACATTGGAATGTACAGAAAAGTCACGAATTTGAAAGTCGCCTATAGAACTCAGATTTTATTTTCTGTCCTTGGAAGTATTTTTCATGTTCTAAATTCTTAACTAGGACATATTCTTTTTATGTAAATCTGGTATGAACATCCTATTACATATATATTTCGTTTGCAGAGTTGACCCGGCTATTTCTATATATGATGGATACCAAGGAACCGTAAACATGCCAACACCTGTTTATTGTGTAAGCTTTGATGATGGAAGCACGACCTGTGATTACTTCAAAGATATTGACCTCTGTACAGTACATAAGAATGGTAAGTACTTCTTCCTTAGAATCGTTAGCCTTGGTAACTTCACTATTCTCCTCATACCAAATTGACAAATCGACTTACAAAATCTTATATAACACTAGTCACTGGTAGTTAAATCAGTTATTGAAGTGTTTATATTAGAACTGAAAATTGGAAATCAATCCGTGAAGTAGTATTTATGAAGTGTATGATTATGTTCAGAGTGACCAATTATTTCATGCTGTTCTAAAGGTATCCTTACACCAATTGTATATGATTGTAGGTCACTTACTATGTGAGAAAAAGAAATCAAAGTTAATCTTGATGTATCAATGGGGTATATATATATATCGGTCAGAGTGACTGACTTTTCAGGAATCAATCTGTGTAAGAAATGTTTGGGTCAGAACCTTTGAATGCCTTGAAGGATGTGCATGCTACTTGACCAATATTATTGTTGCTCATTACAAGAGGGTGTGTCGTGAATAAGGTTGGAATGTCTGCCTACTAGGTATAAAGCTCTTTACTTCCCAAATTTCAAATTTACAATGTCATTTCCTTCACAGATCTATTGAATGCCTCTGATGTCTAATATAATTGTTGACCACAACAAGGGGGAATGAACATGGTTGAAATGTCTGTCTGCAAAGTCAAGGATATTTCTTTGTATACTGTGTACATATAAAAATAAAAAAAGATGTGGTATGATTGCCAATGAGACAACTGTCCACCAGAGACTGTGTACATATAAAAATAAAAAAAGATGTGGTATGATTGCCAATGAGACAACTGTCCACCAGAGACCAAATGACATAGAAGCTAACAACTATAGGTCACCATACGGCATTCAACAATGAGTAAAACCCAAACCGTGCATTCATTTATTTTCATGGGTACCATTTTTCGTGGATTAAGGAAAACTTGCATTTTTATGGATATTTGATTTCGTGGTTTTGCCCAAGTCTGCATACATTCCTGTAGAAAATTTGTAATTTGTAGAACATTTAAATTTGTGGTACCCAGGAAATCCACAAAAATTGGTATCCAACGAATAATAATGAATCCAAAGTATTAAGTATGAGCTGCATTTAAAGTCAGATCGAATATAGTTCACTGAAACATAGGTCATTGTAAAATACTTTTTATTGGATTCTCCTTGTATTCTCCCATGTACATATTTAAACCAAGTTTTTTCATCTCCCATTAATATATATAGATGCATATTTTCTTTTTCTAAAACACCCTTAATTTTGTTTAACAAGTTATCTTCTTCATGGTCTGTAAAAAAAGAAAGAAAAAAAAAGAAAAAAAAAAAGTAAAATGACTGTAAAGAAAAAAACATGACAAAACAAAAAGAATATATTATGGTAATTGATGTATTTCTTCATTAATTAAGGTGTCGATAAAACCCAGGATCTACTAGAAGAAGAACAAGACAGAATTGTGGAGCAGCAAGCTACTGTTTTAAGGAGGAGGAAGAGAGATACGACTTCAAATACATTTACTTATGATCCTGACTTTAACAATGTTCCAGTAAGTGTTTTTACTTTAATGGATAGTCTGAGATTTCTTGATCATTGGATTTTTTGTTACTGTTATCTTTTATTTTCTACCAAAAATGTTGAGGTCATAAAATTCAAGAGATCAGCATGATTGCCATTGAGACAACTTTTCACCAAAGACTTAACTTATCGGTTTGCTTTATGTGATTGTTTGTGTTTTATAGAATAGATTTGATTCAGTTTGGACAACAAGTTTCAAACTGGTGTTCATACCAAGCCAGAGACAATACTTTTTAATGAAGGAAAAACTGACACATTGGAATTTTAGAATAATTATAAGCAGGATTCTCAATTACACCTATACTGTGGATTCTTTCATTACCACATATAACAGCTTTCATGGTTTGGTTAAAAGTTACAATTTCATTTGCAGACCTTTTAAAAACAAATGCAGCTTGCATTCTAGAGGAACAAAAAGTGACCTTTTCTTTTATAATGATGTCTGTCAGAGAACAATTATTTTTCAGTATGCATGTATTTTAAGTTAAAAACTCAAGTTTGTGGTTAAAATGGTTGGTGGGTTTGGTGATAAACAAATCCATAAAAATTAGTGTTGATCAACTTTCAATAGTTCCATGGTGTAACATTTTAGGCATAATTTTTGGCTTCCAAGTAATCTTTTTACACTTTCTATAATCAGTGGTACTCATTATTGACTTGATTTTGATGTATATCGATGGTAGAAAAGTAAAATTTACCCGGATTTTTTTCAAATCAGCACAAAAAAGGTTCAAAATGCCTTTTTATATATTTTATTTTAATATAGAACCAATTATTTTGACATCAATTTTATAGTTTAAACATAAAGGCTATAATTTACATTTTAATTTTGTTGAACTATACAGTAATTCTCCTTGTAACATTATCATGTGTGTTAAGATCATGAGTTAATTTATGACCGTAAAAATAATAACATAATGAAATTTTCACGTCGCAGAATTTTTCTACGGGACCATCGCAAGAAATTTTAGCGGAATGAAATAAACAAATAAATTGTGGAATTTTTAACACTGAGTTACCAAAAATACAAACATTTACAGATATTGACACAAAGCTTGCAACGATTATAAGCTCTTAAGTGATGTTTATTATAACAAATAATGATTTTGAAGGAAAACATTTATGAAGGTTAAACAAGTATACTTTTACAAGTCATTACTCTTTTTTTAATAGTCTAATTTCATGTAGAATTAATTTAGGGATATTTGACATATCTGTATTATTCATCAAAATTCTTTTTTAATAACTTAATATTGTTCAGAATTTTAGATATATATATATATTAATATTAAGAGTCTATCCTGAATTGATGTAAATTATATGGCCTTCCAAATACTGTTTCGATCCCTAACATCACTTAAGAGACATTAATTGTCGAAATCCAGATATGGTGTACAAATTATTTGCACTTTATTTTTTGCGCTATACCATCTTTTTGCAAGTTTATTGTTTTCTGTTTGGTATAAAAATTAATAATTAAGATCCATGTAACATCTGGTGATCAATCTATTTGGCAATCGCCAATGGCAGTCAGCAGGGTTTAAGAACGTCCGTTGTTTGACCTGTTAGTCAAATGCGTTTTGTTAAAATATACTTTTCACTTTTTGGTCTTTTGGAAAATGTTGTTTGTGCTGTATTTAGACCCCTCTACCAAGAAATTTGTTTTACATGCATACGCATAAAAATTGCGGTTTTTATCCAACGCAATCATAGGTTTGAACGTTATTTTCAATTTAGACTTGTTTATAAATATATATATATATATATATATGTATATCTGTATTGTTATTTAAGATTTCTTTACTTTTTTTTTACAACAGATTGTTATTACTTGGCCTACAAGTTCTGGCATTACTGAGTCTCAAGCAAGAACATACTGTCAGGGAGCTGTTCAGTCTTCAGCAGGAACTAACTGTGCTAATATTGTTGGAAATACCACACCAGATGTTGAGTCATGTGTTAATGATGTTGCGGTTAGTGTATATACAGAAAAATGAGTATTTCATTTTATCAAAATATATTGGTTTGTTGTCAAGGTAACTTCTGATGGACACATTTAAGTGTATGAAAATATTAAAATTAACAAAACTGTTCGCTTCACTTTAAGCTGTGTTATGACACTACCTAGGGTCAGTTACAAAAGCTTAATGTCACACCTGATACATATATTGTGCCTAGGCCACATCTTTACAGCCTGCTATTGTATTTTGTATATAGATCCAAGTCATACTAACAGCAGTTGACCATTGCCTAAAGGATTTAATAAAACATGTCAAACTCCGATAATGTGTAATTCTAATGCAATTATTTTGTATCAATGGTTCTGATTGGATGACAGTAAGCGTACAATTCTCTATCTCCTTGTCTGTAACTAAGGAAGCCGACATTTTGAATTGCAGAATGTATTGACATGTAATTTCTACAATAATAAGCAAAAAACTCACATGTTGCACCTTTTACATTCTGAAGCGGTCAAGAAGCCAGAAATGCCCGGTGTTTACGTTTGATGCCAGAAGCATACCTATGATGTCACCTAGTTTAGGGGCCAAAGAAGATAACATCTTTTCGCGGAATTTTCTTTAATGAAAATTTTACACTGAAATAATGATTGAAATTGAATTATGTACTTGTTTTGCATTTGAATAGAGATAACTGTGTAGTATTTGAAGCTTTGCGGATGTCCATCGGTAGTTTTACTGTCGCAAATACCCATTTACCTGTCTCCGCTATGCGCCGCCAGGTAAACCAAATTGCCACAGTAAAACTACCGATGGACGTCCGCAAAGCTTCAAATACAATACAGTTATCTCTTAAATGATATTTGATACTGAATTTCATAAATGAATATGAAAATAAGAAGAAATGGTATGATTGCCTCTAAGACAGCTTTCCACCAGAGACCAAATAGCATAGCTGTAAGCAACATTAAGTCACTGTATGTCCTTCAACAATGAGCAAAACCCATACTGAATGCTATAAAAGGCCCCAGGATGACAAAATATGAAACAATTCAAATAAAAAAACCTGATTTATATTCAAAACAATAAATGGAAAAAAAATAATAAACAGCAATCAAAGACAACCACTGAATTACCTGCAACTGACTTGGGAAAGGCACATACAAAATGGTGAGCTAAACATGTGAACACTCAAGCCTACCCATAACACGGGGAAGTGGTGTAACAGCACAACATAAGAACAAACTGTAAAAGTCAGTTGAAAAAGGCTTGACTAATCAGATGAACACAAATAACAAAAACATCTTAATAAAAGACTTGACAAAAACAACTTGTACCATGGTCAATGTGGTCAGTTGATACATGTCAAAGTTTGTGATTAGGTCTATTTAAGGGGAACCACTGAAGTAATTAATTTCTAACAAAATATTATATTATTTATTATGTATTTTATATGATTTTAGTTAACAGATAGTATGGTCTGGGTTGATGCTGTTATCCAGAGTATACAGGAACAGTGTTATACAACAGTGACCACTGATGAGAACCAATGGTTGGATACAGGCTCAGGAACACCAACTATACCAACAAACATTGATGATAATATCTGTCTGAATGACTGTAATAATGCAGGAACATGTTCTCAGGGTAAGTGTAACAAGGTGTTACTCAGGTGTAAGTGTAACAAGGTGTTACTCAGGTGTAAGTGTAACAAGGTGTTACTCAGGTGTAAGTGTTATCAGATACCACCATGAAGTAAGTGTAACAAGGTGTTACTCAAGTGTAAGTGTTATCAGATACCACCATGAAGTAAGTGTAAACAATTCTACCCTTCAGTAAGCATTACCAGGTGCTACCCAGGTGTGAGAGTTACCAGGTGTCATTGGGGTACAAGAGTGTCCAGGTGCTTCCCACATGTGATTGTCATCTGTTGCTAACCAGGTATGAGTGTTTACAAGTGCTACTTAGGTATGAGCAAGGTCTGGAACCTATCATATTTCCGAAGGCCAATGATCAGAATTGAATTTGGAATTTAGGTCATAAAAAAAAATGATCAGAATTGAATTTGGAATTTAGGTCATAATAAAAAAAATGGTCAGAAATAACTTGGGTTATTTTATTGAGGTCAAGTTTTTTTAATAGCAATTTTTTGTTCACAAATGTAAAAAATGTTATAATGTAATTTTGGTTTAATATATATTTGTTTGTTAGTTAGACTTTTCAAGTATCAAAGTTTGTCTGAATGACTGTAGTTGTTTGGTTGAATTGATACTCACACATTTTCTCAAAGTCTTCATCTGAGCTGTGCCTGGTACAAATTATAAAAATGGGAATTTTTCCATACATATTTTTTATTTCCCTGTAATTCTATCACACAAAAAAAAGAATTAGTATGTTTTTATGAAAGAGTTTATACATACATGTGACAGAGATGTCAAGTCACAACTGGAGATTTGAAAATTATCAGCTGGAGTTTGGGCTTCATAACTGGAGAGGGGCCTCTGTGGCCGAGTGGTCTAAGAAGTTACTACTGTAATCACTAGCCAGTCAACACTGAGGTTGGATTTTGGGTACAGTTGTGCAGCTGGGATTTGAAAAAACACCCCCCATTCATATATTGAATAATTGTGAAATCCCTACCTATACATATATTTCACAGCAAAATCATAACCCATTGATATATTTATCAGCTCAAAACTTGTGTCAATAAGTTTCAGCAGGTGTGGAAATTTGAATAACAAAGAGTTTGGGAAATTCAGTGAAGATCGTTGTACAACAAACTGAAAAATTATGACCCATTGATATATCACAATTGGTCAATTACTACCTATTGATATATTTCCTCGGTAAAATTGCACCCCATTGATATATTTGACGTATCAAGAAAGGGGGGGCCTCGGTGGCCGAGTGGTCTAAGTAGTTATTACTGTAATCACTAGCCAGTCAACACTGAGGTTGTGAGTTCGAACCCCGCTCGTGCGGGTGCACTCGACTCCAATCTTAATTGACTAGGATTGTCAGTTTTCCTATCGAAGGTGGGTGGTTTTCTCCGGGCACTCCGGCTTCCTCCACCAATAAAAACTGGCCGCCACGAAATAGCCCAAAAGCGGTGTTTAAAAGTGGCATTAAAACACCAAAAATCAAAAATCAAAATCAAGAAAGGGACCCATTCCAGCGGCACATATGTATATACCTTCATATAGGAAGAGACCCCCCGTGGTTCGAACCCACGCTTGTGCGGGTGCACTCGACTCCAATCTTGATTGACTAGGATTGTCAGTTTTCCTATCGAAGGTCGGTGGTTTTCTCTAGGCACTCCGGCTTCCTCCACCAATAAAAACTGGCCGCCACGAAATAGCCCAAAAGCGGTGTTTAAAAGTGGCATTAAAACACCAAAAATCAAAAATCAAAATCAAGAAAGGGACCCATTCCAGCGGCACATATGTATATACCTTCATATAGGAAGAGACCCCCCGTGGTTCGAACCCACGCTTGTGCGGGTGCACTCGACTCCAATCTTGATTGACTAGGATTGTCAGTTTTCCTATCGAAGGTCGGTGGTTTTCTCTAGGCACTCCGGCTTCCTCCACCAATAAAAACTGGCTGCCATGAAATAGCCCAAAAGCGGTGCTGAAAAGTGGCATCAAAACACCAAAAATCAAATCAAATCAAATCATAACTGGAGATTTTTTATCGACATTTTAATCGATGTTTTCATTGTTCATTCTGATGATAAAGCTACATATTTCCCTTTTTTTAGATGACAGTATTACTATTAATGTATTCTCTCAACAAGATAAATGTTGATCTCAATTTTGTCTTTGTCATGTTAAAAATTGCTTTGCACTCCTTTTATCATACTGAAGAAGAAACTAGTTTTCCAGCATCTATTCATAAATCAGTAATAGAAATTTAATAAATAAACAACAAGATGATTTATGTGCACTTGGTAAATTTCACTATTTTGTTACCTAGTGAAATATTTTATAACACATACTATTCTTCTCATTTTTCTTGGAGTGTTTCTTAGTTTATTTATTGGTTAATGTTTCATTATTCTCAATAGCTTGAAATGAAATAGCCAGATTCAGCATCATCAAACAATTTGAAGTAAGGAAATGTCTCAATTTCAATATAAGCATTGAAATATTATTTTCTAATTTGTCCTAAGAAATTTAAAATCATCAATTGTCCTAAGAAATTTAAAATCATCAATTGTCCTAAGAAATTTAAAATCATTAAATTACCATCCTTATATGATTCTTTGTTCAATTTGTATTTCATTTATATTTTTTTACAAATTTACATTATTTTAAGGGGAGTAACTTAAACCATGGTAAAACAAGGGAAGTAACTCAAAATTTATATCAAGTGTGTTTAAATACACAGAGAATTTATTACATAATAGCAGTTAGCCTGAGGTAAAAGAAGTTCATTATTAGTATGTTTGACAACGTAGCTGTCAATTGAAGCCATATAATTATACAAGTTCTTTGATTTATAGGTAAAAATTACCTTCATCAGTGGCACTAAAACGTTTTTCGGGTTGACATCAATGGTAATAAAAAAATGGAGACTGACAAGTTTTTGGGGTTTGAAATTTAGAAAATAAAACCTGGAAGATCTGAAGTACTAATGGGAGGGATGGAAGAAGGCTTAAAAATCAGGAGTTTTTGACTCCCGGCGGAAGAATCACATGTCTGTTTATAGCATATTGTAGATGTATTTTAACCAATCTGAATTTATTAAGTATAATGTCAGTGAATGCACACTACCATATAGTGGGTTATTTTCGCGGGGTGTTTATTTTCGCTTATTTTGGCGGATAAACGAAAATCGCGAAAATAAATTCCGCGAAAATTTATGCATACGTTGGGTAGTTTCGAAGTTGACATGGTTAAAGGATTTTGTAAATGACCTATTTTTTCTTGTCAGCAGGTCAATAACGGTATATGTTAGTTTTAACAAGATAAATGTCAAAGGGCATTGTACATAAATGTATTTTATAAAATCACTGTCAGGTGTGTATACCCTTATTAGTAAGTGTCAATTAGAATAAGAGTGTAAGGTACTCTTATCAGGTAATTACCCTTATTAATTAGTGTCAAACTATATAAGAGTTGTAAACACTCATGATAATTTTGTAACCTAATTAGTAAGTACATCAAAGGTCCGGTCAATTTCGTAACTAATCAATCGTAAAATTTACAATACGTTTGAATACCTGTAACAAATATCTAAGTTAGCGGTATTCTAATGATTAACTGTATCAGAATCTAATCAATAAATAAGAGGTCATTCCGGTAAAAAAAAATCAATAAACCATAACAATAGACACTTGTTTGTCAAGTTTTAAAACTTTTTAACTGCAACAATTTCAGTATCCACCAAAATATTTAATTGGGATTTAAGAATCCACCAAAATAAAAACCTCCAAAATTTTTCGTATACTTAGTTGCCCTTTAATCGTGAAATTTTACACCCGCGAAAATAACCCGCTATACGGTATGTACAAAAACCATTTTAACCATATAATGTAATCAAACATAATTGTCTGTTGTGAGGTACCATAAAATGAAAACATAAGTAATGATTATGTCACGAAAACAATAGTCACTAGAACAAAGATTGTCTAAAAGTCTAAATTATATCTTGTTAAGGATGTACTAAGGTGAGGTTTTGGAATAAGTTTCAAATGATCGGACTCCTTTATGTTTTTCCATACGATACAAGGTAAAATATTTTGCCCCATAACACCTATTTATATTTTAACATAAGACTTAATAGCTCATAAAAGGTCATTTGACAAAATTTAAGCAGATTCCTGATTTTCTCTTTTTTGATTTGAGACCCAAATAATACCAATGCAAACATAAGGTAAAAATCCGGATCAGCCTTTTCCCGACATATTATATGAATCAAATATCTCGAAAAGGAGCTCCATGACCTATCAATATTTTTAGCTTATTTTTATCCTTAACTAATACTCTTCCAGCTTAAAGTATCAATTTTGAATTCTTGATTTATTTAATTTTACCTTAGATCACCTAAGTACATCCTTAAGGAAGATTTAGATGGATGATGCAAACTTACTAAGGCCGGTTTACAAGGAGAGAGTAGTTATTGATATAAATGATTGACACACTTCAGGTAAATGTGATTGATTGATTGTTAGTGTTAAATGTCACTTCAGCATTATTAGGTATCTCGTGGCACCTGGTTTTTATTGGTTGAGGAAGCCAGAGAACCATGACACTGGGCAGGAAAATGGCAATCCTAAGTCAATAAAGATTGTAGTCGTAAGCACCTGCCACGTGCGGGGTTCGAACTCACAATCTCAGTGTTGACAGGCTAGTGATTGCTGTCGATTGTAGTCGTAAGCACCTGCCACGTGCGGGGTTCGAACTCACAATCTCAGTGTTGACAGGCTAGTGATTGCTGTCGATTGTAGTTGTAAGCACCTGCCACGTGCGGGGTTCGAACTCGCAATCTCAGTGTTGACAGGCTACTGATTGCTGTATCAGATGAATGTAGTTGTAAACATAACAGATTTGAACCAGACTTATATATGAATTATTGATATATTTCAGGTGAATGTAATTGTAACGCTAACAGATTTGGACCAGACTGCAGTGTGAAAAATACAGACAAACCAATAGTCCTAGCATCATATAGTAATAATGTGTGTGATCTGTCTAAACTCAACTGTACACAGATACAAGTCTATGGGGCCAAATTTATCAATGGTACAGACTTAACATGTCATCTCACAGAAGTTACAGTAAGCAAAAATTACGGTTTCCTCTTGTGTAATTTTTGAGTTGTTGGGTTACTGTCTCATTGAGGTTTACCCGAAATCTATTAACCTTTAGGTATCCTTGGGTTGCTGTCTCACATATGTACATCCCACACCTACTGTTTTCATATATATCATTTATATATCCTCTAGAAATGTTTTAATATACAGTACATTTTAGCAAGGTTAAGTACTTTATAATATTTCAGATGTTCTTGTCTAAAACATGATTATTTTACTCTAAATTCATGAATTTTTGTGATGATTTTATTATAGCGAAAAATTTTGACAACTTTTCAGTCACAAAAAGAATAACTTACAATCTAAAGGAGTAAGTTCAGTTCCATATTTGGCCAAATATTAAGCCCATTGCTTCCAGATAAATATGTTTCAAGTTGATATGTAAGAAAATGAATTAAATTTTTTTTGTCAAACTTTTATATGTGTTGACATTCAAAACCCATATTGGCCAAAATAGAGATTTTAATGAAATTTTACAAAATCTTCTGGATTTAAAAAAAAAAAAACAACATAAGTAACATAAAGCACAGGCATTGACAAACTAAATATTCAAGTCAGATATGTAAGTTGTAACAAACATAATGTTTAAAGATCATTTTTGTGCACCTATATGCAGTATGATATATATTGATAGGTATGCACCTTTCCTATAGGTAAACCTTTCATATTGAAGGATCAAGTTTTAAGGTTTAATCTGGATCTTATTATTAAAACTATTTTAGGTTGGAACTAATGGAATAACAAGCACATTAGCAACAGAGAAAGTGAAAGCTATATACAAAAGTATAGCACATGTGGTATGTCCAAATCCTAACAAGAAAACTGTGACTGTGGCTCTCAGTAATGATGGTACTAACCCAAGTGGCCAGCAGTCCATTTATGTGGCCTATACATCAAGTTGTTACACATGTACAGAAGATGCTACCACTGCTATAGCCACATGTACTACAAATGTAAGTAATGCAACACATGTGTTATACAATTAAAAGTTTAATCATTACATAATCAGTGACTCCATGAAGAAGTGATGGTAGCACTTTTTTATGTTAAAAGTTATATCTGTACAATAAATTAAAACAACATTGTAGATTTAAAGCATTGATGTTATATTTTTTACACATTGGAACTATTTTTCAAGTGTTGGTAAATGATTTTATACATGGCTCAGCATGTTGGTTTTAGATAAATCAATATATGGTTAAATTATCTAGCTAAATAAAGCAGTTTTGAGGTGTTGTGATTATTAGCTAATTCACTATGAAGTTGTGTAATTGGTAGCTTAAACCATTGCCAACAGCACCATAATGGACCTTGTGGATGAGGGGAGGAGTGTTATAACAAGACAGACTGAAAAATGTGGGAGACAATTTCTCATTCCGTCTACTAATTAATGAGTTACAATATTTCTCCACTCTTGATAATTGCATTTTTTATATTGGATTTTTTAATTTAATTATCTTGTTTTGTGAAATATATTAACTCATTCTCAATAGAGGGAGAACTATATATAAATTACATATACAGACAAATGAAATATTAGAAATCCTTTTTTGTGGTACATTTTATTTTGATGCAAGCTTATCTATAAATTGACAATATGACCAGAATTATGAATGTAATATATATTTGTAGCTGGCTAGTTCCTGTTTGATTGGGTCTGTATGTTACCTTAAAGATACCAAATCTCCTAATGATCCTTGTATGGCCTGTAGACCCAGTATAGCAACAGATAGCTGGTCCAAAGTTACAGGTACTTGTACTATTTTGATACCCTTATATACACCTTTTAACTCAAATTTCAAAATTAATTATGTGATTGTTATTTGTTGCATTTTAGTTAGTATTGATTTTATTTTGAAAAGATCCTTACTTCCCCAAATCATCTTTGAAATAATCTGCAAACATGAATAATGGTTTATTGCCAGTATTTAAAGTTTTCAACGTTCAAATTAGAAATATACACACTGAAAGATAAAAACAATGTCTACAGTCAACAATTACTTATTTCCAATTGTTTTATAGGTTCTGGCTGTGAAGATAAACCACCAAATGAAGATGGTTCAGAAATGAATGCTGTGACAATTATTGCAGTATCTGTCACCATAGCAGTTCTTATACTTATAGGAATTATAGTGGCTGGTATCTGTGTATATCGTAGGTAAGTCAGCATAGCAGATGTTATACCTATAGGAATTATAATGTGATAATATTGATCTGTCCAAGTTAAACACGGTACTGTGGATTTATTTATTTTCGTGGATACCAATTTTGTGTATTGAGGACAACTTGTGTTTTTGTGGCTATTTGAAAGCGTGGATTTGCTGAAGTCTGCATAAAAGCTTTTAGAAATTTGTGCTTCGTTAAACATTTTAATAGATTGTAGACCTATACCAACAAAATCCACGAAAAATTGGTATATCACGAAAAATAATGAAACTGCAGTATATGAAACCTAAACAGAATAACATCTGTTTTGGGCAAAGTCCATATGATATGGCTTTTTCAATATCAATGTATCAAACTTAGATGCCAATAACAGGTATCATACTGATACTGAACACACAGTGAGATAACTTCATGGAAATTTGCAAATAGAAATATTACATTTTTAAATTGGTGCTAGGTCAACTGAAAAGCTCAGGATCACACATCATATATTAAATATCGAAATAGATAATTAGTTAATACATTTTTACCAAGAATATATTTGATTGGAAGTAATGTATTCTGTGTTTTATTTTCCAGGACCAGATTAAGAAAAGAAAAACTTGAAAGTGCTGGAAATTCTGAAATAGAATACAGATCTAAAAATCCAAATGCAATGGTGCCATATTTTCCTCCCGGTCAGGAATGGACTTATGCCTATGATCATCCGACAAACTCTAGTGTATATCGACCACAAAGAATAGCTTTCTATGATAATAGAGCAGCATTAGATGATTATTTTGAAGACTAAACTGTTTATACATGTCTTCCTTACATTACATGAGACTACCCTTTATTAAACTTTTAATGTTATTGAATGCTCAAAATATACAATCATAGAAAGATTCATTAAATAAGCTTATACAAGTCTTTATTTTTTATTACTAAAATGAATTGGTGCAATCCTAATGTTTCATATATTTGGATGAATATTAGGGCATTTGTTTTTAATGTAGAAATTTTAGCAATATGTTTGTCGGTAAAAATATTGTGAATATAGCTTGAATTTATGAAGTTATTATTTTTTAAATTTTTACTCTTTTTAGAATTATATGTTTATACAAGATGCATTTTATATACATTTTGTCAGATGAAGATATCGTTTAAAAAGTCATTCCATAAGTTGGTTTTGTTTTGAAATATATATATATATTTATAAATGTTCAGCCTCTTTTATTCTACAGTGTAACCCATATCATCTTGAAAGTTTTTTCTCTATGAAATTATATGTACTTTCAATAAATAAGGATAAAGAAATTTGCCTGTACATTCAAGTTTCATCAACTGAAAAAGATTTGTTAAATAGCATAATACTACATATCTCTATATGACATGTCCTCACAATTGAAATAGTCTGTCAGTTTTATGGTCCTTTCAATGGAAGGTATATGTGTTAGATGATGCCTAAGCAAACAGAAGCATATTTATAAGTTTGAATGTCCCTTTGGTATCTTTTGCCTCTCTTTTATGTGAAGTCCAAATAAAATATCTAGAAGAAGGTTACAATAAATGTCTCAATTTCCTTATTTTCAAATCATCAAATATTTCATATTGTACTGATGGTAAATTGTTATCAAAACAAACAGCATTCCATTTCTTAACATTTTTTACTTTTGTACTAGTTTAAAATTTAAGGTTACTCTTAGTTTCAAAATACCAAAATCATTGAAGTAGGGACAATAAATAAATTTTTGGAAACATACTTTCAACAAGTATCAGATTAAATGGTCAGTATTTATGTAAATAGAAAGATATATATGAATATAAAGCATAGAAATTTTGGAATGTTCAAAATGAATAATTAAGTACCTTAGGTACTGTGTTAATGCCATATTTACTTCTGTTTCTACCTGTATGTATTTTTAGACAAAATAATTACTTTAGCATTTTACATTTATTTTGGGCATTTTAACCACTATGAAATTTTTATATCATTTGCTATCTCCAAATATCACAATAATTTGATCTTCTATTTTGTATGGTTACTTTGGTAAATTACTCTCAGACACATTCAAGTATGTTGGTTTATCATAAAAACATTCACATTTAGAAACTACATCAACAAATTATTGTATATTTGGTTCCATTTAAGTTATGTTACAAATATTCCTTTAAAATTGTAAAAAAGCTATCACTTTATTCACAAACAAAAATGCATTTTAATTTTATGAGTTCAAAAATTCACCACAACTTAAATAAGATCCCATAGACACACCATGTCTTTAAACAGAGTTTAAACAGGAAAACTGACGATAAGTGTGCTGAAAAAAACATGTTTCATAATCATAAACATTCTAATGTTTATTTTTGTGACACTGTATTGTACAAATGAAGTTGTAAAAATCAATTTTCTGTAATTGAATAATACAATTATTCACAACACAATTTTTTAGATAAGGAAAGTAGCCTTATTTGTCAGATACAGAAGTTGTTGGTAAAATATATAAATGTCAAGAATTGCTCAACACAAGGGATAATTAACCTTTATGTTTTTGTTATTCGTATTATACTGTTCCAAAGTTGTTTATATAATGTAATTTAAAATTTTATAATAAAACATATTTTTGCAATAATATGTTTGTTTTTTTAACAAGTTGTAATAAAAAAAGGAGAAAGACACAAAACACAACATAGAAAACTAAAGACTGAGCAACATTAACCCCACCAAAACCAGGGGTGATCTTAGGTGTTTCAAGAGGGTAAGCAAATCCTGCTCCACATATGGCACCCATCAAGTTGCTCATGTAAGAACAAACCTGGTAGATCATATTCAAGGAAAAAAGATCTGTTTTGTGGATTGTGGTTACAACAATTTGGAACATATGTTATCATCTGAGAACATATATTCCATAACGGTCAACTAACTTGTGATGGCTTCCGTAAAATTTTCGAAGTGATGATTTCACCTCACCACTTGGAACTCTCAGATAAAGGTCTGTTTTCATTTGGAAATTTTGTTAAGAAAACATGATTCAATCCTGACATTAATCTTTTTGCTAAGTCAGGATACAATGCTTAAATAACTTTATTTTTAAAATTCACGTGAAATTGATTCACATGAATTTAAATTCTCATGAAATTCATGTGAGAGAAATTTCCCTGTGTAAGGGGTTTTGGCGGCCTGGTGGTATAAGTAGGTCATCTGCACTAATCACTAACCTGTCAACACTGAGATTGTGAGTTCAAAATCCGCATCAGCAAGGCTTGTTTGACTATGATCTTAATTGAATAGGACTGCCACTTTTCGTGCTGAAGGTTGGTGTTTCCCTCTCTGGGTACTCTGGCTTCCTCTAACAATAAAAACTGGTCGCCATGATATAGCTAAGTGTGCTGAAGTGACATTAAAATAATCAATCAATTATACTTCACTAGTAAAGTTGGAATCCCGTACGTGGTAGGTGTGTTCGAGTCTTAATTGACTAGGAGTGTCAGGTTTCCCGCCGATAGTCGGTTGTTCTCTCTGGGCACTCTGGCTTCCTCCACCAATAAAAACTAACCGCCACGAAATAGCACAATAGTGCTGAATGTGTCGTTTAACACCAATCAATCCATCAATCAATCTTTCTAGATAAGGTCCAGCATATACATGTCATATCAACATGATTTTGTATGGTGATTTGTTTTGAGGTATATATATCTGCCTGATATTTGTCAGTTTTAAGTTTTAGACATGGTCTATATCTCTAAAAAATGTTTTTTTTGTTAGGTGGATAATATATTTATGTGAATTCATTAGATGTACATGATTATGTGCTTACATATTTCATTTGGGCACCAATAGTTACTTAAAATAATACTTTTTTTCAAAACAATTTCATATTTTGTATGACATTAATGTTTCTCATAGGTACTGTCAACCCAGTGACCTGTACTTAGTACTCGCATGATTAACATGATACATTTGATTGTTAAATACGAGTTTATAAACTATTTAGTTATACTTAAACTAAGGTTTTAACAGATTCGTACAGAGTTTACATTCGCCAATTTAATGCTATGTTGTTTAGTTCGTTATTTGTTTTTGGTCCTCTAAAATGTTTTCTCTACTTGTGTATCTCTCTCTCCTATGTCTCTCTTTGTCTTTTAAGCTTTTTGTTTCCAGCATATCCGAGGAATGATGAAGGTTATTCCAGAAACGTGTTGTGCAGATGGAAAGCAGTAACACATATATCTAATAAAGTTAGTATGACGTTCAGGGCTAAATGTCACGAAAGACTAAAGCAGAATTGCACTCGTTTAGTTAGATTTGTTCAAAACTACAACCATATACTATGTATATATTAGAGAGCAAAACAAAATTAATTGAATATCTGCTTGTAGTTTTGAACATATCTACTTATCTTTATACATGTTTGCTTTGCAAATGATAATTTCATGAAAAAGTAGATGTAATATTTATCTACCTGTACAAAACATTTTAAATACAAAAAAATTAAAAGTGAAATTTCACATCTAGCTTTTCGTGAAATTATTAGTTCCGCTTCCAAAAATTTTTTTTCCATAAGGGCAATGAATGGCATGGAAAATTAAACCATACAGCACACATAGAATTTCATAAAGTTAGATATTTTTTTTTGTAACTTGTGTCTGTTTCCAAGACATCTTCGATATGTAGATTGAATTTTATGTGCCTCTTCAGGTTAAGAGGTTCGATTGACTGCATATTTAAAAACTAATTTAGGTTCTCTCAAAATTTGAAATTGTAAAAGCTAATAGTTCGATTTTATTTCGCCCTATCACAGTTATTGCGCCTGCTAGGTACGAAATTTATTTTTTAAATTCTTATGTGCGTTTTTTAAAAGATTGTTCAGATTCTTGTTATATAACATAAGTATGAGGACATTTGCTCATAATCCATTTCCATGATTCCTCTATTTTGACTTATTTTAAGAAACACCACGGACAGCCTCATATAAGTTGTAGCTTTCATATGCAATGTATCTATTACGACAGGGAGATTACAATGTAATATATGGATTTCAATGTAAAACAATTTATGCAGATATTCACTAATTATACTCTTTATATCACTATTTTAATTTTGTTGAAAAATTCGTGTGTTTTCTTTGTTCCTAAGGACTAAGTATATACACGTGTCAAGTACTAATAGTTATTGACACTTCTTAACCACACAAGTACTGCTTACACCTTCCATAAAATCATCCAATTTGATGGCGATTTAACATTCGTTAAAACATATCTCATCTTGTTGACGGGAAAGAGAAATAGTTATTTATTTTGGTAATGATGAAAAATCTATAATGCAGTAGACTTATTCAATTTTGTTAACTTGAACGTTATTATCGGGAAATTCAGCTACCATTAAAATATTTCTTTCTTTATCAATGTCAATCGCCCAAACGTTTGATTTACCTATCAATGTCCTACTCTGTGTTCCATCATGTGACATAACCACAATGCTTTTATTGCCCTGTGATGCCACGTAAACGTTTGAGTATTTATCAACTGACACACTATATGGTGAACGGATAACATCTTCATTTCTAAATTATCAGATTTTCGCGCCTGAAACTTTGTAGCATGTGACCGTATTATTGTACATATTCGTCTGTTATTTTGGGTAGATGCTACATAGTTCCACATAGTTTTTTTGCCTTCAATGACAATGTAATTAATAGGACTGCCATCTGCCAGCTTTAACATGTGTATACCTTTTCCAGATTCACAGTATAATAACATATCCTGCCCATAAGAAATTCACGAGCATTCCCCATTTCTTATTTTGATCGTCGCTTCTATCTCTTTAGATGACAAATACCGGTATATGATTTGAATTTTTTCATTTTGAATTATTGCGACTCTTCTATCATCGATAGATGTAACATCATATGGTGATAATGATTGTAATTCGCCGTCTTAAGTCCCATTTGCCTTTTAAAAAAAACATGTCTTCTGTTATCAGTAAAATCGGCGAAAAAACCAATTTTCCTGAAGGGGTTATTGTGTATCATGTTATGTACGTGACACCACTTCCTATCGGTAATGTCAACGTTCGTATCAACTCTATCTTGATATCAAATATTGATGTCTGAGCTGTAGGTTGAACAGACACGATCTGAACTTGCTTTCCTTTTTCTGTCGTTAGAAGAATATTTAAATAATTTGTTTCTGTTGATATTGTACAGAAGGAGGAAATAGAAGATAAAAATTCAGAAACGTTACTGTCAATACTACAGTTAAGAGTTACTTGTTGATGACTTCCACTGTCTACTAAGGAACTGATAAATGTTTCTGATTTTACTACTTCTGACTCAATCTGTTTTTTTCACAAGAAATCTTTGTACTTCTGAAGCATAGTTTGTCATTGCTGAAATAATATTTTCCCAAATCTTCAACTTCTTCACTGGTGTTGGAAAGTTTGCTTAATAACGTTTCAATCTGGTATTGAACTTTATCTTCAGTAGATTTTAAATTGTCTATGGCTTGCTTCTCAAGATATGAGTTTATTTGCTGGCATACTTGTTTGATTTCGCACTGGAATTTGTTTTGCTGTTCCTGAATACTCTTTAGATTTCCTTCACGGTCAATCTTTATTCTTTCAGAATGTTCCTTTCTATATCCCTCAATATCTGTTTCATGTCTTCGAACTGACTGGATAATTCAGATGTCTTCACGACTTCCTCTAAATAAAGGCAGTAGTAGTATACCGGTGTTCAAAAGTCATAAATCGATTGAGAGGAAACAAATCCGGGTTACAAACTAAAACCGAGGGAAACACATCAACTATAAGAGGAAAACAAAGGAACAACAAGAACACTGAAGTGCAACAAAAACAAACGCCAACATACATAGAAACGAACTATTTGATAACAACTGCCATATTCCTGACTTGGTACAGCACATTTTAAGAAAAAATGGTGGATTTAACCTGATTTATGGCTAGCCAAACCTTCCGCTTATATGACAATGTTAAAAAATATCGCTAAAATGAAATACTACGTTACAGAAATACAGCACAAACCCACGTAGTCTAAGACTTGTAGTCCTTTACATTCACTATGATGTTATACAGAATGGACAACACAGGACTTCATGGATTGGACAAAAGTGCTGATACTTTCTATCTTGGTCTTGGCAATGTTGACGTATACTTGAGATGTGCTGTGGTAACTGTTTATAATTTCCTATGGAGATAATACCATAACCTCGTGAAAGCTTAGACGAGTTGTGAAATATAAGACAGTTAGGACATAAACCTTCCTCACATTCAGGGCACCAGTGCTCTGCATCTTTAGTGATATGCTGGGAATCACACACGCCGCATATAAATGTGCTGGTTGTTGCCATGATCTACTTTACTGAAATAGATAAAATTGATATTTGCACACCAATTAAGGTGTAAAATCGGACAGTTTTCTAGCAACCAAGAATTCACAATATTCAAAGGGAAAAGAGCAAACAACATGAACAAACAATAACAAAATAAATACCGATAAACGTAGAGCCACAACTTAATCACATATACTTAATGGCAAACCAAATACCTTTTCTACGATTCAACTGGTGTATACCTTACACAACCAGCTGATAAGTGATTAAAAAACAATGTTTT